GAAAAATAGGGTTGCGTTCCTGGGTCCAAAATGATCCGCCCCTCCCTCTTTAACTAATTATATATGATGTCCGCCCTTGTTATTGTATTAAAGGATGCTGAGTCGCTCTCCGTTTATTGTGTGTGTGGACACTTTATATTGTTCCACTTCACCTCAGCACAAAACCCTGTTTCTGTTGTTCTTCTCACGCCCAATGCTCATTTCTGACACTGAATTCCCAGCCCGATTCTCGCCCCTAACATCGTCACTTGAACGTTTCAGATTCAGTTTCTTTATTTTGGTATAGCCCTGTGAGCCATTCGGCTCTTGAATTGGGTGCAACCACAACAAACAACAAAAACATGAACGTGAATGATTCGCCATGCAGGCATCCATTTGACTAACGTCCTCAACGACTGGACGGCTATATCACGCGGCAAATTGGTTTGTGAACATTTCTGTTGTGCCATTGTACATATTAAAAGCGTTACATTATCACACAAGAACATGTGTAGTAGTCGTGTATGGAGACGGAGTCGTAGTAGGAAGCAACACGTTTTATTTATATCTTTAACAACACTCACTAAGACTTAACATGAAGGGGTAATGGCCCCTTCCACCCACAACCCGTGGAGGTACAGCCTCTGGGCTATCTATCCTAGCCACTGACCTACTCCTATAGCCCTCCGGCTGGCTGGAGCTAAGGAGGATGACCCACCGCTGGCACCGGTGGGTCTCTGACCACTGGCCCGTCCAGACCCGGCCCTCAGAAGGACGTCGGGCTGAGGGAACCTCAGGGTCCTAGCCTCTCGACCTCTGGCACCGCACTGAGCCCCGGCCCTCAGAAGGACGTCGGGGCTTGGGGTCCAGGGTCTCGTCTCCAGGTGGCTCCTCGACTTCGGCTTCAGGCGAACTGAGCTCTGCTCTCAAGAGCCCGCCTTTTATACGGTTCCCCACTGAGGGGCGGAGTTCTGAGGGATCACAGATCCCCCATAGCCCCCTCCCCTCAGGAGGGGTTCTGGCCACAGGTAGTCCAACCGATCTGTGTTTGTTTATCCCGCTTTCTGCCTAGGGGCAGAGTTCTGGGGGATCATACACACACTCCACAGCCTCCACCCCTCAGGCAGGGTCTTGGTCAGGGTTATCAATGACCCCGCTCTGGTAGGAACTCTGTAGCGTGTGTGTGTTTACAGATTGACCACCACATATGCACCAAAAACATCCATGGTGAATACTGTAAATCGTCCTCACAGTCGATTAATTGAAACATTTCAACGAATGAAGCACTCTCACGACACAATTATTCGATGCGGAGATGAGAATCTGAGCAGCGTCAAACCACATATAGCAGAAACATCACCCCGGGTTCTAAAAAACAGACCCCGTTAGGTAAATCATGTGTAGCTGAACTACGCGTGCAATAAACGCGCACTGGGCAAGGTTTTTCCTGTATTCAGCGAGTGGTGAGACATAAAGTGTACTCCTTGCAACCCACACTGCCCAGCGTGGTGGAGCACCACACGCACATCGTGGTGCCCGGTCCCCAGCAGTTCTCGATCCAACAGTAACTTGGAAGGACGTTATTAACCAGGAAAAAATCTTAACTGACTGTGATGTTTCCACCTGCCTATGTCAGCTGTTATTTTCGACTCTCTGTGTCTCTCTCTCTGCCTCTCTCTTAGAGCTCTCATGCTCACATGTCCTTTGCATTGCACTCTCATGCCTTTTGATTGCACTCTCATGCTCTCATGTCTTTTGGATAGCACTCTCATACTCACAGGCCCTTTTGATTACACCCGTTGGGGTGCACTCCCTCGTCGAGGAGGTGGCTCTCCTGTTCTTCAGTTACATGCTAATTTCCCACATTAACATTATGCTAATCTCTCACATTAACATAGCCACTTCCGTGCCCTCGTCGAGGAGGCCGGTTTCTTATCTTACAGTTACATGCTAATTTCTCACATCAACATCACTAGCCCCAGCCACTTCTTTATGACCCTTGAACTACACCCATTTCAAACCTTTAAAAACAGTCTGCCTCAGCAGCAGCAGACCATGCTTTCCCACCTGACGCTTGTGTTCCCCCCGAAACGTCGTGATTTATTTTATTTTATACCTACGTGACTTTTCCGAAAGAAGCAAAGAGTATCTTGGAAGTTGGTGTACGTGCTTGAGTTCACTGGCTATGTGTTCCTGGTCGGATATGCATTGGGCTCTATGGTGCAGAGTCTTGATGAGGGAATTCTTCTGGGATGGATGGTGGTGGGAATCCGGTTTCAGGTTAGCATCCGTATGGGTAGCTTTCCTGTAGACAGAGTGGCTCATTGAACCATCAGGTCTCTTTATTTATTAGGACATCCAAAAAAGGTAGCTTGCCATCTTTTTCGACTTCCATGCATATCCGACCAGGAACACATAGGCAGTGAACTCAAGCACGTAGACCAAGCTGTTAAGGCTAATGGTTATTCCGACTACACAATCCGCCAAGCTATCACTGCAACCATGAAGAAGGACCCTCTTGAGGATCCTTTCAAAACCATCACGTTACCCTACATTGCGGGGATCACAAAAAAAGATCTCTAAAATCTTGAAAAAACACAAGATCCAGGTCCGATTCAACACATTACATAAAATCCGTGATCTGGTTCCATCTGTAAAAGATGTGATTCCGGACATACAGTACCTTGGCGTCTACAAACTAAGTTGCCTCTGTGGTAGTAGTTACATTGGAGAAACCAAACGACATGTCTCGGACCGCATTCGTGAATACAAAGCAGACCTGAAACAAGGTAGGACCAACACCTCGGCCGTGGCAGATCACTGTTATAATTCAGTAGGTTCACATGCCATTGACTTGTCCAAGACAGAGGTTCTTTGCAAGCCATCTGGCTACCATGAGACATTCGTTCATGAGGCTATCCACATATACATATACAAATACAGAGACAATTTCAACCGAGAAGATGGATTCTGGCTTAGCCATCATTGGAAGGATTTGATAAACTATTTCAGGTCTTAATTGATTGATCACGCTTAAGGTGGCTTTCAGACCGCATCCATTATTTTTCGTCTCCCCCCTCCTCTTTTCCGAACATAGATGGACTCGTCCATCTGAACAAACTGTCAAATCGCTCTCCGTGGTGCTAACGTTAAAAAACGCCACTTTTTTCAAATGTTCTTGTTGTGGTTTTCACACCTGATGATGATTGCTTGTGTTGCAGTCGAAACGTCGTGAGAATGTATTGTTTTATATTTTTATTATTTTATTGTTTCCCTTCTACGTGACTTTACCGAAAGAACCAAGAATATGAATCTCTGCAGTCACGAAAGCTTTAAATCAAAATACTTGTCTAAATGTTCGGGCTTCATAGTATGTGTGGCCATTTGAAAGGAGTCTGCATGCATTTTCGTTTAACATGTACGTTGGGTGATGACATTCGACGAAAATGATCAAATTCAGATAAAAGCGGGCAATGTTCATTCAAAGAATATGGAAAATATTGCTATTGGTCAAGATGAGAATGATACCCGGAATGCATTGCATCCCTGTTTCCCTGCGCTCACAGAGCCAGAGGATTTGAGTTGCTCTGCGCTGTTCTCTGTTTTAGACGCTGGCCCTTTAAGCCGTATGGTAACTAGACACATGACTCAAACACCATTGGCTTAACACTAACAATGACCTGTACCTGTTTCATTATTTACAGGGTCATATACGTTCCTCGTCAATGTACTTTTAAAATATGGTTAATGTTAAGTAATGTTGTAATATCGCGATTATCTTACGGTTATTTTGACCTCATTTCACCGCACTGGTGGTCATTGTGGGTTGGTAACAGCGGAGAGCACTAGACATCGGTGTCACGAAGTACCACTGCGCTACTACTCTTTGGCTTCCAACAACATAGCTCTGCAGCAGCCTATAACACCGGCTTTTTTGCGTGTTGGTCTCCCATCCAAGCACGAACCAGGCTCAACGCTGCTAAGCTTCTGAAGGATGCTTTCGCCGTAGGTCTCCAAACATAGACACGCAATGAACCGTCTCATTAGCGACCCGTTACTGACATCAACACGAGTCTGTTGGGAGAGTGAGCGCAGGTCGCGTGCAATTATTGCTGTAATGTGAGACTCACGTAATCCTTAACGACATAAAATACAAAAGTACGGGCAGGGGCGCAATTACCTATTTCAACGGGGGTGATATGCAAGATACCGACTATGGGTCCCCCTCCTTTCTTCCGACTCACTTTTACTGAAATAGCTACGGATGTATTTAACCCGTGTGTGTGTATACAACATATGATTGTGGGGAGCGGTAGTGTGGTGGTTAGCGCACTGCGCTACAAACCCGACGACCCGAGTTCGATTTCCGCTCAGGGCCAACACTAATGACGATTATCTGAACGGGTCCTGGGCCTCCCCTAGGTCGACTCAGTCTCAAATGCCTACCTGGTGCGGTGCGTAAACATCGCCACTGGGGAGACAAAGGGGGCGAGGGTGGCGTTGGCCACCCACCCCCTCGCGTGCCCTACCGGCCTTCATAGGTGCTCGCAAACAGTACATGCGCCAAACGTCTGTTGAGGCTAAAGTGGGGGGGAGGGGGGGTAGGTGTTTGTCTCGTGTGTGAGATGGAGCGATGTCAATGACGGCAGTTCATGACATGAAATAGTCGAAACCGTGAGAGAGGGTGAGAGGGTAAGAGGGTGCGGGACGAGTCTTCTTCCAGCAGTGGAGAGAACGTGACTGCTGATTATGATAATTACGGCGGTGTTGACAGTGATACTGCGTCCCGGCCAACGAAATCGTTTACACACACACACGAACAATGATTAATTTCACACACACAGGCACGCGCGTTCTTCCAGCAGTGGAGAAAAAGTGACTGATGATGATGATGATAATAACAACGGCGGCGTTGACAGTGGATACTCACACATACACCTACGTCCCGGCCAATGAAATTGTTGACACGTACACGCAAACGCTGATTCATTTCACGCGCACGCACGCGCGTTTACCAGGATCGCGACGACGCCTGTTTGGCTCGTCCGCGCGTGACGTCGGCGCTGTTTGCTATAAAGACGCAGAGCCGACGTGAGACGGGCGAGTTCGACTCCAGGCTCCGACATCGCAGACTGACCAAGCAGAGGTGGCGAGCCTCGTCTCGTTCTCAACTTTCGTGAGAATTCGGCTGCAGGGATAACGCGGCATCTACCGCAGCAGCTGTCTTCGGCTGTCTCTGATATAACCAGCACAGCATCTGTTGGGCGTTTTCCCCTTTGGGAACATTTTTTGTTGTTGTTGTTTGTTTGTTAACTGTTGGAGCTTTGTGAGAAGCTGACAAAAAATAATTGAGAGACCCTTTTTGGGGTGTTTTTTTGTGCTTACGGTAGCCTATCATAGAAGTTACCTTTAGCTATGAAGGCTGCAGTCGGTAGCATCGTGGTGATTATGCTGTTCATAAGCTTCTGCAAAGGTAACGTCCATTGATTGACTGTTAAATAATTATACGCGCCGTGTTAACTGTGGGAATTCTGTGTGTCTGTCAGTAATGAATGTGCGCTCTTCTCGTCATATACAGAATTGACGAGTGAGATCACCATGGATGATGTTTTTTTAGGAAATAAGCGCGTGGCAGCGGTGGTTGACTCAATGCGCTTCCAATCCTGACAAAACCAGTGGGCAGTGGTTGACAGTGGTTGGTAGTGTGTGAATTTTTGTCCGTACGTATGAACACGTGTGCTTGTGTGTGCCTTTGTCTTATGTGTGGGGAGCGGTGGTGAAGTGGTTAGCGTTTGGCGCTACAAACCCGGCGACGAGAGTTCGATTCCCACTAACGGCCGTCATTGGTGGCAAATACCTGAACCGGTCCTAGACCTCCCATAGGTCAACCTCGTCTTAAATTAGTATCTGGTGCGTGTGTGATGAACATAAGCACTGGGGAGACTTGTTGTTGGCGACCCACCCCTCTCGTGTGCCATACGGGCCTTCATAGGTTATCGTTAACAGTTTGTTATAATTTGTACGGGGGGGGGGGGGGGGGAATTATTTGTCTTTGTGTGAGCGCTCGACGTGTTTGTGTTGCAGCGTTTGCATTACCCTATTCGCGATTGACGTGACATTTATCTGTTTGCGTGTCTGTGTGAGACAAGTAATTGATGTATTTCTCTTGACGTTAACAGGAGGCTACATACATCGGCCCTGTACAGAATTCGGCAACAATATTATGGTGCGTAAGCATGCGGTCTTTGTGTGTGCGTTCATACGTATCTGTGTGTACTGCAAGTGTGCATTTGTGAAACGGTTTTTTTTTGTACGTGTGAATGTCTTCATACTTGCCAAACATTCTGGCAAAGGCTATACGGGGGATCTTTGTCTTTGTGTGTGTTAAGGAAACACGCGTGGCGTTGCACTACAGACTTGGCGACTCGAGTTCTAAGATCGGTGACGATTATCGTAATCGACACTGGGGCCTCCACTAGGTCGGCTCAGCATTGAATGAGTGGCTGGTGCAGTGTGCAAACACCATCACTGGGGGAGACAAAGGCGGTCGAGCGTGGCGCTGGCAATCCACACTCCTTCGTGTGACGTTCCTGCCTTAATAAGTGCATGCGAACAGCTCTTATCCCAAAAGTCTGTGGGGGGGGGGGGTGTCTTTGTGTGTGTGCATGTGTAAAAGTGTGATTGTATTGTTTTCTGTGTGGACTGTGTAGGAATATTCCTGGGTAACAGAATTACAAGACAATACTTGCAGTAGTATAACGATGCGTCTATTACTTAGCTCATTATACCATGCATCGCATTGCGTGTGTAAGAATAGATAGTTACTGATTTCTAGCATGTTTTAAAGTTTAAGTGATCCCTGCAGCTGCTAGTGACCGTTGTTTTCACAATTGAAACAAACTGCGATTAAAAAAAAAAGAATGGAATTGTTACACTGCCTAGCAGGCAGGCGCATTGGACGCGTCTATGCAATGATATCTTTGGCACCATGTGTCCTGCTATGCGGGATATTTATATCTCCTCTGGCTCATCCAAGCCGAGCCAGCACGGAATCCACATCACTGGTAATTTGCCGAGCCGAGCTGAAACCAACCCGTTAGACACTTGCCTTACATTAAATAAAGACATCTAAATCCGGCTTGAGACCGAGTAAAGCCAAAGTGAAAAATATCAACACTGGCGATCAGTAAATCGGAGCGGGTCGAAGGAGAGAAAGCAGGCTTGGGACGCTGAAGAAGTGCTTGTGAGTGTGAGAATGCTCGCTAACAGCAACTGCCCCAAAAGTATATCAAGGCTGTACGGGGGATCTTTATTTTTGGGGAGCGGTGGTGCAGTGGTTATCGTGCTGAGCTACGAATCCAGAGGCACCGAGTTAAATTTCCGATCACGGCCTCAAATTATTACCTATTGGGGTGTGTTGACGTCGCCACTCGGGAAATGAGGGCGGCCGGGCGTGGTGCTGGCCACCCACCCCCTCGTGTGCCGTGCCGGTTTTCATAGCTCCTCGCGAACAGCACTTGCCCCTAAAGTCTGTTTAGGCTATATGGGGAATCTTTGTCTTGTATATCTGTGATCTACCAACTCGAAACTCAGCGTTACACGCCTCGTCGATTTGTTTTTGAAATATCAAAGCCACACACTGCATGTAACTGTCAGAGCGGCACGTCTCGGCTTCTGCAATGGAAAAGCAAAACAACCCGCGCCTTCTGAGTTGCGCTGGGCGCCGTGGAAGAGAAGTTATCAGGGACCACGGGAAACGCACGTGGCGATTGTGTTAGATCTGTTGGTGATTAGATTGTGTTAGATTTATATTCTTGGTTCTTTCGGTAAAGTCACGTAGAAGGGAAACAATACAATAATAAAAATATAAAACAATAAAATTCTCACGACGTTTCGACTGCAACACAAGCAATCATCATCATGTGTGAAAACCACGGCAAGAAAATTTTAAAAAAGTGCCGGTAATTTTTAACATTAGCACCACGGAGAGCGATTTGACAGTTTGTTCAGATGGACGAGTCCATCTATGTTCGGAAAAGAGGAAGGGGGAGGCGGAAATAATGGATGCGGTCTGAAAGCCACCGTACGCGTGAACAATCAATTAAGACCCGAAATGGTTAACAAATCCTTCCAATGATTGCTAAGCCAGAATCCATCTTCTCGGTTGAAATTATCTCTGTGTTTGTATATGTGGATAGCCTCATGAACGAATCTCTCATGGTAGCCAGATGGCTTGCAAATAACCTCTGTCTTGGAGAAGTCAATGTCATGTGAGCCTACTGAATTATAACAGTGATCTGCCACGGCCGAGATGTTGGTCCTACCGTGTTTTAGGTCTGCTTTGTGTTCACGAATGCGGTCCGAGACATGTCGTTTGGTTTCTCCAATGTAACTACTACCACAGAGGCAACTTAGTTTGTAGACGCCCGGGTACTGTATGTCTGGAACCACATCTTTTACAGACGGAACCAGATCACGGATTTTATGTACTGTGTTGAATCGGACCTGGATCTTGTGTTTATTCAAGATTTTGGAGATTTTTTTGTGATCCCCGCAATGTAGGGTAAAGTGATGGTTTTGAAAGGCTCCTCAAGAGAGTCCTTCTTCATGGTTGGAGTGATAGCTTTGCGGATTGTGTAGTCGGAGTAACCATTAGCCTTAAAAGCTTGGTGTACGTGCTTGAGTTCACTGGCTATGTGTTCCTGGTCGGATATGCATTGGGCTCTATGGTGCAGAGTCTTGATGAGGGAATTCTTCTGGGATGGATGGTGGTGAGAATCCGTTTCAGGTAAGCATCCGTATGGGTAGCTTTCCTGTAGACAGAGTGGCTCATTCAACCATCAGGTTTCTTTTTTATTAGGACATCCAAAAAAGGTAGCTTGCCATCTTTGTGTTAGATCGGTTGGTGATTAGATTATGTTAGATCTGTTGGTGATTAGATTGTGTTAGATCTGTTGGTGATTAGATTGTGTTAGATCTGTTGGTGATTAGATTGTGTTAGATCTGTTGGTGATTAGATTGTGTTAGATCTGTTGGTGATTAGATTGTGTTAGATCTGTTGGTGATTAGATTGTGTTAGATCTCTTGGTGATTAGATTGTGTTAGATCTCTTGGTGATTAGATTGTGTTAGATCTGTTGGTGATTAGATTGTGTTAAATCTGTTGGTGATTAGATTGTGTTAGATCTGTTGGTGATTAGATTGTGTTAGATCTGTTGGTGATTGGATTGTGTTAGATCTGTTGATGATTAGATTGTGTTAGATCTGTTGGTGATTAGATTGTGTTAGATCTGTTGGTGATTAGATTGTGTTAGATCTGTTGGTGATTAGATTGTGTTAGATCTGTTGGTGATTAGATTGTGTTAGATCTGTTGGTGATTGGATTGTGTTAGATCTGTTGGTGATTAGATTGTGTTAGATCTGTTGGTGATTAGATTGTGTTAGATCTGTTGGTGATTAGATTGTGTTAGATCTGTTGGTGATTAGATTGTGTTAGATCTGTTGGTGATTAGATTGTGTTAGATCTGTTGGTGATTAGATTGTGTTCGATGTGTTGGTGATTAGTTTGCGTGTCCCGTTCGGAATCTCCGTTCCCGTGGAATTGATCACACGATTGATTGCATTTGGAATTCGTGCAAGCGGAGTAATACTCTTCTACCACATCTGCTTGAAACTCAGTGTGGGGACGGGAACAAGCATGCGACAGAGCGTGCGGGCATCCGAGCTTCTGTTGCGAGCGCCTATTCCCCAGTTGATATGCAACAATGGTTGGTCCAGCGTCGACCAACGCTGCCCCAGCGTTGCATGGGGATGTGTACAGGAGACGAGCCCATACATTTACAGATGTAGCTATTCGTATAATATCAGGCTGTGCTTCTCACTTTTAATTCAATGTTTGTGTCTGCAACCAGAAACCGAAAGTTGAAGATAAACGAGTGAGTGCGTCCGTACGTGGCGTTACACACGCACACCACGCAAGTGCTGACAGGAACCCACACCCCACGCTTCTCCCCACGCCACGCACCCACCTAGACTTGATCCACCACTTACGACCTAACCCAACTCCCTGTTAAGTAACCAGAGTACTCGTAGCAGTAGTTAACCCACGACTTAACGCGACACAAACGCAGCACTGCGCACGCGTTCTTCACTTAATCTATTAGGAACCAACCCACAGCGTCAGCCCAGTAAACGTGGAACGTTGGCCCAACGTTGGCACGACGATTTCAATCACATGCCAACGTTACCCTAAAGTGTTTTCTGGGAGGCTTGTAACAAGTTATCGTCAAAGCATTATTTTTCGTGGTTTGAAAAAAAAGTAATTTTGTCCCCCCCTGCCTACATAAAATCATCACTGAATATTCTGGATAACAGGATGGCTGATGTGGTAAACCCGTGCCCTTGAGTGGCCTCCGTTTACCACGTGGCTCTGCTTGTAGTAACCCTGCTCCCTCTCTCGTGGTTAGGGTTTAATCGCACGGAATTAATAGGCAAAACGTGTTCCAGTTCGATATGTTTACCATATTTCATATCTCCGCAAACATTTCGGGAAGCCTCTCTGGCATAGCTTGACGTTCCGCTTTGAAAGATTTTACTGGGATCGTATATCAATGTGATTTATGCATGTCTGCATGTTTACTTACACGTGTATACATGTGTGTATCCAAACAGTTCCTCTTTCATTATTCTCAAATTCACAACACAGCGCATACGCCCAACATTGGACCGGTAAGAGAATACGTTCAACCTAACATTATCACATACTGTACATCATCATCTACACGTTACATTATTAGTAACATGACGTTAGCACCATTGCAATGACTAAAATAAGCATGCACGTTTAAACACCGTCAATCTTCACCATCATAGGTACATTGCCGTTTAGCACCATTATCAGTAACATGACGTTACCACGATAATCATCATATTCCTCTCAGCGTTATCATTGTCAGCATTATCAATATTGTGTTATAACATTACCATTGTAAATCTTGACTTAAGGCTTTCGTGACTACAGGAATTCATATTCTTTGGGTCTTTCGGTAAAGTCACGTAAGATAGGTTCAAAGACCCTCGCATATAGAGGGGTAACTTGTGGGTCCTCACACCTCTTCCAAAGAACCTATCTACGTGACTTCACCAAAAAGAACCTATCTACGTGATAATATTATAATCACTAACCCTACCGTAATTTTCAATAACATTACACTTCCATTTTAATGACAGGGATGCTGCCGTGGTGTAAGGGTCGCCACACTTGACTTGCAATTCAGATGTCGATGGTTCAACCTCCCTGCGCGACAGTTGAAACAATGAGCAAGTTCCTGACATCCACCTTGCTTCTGTCCATCCAGAAATATAAATGGGTACAACACCACAGTTTACGGCTGGCTCGCATGCAGAGGGGTAAACTTGTGGGTCCTCACACATCTTCCAATACGTCTAGTCAGCGTGGAAGCGTAGGCCAAATTCCATAAGCACAATCTACTTTGTCTCCTTTGCACCATATATAATCTCAGTGACCATGGCTTAGTTAAAATAGGACATCAATCCTAGATTCTCATACTTTGTCATTCAAGCCTGGAGGAATTATGCGTGGTTCGACCCCTAATTTAGGTGTTAGATGAAAGAGGTTCAGTTAAATGTAAAAAAAAACTCATCAGCTCTTGTAGCTCCACACCCAGGATGTGTTTCCTGGCTGTTTGAAGCTTCGTAATTAAAACAAAATACTTAAAAGTTACGGTAAAATGTGCCCTCATAGCATAAAATTAACATAATTATGATTCCATTCTCACTCGTATAACTGCAATGTCAAGGCATTAGCCTCCCTATAGCGTTATGACTGAGTGCCTGGACTCGATTTTTTAAGTAAAAATTGTCCTCATTAATGGTGCTGCAAATGCGCGCTAGCCCAGGACACGCGTGTAACCACAAGGTAAGAACTATTTGGTTTTTGGCGATATCTGCATTAAACCTAATTGACAAGTTGCTTTTGTTTATTTTAATAAAAAATAGATGATAACTAAATAGTATTTATTTACGTGCAAGAGACCAGGATAGTCTAATTTGGGGCATTAGTCTGCCATTAGTGGGATGATTGATACGTATAATTCCAAATGAGTAATTTACGGGTAATTTTCGAATTTGAAAAATGTTGATCCTAATGCCAGTAGCCAACAGATCGCAGTGCAATAGATTATGCAGAACGTTTGAGAGTAATTCCCTTGTATGCTGCTCTGGTTTCCTCCCACATGCAAAGCACTCTTCAATGGATTTGGCCAAAAATCCCAACGCAGGAACTCTCCTGAAAAAGTCTCATGACTTTTGAGGCTTTCTTGAATAAAATAAATTGTCATTAAAATAATAACAATGTTTTGTTTCTTATTTGTTACATTCTGCTCAGTCGGGAGTCATTCATCCGCTGCTGAATCTGGTTCCCAAACTGTACCAGCAGCACTTGCGGAGAATACAGGTATGCACTTCATTGGCTCTCTCTCTTCGTCCGACACAAAAATTAGTGTACAAGATCAAACAGGCGTAGATGCGGCAAAATATTACTTGTCAAAAACGAAAGGCACGTGCACACAAAGATCCCCCGTATAGCCTTAACAGACAGTTGGGGCAAGTGCTGTTAGCGAGAACCTATGAAGGCCGGCATGGCACACGAGTGGGTGTGTGGCCAGCGCCGCACAAGGTACTTATTTGAGGCTGAGTCGACCTAGGGGAGGCCCATGACCGCTTCAGATAATCTTCATTGGTGTTGGGCCATGAGCGGGAATGGAGCTGGGGTCGTCTCGTTCGTTCGCGCAGCACGCCAGCCGCGATGCTACTGCTCCCCACACACACTCACGCTCTGCACGAGGCTGTCTCGTTACATCTCGTGGATGATCGCTCTGCTGAACTAAATAGTTCCGCGGTTCAATTTGCAAGTGCGAGTTCGCGTTTTAAGTCAAATTTAAATACCGTATGTTTTTCATGTAAGCTGGTTCCTGAGTGCGGGTGTTCATAAGTTAGGTGCTCGTAAGTTGAGAACTGCCTGTATGCTGAAGTCCTTTCACAATGTACGTAGCCAACTGTGCTAATTAGAGGTTGGGGGAAGGACAACATACTAAACACAAAAATAAGTTAGAAGGAAATTTGTTTTCAATCTATATTTGAAAGTGCAGAGCTCCATTGGCTTCCTAATGAGAAGGAAGAGAATTCCAGACGGTGACAGCGATGCACGTGTACAATATGTAATCAGATCAGGTGGCGTCGTGCTTTTAAGCGCTTCAATCAATCAAGCTTAATTTTACGTGCCGTTATCGCCCTCAATAAAGTCGGCATCAGTGCACCTTAAAACGAAACTGAAACAGCACAGGGACACACAGCAACATGAATGAAAAAGAAACCCATCACGCCCTCAGCGCCACACAATTGGAAGGTTGTTGGGGGTCGCCACAGCCTATCACCCTGCAAGGGTCAATAAATGAGTACCACTTTATGGGCATTCAACAGCAGTAGTCCTCCTACTCAGGAAAACTTATTGAGCTGAAGGCTCTTTAATCCAAAATGAAGTGGCTTTTGGATGTTTAACCATTTCTATTTAATTAGTTTTTAGCATTTTCGAGGAAACAGCAGCGCCTAAGGAATATCCACAGATACGGGGGTGGGGGGGGGTATCAGTGAAATGTACGCACATATGGGTCCACAAACCTATTTGTTATACTGCTATCTCCTGTTCATCTTACAGCGCAGTGGGTGTGGGAATTTCACGAAACCCGATGTAATCCTCAAACTCTTGGCTTCAAAGCGCCGCATCACAAGGTGTGGGCTCCCGCACCTGGCTGCCATTGTTTGTATTCGACTATTTGTAACTTGAGCTGAATTTACCAGTGTATTTATTAATTAACATCATGGTGTTTTCATTTTAATTGCTCATTTTGAAATGTATGTACTAGATTAATACGTGTAATACTTTCTTCATTTATAAGTGCTTTTAATTCGCAAGCTTGCTCATCAAAATAAAGTAATTGTTGGACGGACACAACTTGAAAACAAAGATACATATGCCCAGGGCAATTATAGAAGGCATTTCTGGATTAGATTATTCAATAATGTAAAAACAAAGAGCCGAATGTAGTGCTTTTGTAAATGTTAATTTTATCATGAAAAGTGACACACCAGTGTGCATTATTACAGTGTTTGTAATCAGTCCATGTCGCCACCCATGACATGCGCATCACTGGGACACTGCCGACAAAAAATGAACAAATTCAAAAAAGTGGAAAGAGAAGCATAGATAGAGGTGCATGCTTGGGAATTACACCGAGACAAAAAGAGGAGCAAGTGGGTCAGGGAACAAAGAAATGTTAGAGATGGTACATTAGCTGTCAAGGAAACTAAATAGTGATTCGGCAGGACACTTAATGACTAGAAAGGGACACTTCGTGGTTAGAAGGGACACTTTGCGGCGAGAAGGGATGACAGCGGAGGCACGAGACTGGCAATGGAATAGAAAAGGAGAGAAACATTCCTGAGAGGACAGCCACCGGGGAGCTCGAGCGATGAAATCAGCTCACGATATGGATCACGGGGTGGTTAGGTCTGTGTGGGACAGCATCGGGAGACCTACATCAAGAAGCGGATTGACAATGCGCTCGTGATCGTGAACATAAATGCAATGGTTAAAAAACAGAGTACTAATACGCACGGTGATTTTTTTTCAGGCACATAATGGCCGACTCGTTTCTACAGAATACCCCTGACAGGTAAAAACAAAGTGCACGTAATTATTAATTATTGATTCGTCTATTAATCATTCGTGACAGTTGTTTTCTATCAGCTTAATTTCTCAGGAATGCCCAAAATTCTCAAGACTCGCAATAAAGCCAGATGGTGTCAAAGGCCTGTTTAAAGCCGATGCAGAGATCAGGGCAGAAACATGACACTTGTATTTGCGTGCCAGAGCAAGTATCCAGTACACAAAGTCTCTGAACAGCAACCACAAATATAATTTCTATACAATGAAAAATAATCCTTAGCATCGATGTGGAGAATGTCAACATTAACACGCAGGAAATGCATTTTCATATATCTCTCCCTTCACTTAAAAAAATACCGTATTTTTTACACTTTCCATCAACTGCAAGGCCTTCTGGAGGTGATTAATTTCAGCATCATTGGTTCAATACAAGCCTTACCGAAAGATTTTGACATAGAGCGTCAGGCCCACCCGAACTAATGCTGGAAAACTGTGATGTGTAACATTAGGCAAAGGTCTGGCAGATGGATGGGTGGTGGTAATTATTATATGGATGCTGTTTATATTGTCTATTATAATCTCTTTTTCTGTTGCAGGCTGCTACAAGACCTTCATCATCACAAAGTTCTAACCCATAATCCTAATTCCTAACTAGGATCCTACCCTTATTTTGCAACCATTACCAATAACTCTAACCCGGATACTTAACCCTGTCCCTAATGCTAATACCTAAGTCTAACCATAATACTGTACTTAATTTTAACCCGAATCTTAACTTAAACAATAACACTAATATTATCTCTTATATTCATGTGAACTTATAGCAAGAACCCTGAATGTAGCCCCTTGCTCCTACTCGGCTCCTAACATTAACCTGAACCTAAAAATTGACTCTAAATGAAACCCTAAGCCCAGTCCGTAGGCCAATGATGACCCTTGCATTAACCGTTACCCCACCCTTGACTTGAACTCAAACTCGCATGATGTATAAAGTGTCGAACCTGCGCTCGCTGTCGGCAGTGCTCTCGGGATGACGCAACATTACAATAAAGGTGCAGAATCCATGGCCTGACTTGCGCTGAATTATTCACTGTGGGAATTAAGTTTCAATGCCTTCACGGTGCAGCCAAGAGTGATTGGCCTGGGCTAGGGTCAGGGCTATGGTATGGTTGGCCGAATGACTCAGAGGTCACACAAAATACAAAGATTATCCTTGTAGCCTTAACAGGCTGTTGGGGCAAATGCTTTTAGCAAGTAGCACCACATTAAGGCTGGTACGGCACAAATGGGAGTAGGTGGCCAGCACCATGCCCGGCCGCCTTTGTCTCCCCAGTGGCGATGTTTTATCCACCGCACCAGGTACTCATTTGAGGCTGAGTCGACCGGTTCAGATAATCGTCACTGGTGTTGGCCGTGAGCGGGAATCGAACCCGGGTTGCCAGGTTCATAGCGCAGCACGCTAACCGCTACACTACCGCTCCCCACATACATACAAAAGACAAAGATCCCCCGTATAGCCTTAACAGACTGTAGGGGCAAGTGCTGTTAGCGAGCACCTATGAAGGCCGGATCGGTACACGAGGGGGTGGGTGGCCAGCACCACGCCCGACCGCCTTTGTCTCCCTAGTGGCAATGTTTACACACCGCACCAGGTACTCATTTGAGGCTGAGTCGACCTAGGGGAGACCCGGGACCGGTTCAGTTAATCGTCACTAGTGTTGGCCGTGAGCGGGAATCGAACCCGAGTCGCCAGGTTCATAGCGCAGTGCGCTAACCGCTACACTATCGCTCCCCACATACATACATACACTGTCTCACATACACACAATATCTCTCATACACAAAGGGTCAATGAGGGTTGGGTCAGTTCCGTCAGGGTCCTACATAGGACCTCTATTCAAAGCTCTTAAAGCAGTCCAGCACACCCGAGTTCCCAGCACACAGCCACTCCTCAGCGCAGCTCGACCGAAAGCGAATAACTGACTTGCACAAAATACACTTTAATATTGAACACAACTAAACAATCACTAATCAACCAACTCGCATCTCCCGCCGAAAGTCACCCAACCGCGCAATGGAGTATTGACTGGAAACTCCTTCGGGCCTCGTGCCAGCGCAGTTTACAGCCTCAGACCCCTGATATCTGATTCAGGAACAACTTGCAGCCTCAGACCCCTGATATCTGATTCAGGAGCAACTTGCAGTCTCAGACCCCTGAGCTCTGATTCAGGAGCAACTTGCAGCCTCAGACCCCTGAGCTGTGATTCAGGAGCAACTTGCAGCCTCAGATCCCTGAGCTGTGATTCAGGAGCAACTTGCAGTCTCAGATCCCTGAGCTCTGATTCAGGAGCAACTTGCAGTCTCAGATCCCTGAGCTCTGATTCAGGAGCAACTTGCAGTCTCAGATCCCTGAGTTGTGATTCAGGAGCAACTTGCAGTCTCAGACCCCTGAGCTCTGATTCAGGAGCAACTTGCAGTCTCAGACCCCTGAGTTGTGATTCAGGAGCAACTTGCAGTCTCAGACCCCTGAGCTCTGATTCAGGAGCAACTTGCAGTCTCAGATCCCTGAGCTCTGATTCAGGAGCAACTTGCAGTCTCAGATCCCTGAGCTTGATTCAGGAGCAACTTGCAGTCTCAGATCCCTGAGGTGTGATTCAGGAGCAACTTGCAGCCTCAGATCTCCGAGCTCTGATTCAGGAGCAACTTGCAGTCTCAGATCCCTGAGCTCTGACACAGTGAAGACACGAACTCTGACACAGTGAAGACACGAGCTCTGACGTAGTGAAGACATGAACTCTGACACAGTGAAGACATGAACTCTGACACAGTGAAGACATGAACTCTGACACAGTGAAGACACGAGCTCTGACACAGTGAAGACACGAACTCTGACACAGTGAAGACACGAGCTCTGACACAGTGAAGACACGAACTCTGACACAGTGAAGACACGAACTCTGACACAGTGAAGACATGAACTCTGACACAGTGAAGACACGAACTCTGACACAGTGAAGACATGAACTCTGACACAGTGAAGACACGAACTCTGACACAGTGAAGACATGAACTCTGACACAGTGAAGACACGAACTCTGACGCAGTGAAGACACGAACTCTGACACAGTGATGCCACGAGCTCTGACACAGTGAAGACATGAACTCTGACACAGTGAAGACACGAACTCTGACACAGTGAAGACACGAACTCTGACACAGTGATGACACGAACTCTGACACAGTGAAGACACGAGCTCTGACGTAGTGAAGACATGAACTCTGACACAGTGATGACACGAGCTCTGACACAGTGAAGACACGAGCTGTGACGTAGTGAAGACACGAGCTCTGACACAGTGAAGACACGAACTCTGACACAGTGATGCCACGAGCTCTGACACAGTGAAGACATGAACTCTGACCCAGTGAAGACACGAACTCTGACACAGTGAAGACACGAACTCTGACACAGTGATGACACGAACTCTGACACAGTGAAGACACGAGCTCTGACGTAGTGAAGACATGAACTCTGACACAGTGATGACACGAGCTCTGACACAGTGAAGACACGAGCTCTGACGTAGTGAAGACACGAACTCTGACGTAGTGAAGACATGAACTCTGACGTAGTGAAGACACGAGCTCTGACACAGTGAAGACACGAGCTGTGACGTAGTGAAGACACGAACTCTGACACAGTGATGACACGAGCTCTGACACAGTGAAGACACGAGCTCTGACGCAGTGAAGACACGAACTCTGACACAGTGAAGACACGAACTCTGACACAGTGAAGACACGAACTCTGACACAGTGAAGACACGAGCTCTGACACAGTAAAGACACGAGCTCTGACACAGTGAAGACACGAGCTCTGACACAGTGAAGACACGAACTCTGACACAGTGAAGACACGAACTCTGACACAGTGAAGACATGAACTCTGACACAGTGAAGACACGAGCTCTGCCATAGTGAAGACACGAGCTCTGACACAGTGATGACACGAGCTCTGACGTAGTGATGACACGAACTCTGACGTAGTGAACACACGAACTCTGACACAGTGATGACACGAGCTCTGACACAGTGATGACACGAGCTCTGACGTAGTGATGACACGAGCTCTGACACAGTGAAGACACGAGCTCTGACACAGTGATGACACGAACTCTGACGCAGTGAAGACACGAGCTCTGACGTAGTGATGACACGAACTCTGACGTAGTGAACACACGAACTCTGACACAGTGATGACACGAGCTCTGACACAGTGATGACACGAGCTCTGACACAGTGAAGACACGAGCTCTGACACAGTGATGACACGAACTCTGACGCAGTGAAGACACGAGCTCTGACGTAGTGATGACACGAACTCTGACGTATTGAAGACACGAGCTCTGACACAGTGATGACACGAACTCTGACGCAGTGAAGACACGAGCTCTGACGTAGTAAAGACACGAACTCTGACACAGTGAAGACACGAACTCTGACACAGTGAAGACACGAACTCTGACACAGTGAAGACATGAACTCTGACACAGTGAAGACACGAACTCTGACACAGTGAAGACACGAACTCTGACACAGTGATGACACGAACTCTGACACAGTAAAGACACGAGCTCTGACACATTGAAGACACGAACTCTGACACAGTGAAGACATGAACTCTGACACAGTAAAGACACAAACTCTGACACAGTGAAGACACGAACTCTGACGTAGTGAAGACATGAACTCTTACACAGTGATGACACGAACTCTGACACAGTGATGACATGAGCTCTGACAAGTGAAGACACGAACTCTGACACAGTGAAGACACGAGTTCTGACACAGTGAAGACACGAACTCTGACACAGTGAAGACACGAACTCTGACACAGTGAAGACACGAACTCTGACACAGTGAAGACACGAACTCTGACACAGTGAAGACACGAACTCTGACACAGTGAAGACACGAACTCTGACACAGTGATAACACGAACTCTGACACAGTGAACACACGAGCTCTGACACAGTGAAGACACGAGCTCTGACGTAGTGAAGACACGAGCTCTGACGTAGTGAAGACACGAACTCTGACGTAGTGAAGACACGAACTCTGACGTAGTGAAGACACGAGCTCTGACACAGTGAAGACACGAGCTCTGACACAGTGAAGACACGAGCTCTGACGTAGTGATGACACGAACTCTGACGTAGTGAAGACACGAACTCTGACACAGTGATGACACGAGCTCTGACACAGTGAAGACACGAGCCTTGACACAGTGATGACACGAACTCTGACGTAGTGAAGACACGAACTCTGACACAGTGAAGACACGAACTCTGACACAGTGATGACACGAACTCTGACACAGTGATGACACGAGCTCTGACACAGTGAAGACACGAGCTCTGACGTAGTAAACACACGACTGTCACAACTTGCAGCAGGGTGAACGCCTGTGAGACTCGCAGTCTCTGTACTCGGCGGTACTGTGGACGTCAAACACCCAGAGTCACCGGTTGCAGAAATGTGGAAACCTGGGAGGTTAATCAACAACGAACTCTCTCCCTCCTTGAAAGCATACGGCGGAGGCAGGGAACGACCACCAACCCAGAACACCACGATGACCGGGAGTGACCTAAATAACATTCTGCCTGTAACCACTGAAAGCTGTTGATACACTTCCTGTATCAAACCTCTGCCTGTAACCCTGTAGACCCGTTGATACACTTCTTGTGTCAACCAATCTACCTGGAAACTGAACTCCAGGACTCTCTCTCTCTGCTTTAAGGACTCCAACACAACCTTGTGAATTACGTTTCTCCTTTGACTGTCTCTGCCTCAAACCTGACATATAAAATATGATCACACACAATGAGCCATGAATGTAGCTTTAAAATGAACATCCTCAGAAATAACTTTACCAAGGCGCACCTGTTGAAATAAAAAAACACCCTCACCAGGTCACCAATTTACCTGAAATATCACAGATGTAAAATCTGCCCTAACATTTGCAAACGTATTTCATAGATATGGCCTCGACGAATGGCTCGTGTGCAACATTTTTTTTGTAAACCTGCTCCCGTGTCCGTGTTTCTGTCTCCCAAAAATATATGACAGCATAATTCCCCTAAATACGACTTAACATCTCTACACTTCGTCGCTTATAATTATCTTCCTCCGAGCTCAGGTAGGGGGCCGTCCATAAATGACGTCACACACCTGGGGGGGGAGGGGAGGGGGTCAGACATTTGTGACGATGTGTGACGAGGGGGGGAGAGTGTGTTTGAGAAATGTGACGTCACATCAAAATGCGCAACTTTAAATAAAAATAAACAATAGAATTGTCATAACACAAATTTTTATAAATTTTCATTATTAACTATTTGATTATTAAGATTTAATAAGGTCACCTTTTATTTATTCCATGAAGAAGCATTTTGCTTCTCTATGGGAGAATGGAGAAGCATACATTTTGTAAAAAAATGTGATTGTTATTAAACATTTTTATTGTAATGATTCTACCAGGGCTTTTCATTCTGTGGAATGAATATATGATTGTTATAATTGTACTCTCCATTGTGCTTTATTCTACTACAAAGTTTCAAGTATTTTTATAGTTATAATTGCTTTTAATATTTTATAATTATAAGAGAATTTCAATGTAATATTCTGAACATCTGCAGTTTTAGTTCGACGTTGAATATTTTAAAGTGCATTTTTTGCTAAATTTCAGCTTTCCAACGCCTCCTTTTAATACATGCTTTCGTCACTACAATGACAATATTTTAAAGCGATTTGAAGCATGTTTTATTTTCTAAATGGAAATATGGTTTTGGGGAAGGGGCAGAGCTTTGTGACGTCAAATTGAAGGGGGGGGGGGTCTGACTTTTTGTGACGCCGTATGACGAGGTGGGGAGGGGGGAGGGGCCAAAAATCGGCCAAAATCGCGTGACGTCATTTATGGACGGCCCCTAGACACGAGCTTCCACGTGGCATCAGGCCGCCCGCTCCCGTGCGCGCCTCTCCCTCCCTCTCACGCCATCCCGCAGCTCAGCGTAGAGCTTCTCAAGCGCACCGCGTCGCCCCGGGGCACCAGCAGCAACATGCCGAGTGGGTGGAGACGCTCGAACTTCGGTTGCACCCTCGCAATATTAAACTTGAGGTCACTCACGCGGCCGCGCAGCGCTGCCTCACGACCCGTCCATTGAACTCTCCTCTCTCCCGCAGCCAGCGGCGGCTGCTGGTGCCACGTCGGCACGAGGCACCAGCAGCACGCAAGGAGGGTGGATGATGAGGCGCCTGTCTCATGTTCCACCCTCGTTACTTTGAATTTGAGGGCGACCACAACTGGGTCGTCCACGTGGCCGTGCCATGGTGCCAGCCGCGCCCGTCTCTCTCCCTCCCTCCTCCTCGGTGCTCCTCACCTCTCCTGTCAGTCTCCCCGAAGCCTCCGACGGGACAACCTCCACCTCACACAACACGCAGCGCCGAAACGAGGGGGGGAGGGGGCAGAGGAGGAAGGCGGGGGTGGGGGAGCGGGGAGCAAGGGCTGCTACAGTCACATTTAGCCATTTTTGGTAGAATGACGGCCGGTTTCGCATTAAAGTAAAACCCACTCCGAATTTTGCAATTCATGTGCGGCCAACCATCCTCCACAGTTCGCCTGGAAGATTCTTAAGCTCTGGATCGCTTTGCGCTGATCCTCAAGAAGAGGGCACATCAGCCAGCCATTCACCGAGCACGTGGATTACAAACTATTCAAATACTAAGATCCGCTTTCTAGACTTTAACAAACTGTTGGGGCAAGGACTGTAAACGAGCAACTATCAAGACCGGCACGGCATACGACGGGGGTGGGTTGCCAACACCATGCCTGGCCGCCTTTGTATCCCCAGTGCTAACGTTTACAAACCACACCATCTACTCATTTAAGGCTGAGGCTATCTAGGCAACTGATGTTAGCAAATGGCTGGGCATTTAACTCTGGCCGCTGCGTTAGCAGTTCAAAGCGCTAAAAAACTACATCGTGACTCCCCAAACAATGACAAACGCGTACACACATGCACATATTCTATGGTTCTTTCTGTAAAGTCACGTAGATAGGAAAAAATAAGAAAATAATAAAAATGAAGTGAATAAAAAATAATAAAAATATCACGTTTCATCATCAGGATGACCGCTTGTGTTGCGATCGAAACGTCGTGATATTTTTTATTCACTTTCTTTTCAATTTTATTATTTTTTCTATCTACGTGACTTTACCGAAAGAACCATAGAATATTAATTCCCGCAGTCACGAAAGTTTTAAGTCAACACATGCAGATGAGTCATTTCAATTCGGGTTGTTTTTATTGTTTAATTTAATAGCACATTAACGTGTTAATTTCGAATACAGTATTAGTTCGCATATTTCTAGTTTCTGTTGAACTACGGTTTTCAGCACGGCAGAAAAAAAGGAGACGGTGATTATGCGCCTTCCGCCCGAAGGCCCCTAAAAAAAACGACACCCATAATCCCAGCGCTCAACCTTACGGTCTCAGATGAACTGACTCAGCATTCTATGGCCAATATGAACCTTTTGAGGTACAAAACCAAGCCCCAAATACTTGAACCCAGTCTAGGAAGTTCTGGCTCAGTGGTATGCCATAACCATTATGAACCTTCGGAGAGCCACACCAAGCCCAGAGGCTCGGACATTCCTACTTGGTGCTCTATGGCCACTGTGAACCTCGCGAAACAGCAGCCCCCAAGGCTTGAGTTCAAGTCTCAATAGCCTCATATCACTCTGCCTTTATACGAAAGGTGGATACAATTGCCTACATAAACATTTAACAGCAAATCATACGGCAAATCATCTTCTGATGTCCAATGCTGACCGGTGTATTTAACTTAATCAGGTAAGAGTACACTAGCCAGGTGTTTCATTTGTTCTGTTTAAACCAATACCTGTGAAGAAGATTACATTAAGGACAATAATTAGAATTTAATCTCAGACAAATGAAGCTTGTTCAGATGTTTAGAGTCTGATATCAAACACAGGTGACACACAATGCCCAACTTGTGCAAATTACATCAATGTGCGTTTAATATCCACCCGAGCAGACGGCACACTTTGGTTGACCACGAGAAGTGACAGCGCTCAAGTGTAGGAATTACCAGGCGAACAGCATTGGGTATCAAAGCTTCACATCTGCGGAAAATGGCTCAGTTAATAATTCTTACCAATAATTTTAACACTAGAAACTCAAACGAGTTGTGTACAACTTATTAACAAGAAGCCTCCGTGGGTCACTGATAACTTAAGGATCCTGAAGGCTGTGAGCATCTTATTGACAAGGAGCCCTGAAGTGTCAAGCGTGTAAACGTGAGCGTGCATGATAATTAGTTTGCACGTACAGTTAGAGGACTTGTGTTTATGTTGTGAAATGCTCGTGAAGCACATCTTATCTGCCCATGTGGCTGTGCTTACAACACTTGGTTAATTATTGGAAAGAGTTTAATTCATTATTGGCTTCTCGACTCAATCCATCATCCCTCTGGTATCATTAAGACGTTTCCACAGTGGTCATGCTGTGGACAAACTGGCACCCGTCATAAGAATGTGGAATTTCCATCACTGGCTCAGAGCCAGTGGAGTTGAGCATTTCTCATTGGTAGTTTAAGTTGGACATGAAAGCATTAGTTAGGGATAGTTTAATCAGTACTTGTCAAATGCTGGATAGGTGATTATTTGTAATAGTTGATTATTGACTCCTGGAAATGTTTTTGCAGAATAGAAATCTTTATTTAGACTTGGGGAATCTGATGAGCTATCACCAGTTACCGCCACCTTATACTGGACATGAGGAAATGTCTGAATTGTCGTTTCCCAGCAAAATATGCCATTTCCTTCAAGAGCCACCTGGGAAGGTGACATCACTAAACTTTTTATTTTATTTTACCAGATAAGGCCCACTGCGCTATATATCCCTTTTTCAGAAGTGACCTAGCGACAAATGATAGCTCAACAAAGTGGTTTGTCATTTGGAAATTTATAGCAGCCAAATATTCTCAACGCATGTTTCGAAAAGTAGAGGGAAAAACTGCAGGACCCGGAGAAAAATCCACGTGATCAAGGAAACATTCAAACTCCAAATATACAAGCATCAGGGTCCGGATCAAATGCACGACCTCCTGCATACCAGGCAAATGAATATAGCATTTCGCCACCACGGCACACCATCACAAAACTGCTACAGTCGAAGTCATACCAACAGACCACTTTACCCAACACGAGACTCTGTCATTTCGTTCTCTTCAAAATGTGGATTTTTCTGAATGTTGACCAATAATTGTATTCATTAATTTATTTCCTCAGAGCTGGGTGAGATCAAATGCATGTGGCCATCATAAGCCTCCTTGAGTTATTCAGTTTCTTGGCTAGTTAAACATTATAGATTTGGGGTCTTCATTGGCTAACTGAGCCATGTGTCTGAGGACATCCTTCTTTGTGATGATTCCGAGCAGCCGTCTGGAGGGAAGATAAAGGGGAGAAATTGGGAAGGACGAAACAGAGGTAGAACATTACCACGCAAACTAATGTTCACACGCAACATGATAGAGAACCTACCCTGTGCTGAGACTTATAGGTTTACAAACCCATAGATCTCCCGTACGTATAGCTTTTAATAGACACCACACCAGGTACTCGTTTAAGGCTGAGCCGACCTAGGGGAAGCCCAGGATTGGTTCAAATATTCGCCATTGTCATTGGTTGTGAGCGGGAATAAAACTCGAGTCGCCAGGTTCATAGTGCAGTGTGCTAACGACTACACTACTGCTCCCCATTTACAAACACACACACACATAAAGACAAATCTAATATCTGCTATATAGCCAAATCGAATGTTGGAACACTGATGCAACTGTTAAGACCCCCTACTCCACGACAGTAAAAGGATATCAGATGGGAGGGGGGAGCATGTGAGGAGACTAGGCGCTTTGGTCAGCAGTTCAGAGGAAGTGATCAGGGGAGAGGTTGAAACCATGGAGTGTCCAAGCAAGGGACTGTATGTAGGGCATATTCGAGGGCACCTAGGGGTCAGCGTGTGACTGGAGGAAGGGCCACGGCCTTGCTCAGCGGTTTGAGAGGAAACACCGCATTACATGTATGGCCGGTGACAGGGGATAGATCTAAGGAGTCAGAGGGAATGGTGATGCAGACTCGTGGATATTTATACATTGCAGAGATTAAAGAGAGCAGGGGACAGTGATGATTAAAACGTGGGACATGCTGGAAGCAACGGACAGAGGAAATTAAAAGGTGCCTTTGGATCAGCTGTGGATAAGAGATAAAGATAAAAGGCCATCGCGAATTAAGGTCGGGCCTGCAGTCCAAAGAATCGTCACTTAGCGTCCGAGGCAGCAATCACACGAGAGGAATCCCGCAAAAACATATTGAGTACTCGTACGTTCAACAGTGTAAATGGTCTGTGTGGCTTTGTGCATATGAGTTGTAGCTTAGTCTTGGTGAGTCCAGTGCATTAAATCTCTGTATTTAGACTGTTGATTCTTGTTAGTTTAATTATGTATTTTGTTACCAGTGTAAATAAAGCTGTTCCACATTATATTCACCTCGTCTGTGCCGGTTATTATAAAAGTACCTAACGAGAATAAAGAGAACAGTGCACAAAGCCGTGGTATGCCCGGGCCACCTTTGTCTGCCCCGGTGCTATTATTTGCACATTCTCCAAAGGTACTCGATTCAATTTGAGTCAACAACGATGAGGCCCAGGATAGGTGATTATACCATATCGTTACTGATGTAATCCAGGGCCAGGAATCATATTCAAGAATTTGGATTCATAGTGCAATGAACAAACCTTCGACAACTGGCCACGAACAGCATTTTGCAGGTTTTAGCCATGCAACACATAGACTATCAGTCTAGGCAATGCTGAAATACTAAATAATTTATACCTAGGAACATTTTTTTTTTACTACACTGCAGCTGAATTCATTTGAAACTAATACATACAAATGGGTTTCCATTCATTTTGGTTAATATTGGTCATCTGCTTAAAGCACAGACCAGATAACATTTGTGCCAAATTTCAGACTTTACGCCCACTCTGCATTGCTAACGTGTATGCGCGTGTTGTGTCCCAGCGCACCCGTTGCGCGTGACGAGACACTGGCGCAGGCCGAGCTTGCGGAACATGTCCACGACGGTGTCCATAGGCGTCCGGTCGGACACAGCGAGGGGAGCGTCATCCACAATGGAGCGCAGCTTGAGAGGTCGCGCTGCGTGTAGAGGGCAGCTCAGAGGCTCGGAGGTCACAGAGGCTCGGGCGGTGCCCGCCCGCGGAGGCCCGAGGAGCACGAGTGACGAATCATCGAGGCCCTCTGCCCGCTCGCTCGCGTTCTCTGCGGCAGGGGAGAGACGAATGCACGGGCACTTACGGAGAGGCTACCAGTGAGACGCTCTGTCGTCACAACAGGGAAGGGATCTGGAAGATAATGATCATATACCATATTGGCCTTTGTCATTATTATTGTAAGCGTCATCATTATTGTAATCATGATTCATCACCATTGTCATCAAATATCATCACCACCACCACCACCAATAAAATCATAATCGTAAATGTCATGAACACAATTACTGTCACCATCATCACCATCATCATCATAATCAGTGCAAGGACAAACAAAATTCAATTGACATTTCCCAATACAGTAAAACCTCTCGAAGCTTGATATATGTGGGAGATGTTAAACAGCATCATCATCATCATCATCCACGATCAACCCCTGGCAACGTTGGCCCAGTTGTTTAACAGAGCCATTATGAGCCTACTGAGCCACCTGGTGCCCCCCACCCCACTCCTCGGATTGAGTCTGTGTGTTTTTTTGGAGGACGGAGAATCGATGGCGGCGTCACCGAGAGCAAGGGTGAGGTCTCTGCGGAGCGCGAAGCCGATGAGGCGGTGAGACTCGCGTGACGCCACCACCGGGAAACCATTACACGTGGAATCACGGACAAGCTGTCGCACCTCGCCCACCGTCATATCCTCCTGGAGACATGGGGACACGCGGGGATACACACAAAGTCACACACAAAGTCACACACGGAGACATGCGCGGATACACAGAAACACACGGAGATCCCAATTGGATATGTCGAACACACACAAAAATGCAGATGCAATCATGTTTGACCTCCCTAACATGTGGTTTTCTGTAGCAGTTGTCCTTGACAGTAGCACTGGCTGCATGTGGTTGTCTGTGGAAGCAATCAGTGAATGCACATAGATGCCCATTTCAGAAGTCAGTGATGTTGCGCGGTTGCCTGTGAAGAGCAGCATTTAGTTGTTTGTGGCCACTTGTGGCTGTAGTTCGTGTAGTTGCACAAAGTTGCCAGAGGAGGCAGCCTGATGTTTTCATGTGGTTACGTATGGCAGTAGCATGTGGTTGCATGCATTTTCTCATGTTGGTGGCTTGTTTGAAAATGCTTGCTAGGGGTGATATGCAATTGCAAGTAGATGTCTGTTGCAGTAATTATGTTGTTCCATGTGATTGGTCATGGTAGTATATTCCATAGTGGCAGCATGTGGTTGCCCATGGCAGTATTATGTGGTTGCATGTGTAGTTGTATGCATGTGTGTAGCCATCCATGGCCGTAGCTTGTGGGTGCGTGTGTTTGCCCATGGTAGTAGCATGTAGTTGCTCATGACAATAGTACGTGGTTGCCCGTGACAGTAGTATGTAGTTGCCTGTGGCATTAGCATGTGGTTGCTCACAGCAGAAGAATGTGTTCCTATGGTGGTCATGTGGTTACTCAGGGCAGTAAGTAGCTTGTGGTTGCTCGTGGCAGAAGGATGTGATTACCTATGACAGCAGCATGTGGTTGCCCGTGGAAGCAGGCTGCCAGTTGCATGCTGCTGTGCTTGATTGGAAGGTATGTGTGTGTGCGGTTACCCGTGGTGGTATCGTCTGGTGGCATGTGATTTCTCGTGGCTATGTCATATGATTGTTTGCTCGCTGCAGGAACTGGCGTGTAATTACGCATACACTGGCGGTGTCGAGCGGTTGCCCAAGGTTACCCCCCGAGGGCGTGCGATACTCACCTGTGTTAGGAGCGTGAGCGGCGGTTCACCGGGACGCGGATGCATGGCGTGGGCCGCTAGCGTGGTGTGCGTCACCTCCTCCTTGGCCTCGAGGAACGGGTACCCATTGAGGCGAATGTGCGCCTCGTATATTCCCTCGCGGCCAAAGGCATCGCCCACCCACTTGCTCGTCATGATGGCCGCCATCAGTGGCACAATGTACTCCAGGCCGCCCGTCAGCTCGAACACGATCACCACCAGCGACACCGTCATGCGAGTCACACCCGCTGGCAGGGGGGCGAGTGGCGCGGGGATGAGTAGCGCGGGCGAGCGCACGTACGGCACATGTGATAACCTGACTTAGCAAGACGCTAACGTGTTGCAATCATGGCATACGGCGCGCATAACGCAAGGTGCATGTGCACACGCAGGGCACAACAGGGATATGATGATCAATGTGACAATTCATTGTTATGATTAAAGGAGTTATCACGATTCTGGGTTTAGATTTGAGTCGTGAATCTTGCAGCTGCTGCTGATGATGACAACAGTGCATGGCAGATACATCGAAAATGAGTGAAAACGACGACGATGACAAATACAAATGATGAGTAATAATCATGAGGAATATGATAAAATACTGATGATAATGAATATATTTATAGTGGTAGAAGATTATGTATTTTGTTTCATTTAATTTTATGACGTGATCGAATTAAACAGAGCGATACAGCCCAACATGCCTTCAAAGGGTTACAACATATTAAACTATCCATCATAAACAAATTACACACGGACTGTCTATCACAAAGTGTTATAGGGCAGAAAAAAGGGGGGATAAGGAATAGGGGAGGGTGGGAGTCTAACCTAGGCACATTTCAGAGAACAGAGAAGAGATGGTCGGGGTTAGTCGGTGGTGAAGTAGGAGGATGCCACATTCTGTTGTGAATCTCGCCGGTTTTAATAAAATAAAATAATCGCTCAAGACAGGCAAACTTAAGCATTCTCTCAAGCAATGCCTTTAGAGTGAGAGGATTGTGATTCTGTCATTCGCCGAGTATCACTAACCTCAACATTAAGAATTATAGCGTCAAACTCCACAAATCCGCGTTGATGTGGGAAATGGTATTCACGGATTTTCTCATCTGTTGTGATACTCTGCAATGAAATCAACCGGATGAACGTAATCAACCAGGTAAAGTGTTAACTGTTGTGTTAGCCGACTCTCTGTGTTGCATTGCATTACATTTCTAAGTTTACTAGCTTTGTTTTCTCAAACTTCCAATTTCTCTCCCCCTGCCGCTCTCATTGACATGCTAATTTCTCTGCCCCAACCCCCCCCCCCCCTCTATATATATAATACCTCATCACAGAGGCGTTGTTCGTCTGTGTGTGTGTCTCTGTGTGTGTTTCTCTCGACCCGTGGCACCTGGGTCTGCCCCGTGACCTCCTGCCAGCGGGCGTTCGACACTTCACGTGGCCTCAAGGTGCACATGACCTGGCACAAGCGTCGTGGTGACGTCACCGCCACTTAGTGGCGAATGGCAGTTGTTGTTGTCTCTCTATGCGTGTGTGTCTCTCTATGTGTCTCTCCTCTATGTGTTTCTCTCTCTCTCTGTATTTGTCTCTCTCTCTGTGTTTCTCTCTCTCTCTGTGTCTCTCTCCGTGTCTGTGTTTGTCTCTCTCTCTGTGTATGTGTCTCTCTCCGAGCTTGCATTCACACCTGATGACGGTTGCTTGTGTTGCAATCAAAACGTCGTATTCTATTATTTATTTGATTTCTACGTGACTTTACCGAAAGAACCAAAAAATAAATGCATTCATTCATATTTACTGTACCTACAACAGCCCGTCGTTAACAGGAGAATGGTCCGTAAGCAAAAACATTGGGCTCTATGGAGGCCCATCATTGAACGATTAGTCGTTAACAGGGGTGGTCTTTAAGAGGGGTTCTATTGTATTTAAATCCGAACTAAATGCCTTTTTATTCATCCAGGCATACATTGAAAAATAGGTAATCGCATTTTGGACATTTGCTTTATTGATCTAAATTAGTCGTAACTTCTTAGCATTCCACCACCCCTCCTGTGAAGGTTTCCTGGCTTTGTTGAGAAGTTGGGATTGTGGTCTGGAATGTGACCTAATGGACTAACTTCTCAATTGGGATAACTTTTGTCTTGTTTGTGCCTTTTTTTCTGGTGCAATTTCTTTAGTTATTTATTATTATTCCCTTTGAAGTCAGGTTTTCATTTGCTTGGTAATAGCTGGATATAGGATTTGGTCCTTATATATAATTAATGCACAGAGTTATGGGAAGCAATTAACATGAATGATGCTATATAAAATGAAAGTATTATTCGTATTATTAACTGTGACTGTTTTTCCAAAGCAATTTATGGTTAAGTGGTTATGATAAGCGACAGGTTTAATTTGAGGGTTACAGTTAAAGAGTTCATGCTCACCCAGGCATGCAGTGGCGCCCACCATGGCGTAGAGGCCAGGCGTGACGCAGCTTGTGCCTGGGCTACACCAGCCATCGATGCCCAGTGCAGCACCGTGGCTCCATGCCATCCGCTGCACCCCAATGCCCAGCAGCCGCCCGGCTACTGCGCCCACCGCCATGCTCGGGATGAACAGGCCCGACGGCACCTGCAGCCACAACAACCACAGTAGCCGTGTCGTTATACTCAACAAGCACTTTTTGAAACTCTGGGACCAAGTCCATGTGTGTGAGAACACACAGAGGGTCCCTCCATCCTAATCACATTGAATACTCTCAGTCGTGTCACATCTCAGAAGTCAAGCAGGTTTGAAAAATAAGAAAAGCTTTTACCCTTTCTGGCAATAAACCGGGAGGTGTTAAGATGTTCAAACACCAAATAGAAACCTTTTGCAAGCAAGCAAGTCTGCATTAACCACACGACTTGTGGTGAATATGCAAACAAACTCTGATCATATAGATGCCCTTGCAAAAGGTTTCTAATTGGTGTTTGAACATCTTAACACCTGTTTTATTTCCAGAAAGGGTAAAACCTATTCTTGTTTTTCATGCTTTAAATACTGGCATGATATTGATATTGGTTATTTCTTGGATACATAAAACGAAACTAAAATCTTTTAAGTTTACCAGGTAAGGCCCATTGAGCTATAAAGCTCATTTTTCAGAAGCAACCTGGCCACAAATGTTTCTAAATGTGAAGGGAAAAACCAGAGGACTCGGAGGAGAATACACACAACCACGGGGAGAACATGCAAACTCCAAATATACAGACATCAGGGTTGGGATCGAACCCACAACCTCCTCCATACTAGGAAAGGTATCTCACATCTTGCCACCGTGGATGATAGCCCGAACATACCCGTTGGATGAAATATTGCCAAGTAGGTATGGGCTGCAAGGTGGCCAGATGAAGATACAGCTATGAGCTTAGTTCATAAATGGCTTCTATGGATTTGGTCTGTCTGTGGATTGAATCTGTCTGTGAGTGTTAATCCTGCATGTGTGTGTGGTTTTATTTCTGAGTACTTCAATTTTCCCTCACATACCAAACACTCACTGGCCAAATACCATACCTTATGAACCCGGGTGCCTGCTCCGTACCTTCATGCCGAACGTGAACACGGTGATGACCACCTTGAAGACGAGGGCCAGGCCAAGCAGCCACAGCGATGCATTCTGGGAATCCAGGTCAGGGGGCGCAGCCGTGGTTGCGGTGACGGGGGTGGTCCAGCTTGTGACGTTGTCGGCGAAGCCCGACGGGGATGGGGACGGAGACGAAGATGGCGATGGATACGGGGAGGACGGAGGGGAGAGTCCACAGAGTGGGGATGCCTGCTGCAAGGGGTTGCAGTCACGCAGCAGCTCTGCAATGAGGGAGCTGCTGCTCTTGCGCGTGTATGGGTTCGGGTAGGAGAGCACAGCCGTCACCAGCGCCACCACCAGCACCTGCACCCGCAGTGGAGATACAACCAGGAGTGGAAGGACAGGGATGATATGGAGGAAATGAAGGAATGGGGGGAAAAAATTGACACAGAAAGATGGGGAATGAAACAGAGACATGGAATGCCAGGGCATTTCACAGAGACATTAAAGGATTGGGGTGACAGGCAGAGACAGAGAAGAGGTGATGCAGCAATAATGAAGAAAAGGCGTAACAGAGAGACAAGGAGGAAATAGGTAACACAGAAACACATGAGAAATGGTTGACAGAGAGATATGAAAGGACAGAGATGACACAAAGACAGAGAAGGGTATTGGAGCATGGACACGGAGAGCCATTGAGGATATGGAGAGACACAGAAGGCAAGTGATGTCATGAAAATGATCCATAAGAGCAAGGGGGCACAGGGAGACAAAGGAACAGGGGTAGAAGTGTTGGGTGCTCAGAGAGGTCAGGGCCAAGAAAAGACAAAAGGACACGAGAGCCATTGAAGACAAAGAGACAAGACGTTTTCATGATCAACACAACCAGTTCGAGCGTTAATGTCATCTTCATTGTCATAATAACCAAAGCAGCATTTGGCGGATGTTGATTAGAGTGATGTTAAATCGTTAGCCTATACAATTTGGGAGCATTGTACTGTGATGTTAATAATGATGATAATTGTGATGTTGCTGTTAAAGTCACCTGAAAAACTGTGTAAGGAGATGGTCTCGTGATTGCAGTCTCCTCAAATACAGGCGATCGGGATGACGGCAATAAAGATGATGACGATAAAGTCATGATTGTCTTGATTGTGATCGCCACTTCAATCACAGTGTACAGTGGTAATAATACTAACAGTAATAAATAGCAAATAATTTACAACTTTTCACTCCACTGTTGGATGAAGGCTTCTATCCGCATCGGTTATAGGGATTGTTTAGCCATTTATCACCACGTTAATCGATGCTGATTTGGTGACGGGAAAGGGGTCAGTTTCAGATATCACTCTCCCCTGATGGTGGCTATGACCATAAATCAATTCAGTTTCGATGTTCACAGCGCAGTGCACTGCCCACTACTCCTCCCAATCATAGCAACAATTATTATAATGATGACGTCAACGATGATGATGATGATGATGGTATCGTCGTGGCCATCACCTCGATGACAGGGAAGCGTCCGAGGCGGGAAAACTTGCGCCGGCGGCACCAGGCAATGTTGAATTTGATGAAGGCAGCGCCCCAGAGACCTCCGAACACGCCAAGCGCGACGAAGGGCAGCAGCTCGGGCAGGTGCCACGGCCGTCGGTACTGCACGTAGAAGAGCACCAGGTGGCTGCTCCCGAAGGGGTTAAGAGCACGGAGCACGAACGCTGCCACCAGCGCCGCGAAAAACGAGCGCCACAGTGTCTTCATCGGGAAGTAGTAGCTCACCTGGCACCAGAGGTCAGCGCCACGAGGGCAGAAGGCGGTGGGGGCGGAAGAGTTTGGTGGGTGGTCAACGAGGATTGAAGATATAGTAATGGTTCGTGCAGCAGGTGAACGGGAAGATTATGATGGTGCGCGCAGTGTGATATGCACTGGAGAACATACGCGGAAGTTAGATACATCGTATTGAGGGTATTGAAAAGTAAGCAGGCTTGGGCAGGACACATTGTTAAGACAGGATTATGGCCAGTGGTTGAGACTAACGATGAAGTGGCAGCCAAAGGAGGACGCATGCCTCAGAGGATGTTTACTGTGGACAATGAGAGAGCCAAAATCAACTTGTGTGCAAGTGCTCAATATATTGGTGCATTATAAGACCGTAAAAGTTGGTTATGGTTTGGGGAAGCATTCATCCAACAATCAATAGATCATGAAGGATGATTATATAGAGGCATTATGACCTCATAATGTAATGTCGCATGAACTACAAGGTTAAGACATTACGAGACATATGACATCATGTAACCCACCAGCACACACTAATTTGATTGTGTTACCCACCAGCAAATATAACTGGAGAACCTGCTGCAAATAATGTGGATAATGACAATAATAATGGTGGTGTAGATTACGTGGTTACCTCCTCCAAGCTGAAGAGAACACCTCCAATAGGAGCCCCAAATGCCACCGACACCCCTGCTGCAGAGGCAGCTGAAAGTACCTGCGTGGGAATACATGACACAAGACAAAGATCCCCCATATTGCCATAACAGACTTTTTGGGAAAGTGCTTTGAGCGAGCACCTATGAAGGCTGGCGTGGCACATGAGGGGGGTAGGTGGCCAGCACCACGTCTGGCCACCTTTGTCTCCCTAGTGGCAATGTTTACACACCACACCAGATACTCATTTGAGGCTGAGTTGGCCTAGGGGAGGCCGATGACAGGTTCAAATAATCGTCATTCGTGTCGGCCGTGATCGGGAATCGAACTCAGATCGCCAAGTTCATAGCGCAGCGTGCTAACCGCCAAATTACCGATCCCCACATGCGTGACACGCACATATAAACACACACAGCGGAGAGGGCTGATCCATAATTCCACTATAAACCCCTGAGAGAAGCACACATGGACCAAGAGCATGAAACCAGGCTCTATTGTTATTAGATGGCTCAAACTAACATGATCAGGAGGTTACAAGTCTAAATCCCAGTTGGGGGTCAAATCAGCCAACCACCATCACAGTCAATAAAATAGGAACTACTTTGCAGAGAGTCTAAAAGTATTATCTAAGGAGTGCCTGGCCTCCGAAATGGAATATATAATTTACACAATGGCTGGGATACAAGCAGACAGCGCTCAATTGTTTGTACATGGAGACACTTTTACTTAAACTCTACGATACAGTACACAGATGCATCCATTCCAGGTGGTTGAATGCAGTCCCTCAGCCATACCAGCTCAAAATTCTGACATAGACATTGAGGCCCATTAGAGATACTGTAGATAGACCCACACACACATTCCTCAGGTTTTGAATGTGCATGGACTTCAGGCTGTGACACAAGTGCTATGAATCCTCTGACAGAGGGAAACAAAACCGGTCACCTTCATAGACGTGAAAAATAGACCTCTCGTGAAGAAGCATAAAATATAATAAACGTATTTTAAATATCGTACGACAAGAAAATAATTACGAGGTTGGACTGGAAAATGTATGTATTTTGAGATGTTGAATATTACAAATGAAGAATGTTTGTTGAATATCACCAAAGAGGAAATGGCATTCTGGGGGGGTTCACCGTACGAGAACCTAAAGGGCAGATTCTTGGACCGCCCTTCAGTGGGGAAGTAGATTTAAACAAGCAAGAGGAGGAAAACAGTTTTAAAATAACCATAATGGTGTTTATTTATCCAGGAGAGCCTCGCCAAGCCACAAGACTCTTCATCAGGAGAGTCACGCATTGAGACACGTTGGCAAATTCCATTTATGAGTGTATGGCCTGCAGGAGGAAACCGTCATACAGGAGAAAACCCGCAAATACGAAGGAATGATAAAGCTCGACACAGGCATTCAAGAAGTAATGTCCCGTGCCGCCACCTTCTGGCCACCACGTAGCTGGGCAGGTTTAGAAGTTACACAAACCTGAACGACCACCAACCCTTGCCTCAAAAGTGCCAGGGTTACAAGCGCATGCCATCGTACTCAGCGTAATGGCTGGTCACCCGTGAGCATTAATCGGAAGTTATTCAGCAACAAAGGAACAGAAACAGCTGAAATTATATTGTTTTCGACTTTTAAAAGCGGAGGCGAGTTCTAAATAATAAGAATGAAGTCAATGACGCACCTCCCTCTTCTTGGCTTCGTTGGTGCGGTACTTGGGGAAGAGGTAGCTGAAGATGTTTCCGCAGCAGCAGGCGACGTGAACTAGGGGCCCCTCCTTGCCCAGGCTGAGCCCAGACGACACGGCGAGCACCAGCGTCACCGTCTTGATAAGCAGCGTCCACTTACCTAGGTAGCCCCGGATGATGAAGCCACTGAGGATCGTCTTGATCTGGATCCAGAAGCACAGGAACACACACATCCAAATCGACCAGAACAAAACAAAGATGGTGTTGGATAATAAGAGTGCAGCTCCTCTTATTTTCAGCAGCCTTTTTGTAACCGCTACTTAATAATTTTATCCATGCTCCAAATTGATTTGTGGAAAATTCTGTTATTTAAGGATACATTTTCCCCCTCTAATCTGAATTTACACACAGACAAAATGAATCAACCTCCCTTCAAAGTCCAACCTCGCATTCACATCGTGCACTCTACAAAGCAAGACATTAGATGGCTGGAAGATGTGGGTTGAGAGACGTTGAATGGGGAAAATAATTTAGATGTAGAGAAAGATAAAAAAAGACGTTCTAGAGCAGGCACAGGAGGAGCTGTTTAGTTTGAATAACTTGCCACTTTGACCATCACGGGGTGTTTTAAAATAAGCAGTGTACATTCCTTTAGAGGCATTTTCATTGCTTAGGTTGTGTTGATTTAATCGCTCACAAACCCATGGCATATCCAGGCATGGCTGCACCAGAGATGTTCACACAAGTTCTTCTGAAAAACAATTCAAGTGGCCTTTTATATCTTTACACAAAGGCAAAACTTCCCCACATACTCTGCTAATAGATTGGTGTTTGTCGGATAATAAATATTGTAAACATCAACTGGAATTTTGCCAAATTTTACGAGGAAAACTAATTTTCATGTATTTTTCATGAGTCAAGAGCTTGTATTTAGCCAAATTAAATAAAACAAGGTAATATTTGTGTGATGTTTTAAAACTGTTAATTTGTGACCAGAATGAAAGAAAAAAAACTCACTGCAATTGAGATTGTAGTTTTGCCAGATCGAGCTACCTCGATTTGAAGCCAGAATCTGAGTTCTACCAGCTTTGCCCTCTGAGCCACATGGCCACCTCTTATCCATGTCTTTCAGTTGATGAGTAATCCAGAAGTAGAGATAAATTAATCGTATTGTTTGTGTATTTGTATAGTGATGAGAAATCACTTGAGGATGTTGGCAAAATATCTCTATCATCCATGAGTTCATCCACATAGATAAACTCATGGATATCTGGAGTCTATTTCACAGACAGGAACAAACATAAAATAAACCAATAGCACCCTCGACACCATCATGGATTAAGGAAAATAATACATTAAGAATAACACGAGACTCTAATCGGATGATCAAATGCAGGAAAAGTCACCTCGGGAATCCCGGAGCCACACGCATAGGGAGCAAACATCTTGACGAGCAGGACAGCCACGAGTGCCAGGAAGACAGCCCAGAGCACGTACAATATATAGTTACATATATAGGAGCCGGCACCCTGCACAGCCACAACAACAAACCAATGACACAAATCCACATCAAGCTAAATAATACATCCCGTAGCATAGCCCCTGCTGCCCCAGCTGTTTGAACCAAACCACACAAACCTTCTTTCATGTCTTCCGGTTATGCCTAAAAGACCACATCATGTACCAAGACATGATCCATTCTTCTTAATGATCTTATAGGTACTTCTTTGTCCCCCTCCATTTACACATACCGGTCCAGCCCTCAGCAGAGGAATGGCAACCTCTCCTCACCAGCAAGCATTTGCCTTTTATTTCTGGAGGCTCACCAAGTTACGGTTCAGTCTCTTCCCTCCACCCTGTGGGGGCTTAGCCATTGAACATCAGACATGCATGTCATCTTGGAGCCTCCAGCACATGGTTATTTGTTCACTTTGTGGTATTTTGCTCAAGAGATAAACTTTCATATTCTGCCTCATTCACTGCATTAACCCAGATATAGAATTAGAATATCATTTGCCAATGAAATTTAAAAAAAAATCTGAATTAATAATGGATCCTTACACGTGTTATTAAATGATGATTTAATGCATTGTTACACGAACAGTCCCAGGGATTCCTTATCTCCATGCACCTGAGCCTCCTGAATACCCCCATATCTCCCTTGTTGATGTCCTACCTCATCAGTACGCATCACAAGCTGTCCCCAGCTGTGCCACTGTGGACAGCGGTCACGTTGCAAGAAGGTGGTTTCGTTGGACGTCCAGCAACACTGTTCGCGGTTGAACCAGAATGCAGGGAGACAAATGCCCTCCTTTAGCTGTGACATCCAGTCGGCTGCAATATCGATCAAGCCCGCCAACGCACCTGCACGCATACGCACGCATGCACAGGCGCGTGAGAAAATACTTGGTACAGACAACTACGCCCGTGCAAAAGTACACAGGGCAAGCAGTGGACCATGTATGTAAGCACAGCAAGATGTTCTGGAGTTCATTCAAGTTCCCTCCATCCAGTCGGATATTGTGCTTTCCTCTTAATTTCGGCATACAACTTATTTGGTTCTTTCGGTAAAGTCACGTAGAATGAGAATAACATAATCAAATAACACAATAAGATTCTCACGACGTTTCGGTTACAACGCAAGCGGCCGTCTTCAGGTGAAAGGTACAGAACTGTCGGGACGACAGAGCTTCAATGAACGCCGCTAAGATTCGCAGCTAATTAAGAGAAGGCACCTTGACAAAGGGGTTTACATATCAAACAGGAGAATTTAGCATTGAAATAGCTGAGGGATTAGCTTGTGACTGGTCACAGAAATAGCTGTGTTAAAGTCAAAGCCTACACATCCACAGAGGCACCTAGTACATATCAAACAGGAGAATTTAGCATTGAAATAGCTGAGTGATTAGCTTGTGACTGGTCACAGATTCTGATGATGGTGCAGATGGTACCTGCTGCGAGCCCTGTGAGCGTTACCACCAGCCACCCGGACCAGGCATCGTGCACGCTCGTCAAAAACTCCCACACGGAGCTCTTGCGACGACTCCAAATCTACAAATCATAATAATAATTTTGACACTATGTACACGAGTCATGTAACAAATCTTCAATCAATTTATTTATTTACTCAAAATTCCACTTAATATGGTTCAACTCTGCTGGCAATTCAATGATTTGTTGTGATTTACGAAGTCACGATTCCGTTCACCAATATCATCACGAGCATCCTTATCATCAGCAGTATGTACATTATAATTAACATAAACAGGATCCTCATAAAAGTATTCTAATCACCAACAAATACACTATTTAAACAAACATAGTAAAATAAAAAATAATTGCAAATCAACAATAGAATTTAGATTTAAATGGAATATAAACTACAGGAAGACATCGCCGAGTGCAACCCCATAGAACGCCGATTCGTTACAGCGCTCTTTGTCATGGAGAAAAAGTATACTAAAAAAACATTTAAACCAAAAATTACTGATGAAAACACGCAGCGCCAGGTCCGTCAGGTGGGTGTGAGTCTTGAGCGTCAGGTGGATGCACTGGTACAATATACTGATATTATTCTAATAAAATGTTCTTTTTTTTTAAACCTGTATTTCCATCTGTATTATTAGCGCGATTACCGATACTCCAATTAAGCCCTCATATATTGCTCATATGTAAGAAATAACACTTCCAAGAGTGATCCCCATATATACAATGGTATAATAACCCCTTTTAGCACCGATTACATTTTAGTTCACTTCTCCAGGAATATCTTGAGTGCTAAGCGAGGTCTGCCTGTGATAAATAAGTCTGCTCTAGTTAACTATCAAGTGGATGGGGTCACCTGAATGTGAGTGATGGTGTTCCCTCGTCAGGTGAGTATCTTCGCCAACCCGCACTGACCAGCATGAAGTACAGCGGCTAATCTTCCCCTAATGGTAGTGCAGCCAGAAAATGTCAGTCCTCAGTCAACTTGCAGCTCTGATTTCATCATCCATGGTAACAGCAGGCTAGATTTAGGTGTAACCAATGTTATAAATCACTGGGTAAGAACAGGAAGCCTACTCTATGTGACCATCGTCACACACAGTGAGTGTGCGGATACTCAAAAGGAATAATTCTGGAATATTGTTGGCATCAGTGAGATAAAAAATATGGGAAGGAAAATGTGAGAGCACTATTCATGAGCTGACGATAAATATGAAGGAGTGGGATTTAGCATTTCTAGAAATTAAAAGTTTTAGGTTCCAAGAGTCATCAGACAAGAGTTGCTCAGCTTAAACTACGGTTCTCAAAACACTAAAAGTTACAAATAATTTTCATATTAATATCGGCCCACTGCCTGGGGGGTGGTGTGGTCAGCACCACACCCAAATGCATTTTGTATCTCCAGTGCTGTTTACACATTGCACTAAGCACTCATCTAAGGCTGAGTCGACCTAGGGAAGGACATGTTCATATTTCACTTTCCACTCAAGTTAGGTCATTAGGTTTGTAGCACAGTGCACTCATCATTACGCCACTCTGCACGTGTTGAACTTAAAAAAAAGATCCCCCATATAGCCTGAACAGACTTTTGGGGGCAAGTGCTGTTATAGAGGACCTATGAAGGCTGGCATGGCACATGAGGAGGGTGGGTGGCCAGCACCACGCCCGGGTGACTTTGTCTCTATAGTGGCAATGTTTACAAACCACACCAGGTACTCATTTGAGGCTAAGCCAGCCTCGGGGAGGCCCAGGACCAGTTCAGATAATCATCACTGGTGTTGACCATGAGAATGAAACTCGGGTCGCAAGGTTCTTAGCGCAGCACACTAACTACTACACTACCGCTCCCCAACAACTACTGCCATTTGCCACAAAGTGGCGGTGACGTCACCACGACGCTTGTTGCCAGGGTAGGTGCACTTTTAGGCCACGTGAAGTGTTGAAGGCTTGCTGGAAAGAGGTCATGGGACAGATCCAGGTGCCATGGGTTGAGTGACTGAGATGACCGGTAGATGTACCAACTGTGTTCGCCACTGTACCAGCTTGCTTCATAATACCTGCCTGACACTTTGATCATTGTTGTAAGTGTTGCTCCTCTGCCCTCTGCTGTTGTAGAAGGGCAACTGCATCAAAGTGCCGAATAGCATTCTTCACGAGCCTCCTCCACAGAGGCCGATCTTGACATCGCTGATCCAAGTCATCGACAAGTCAAATCAGTTCCACATCCTTCTGTTGATCAGTCCATCTCTTTTCTAGCCCGTGCTGCACCAATTTAGCCCCCTCTATCTAGCCAAACAAAAGCTGTTTGGATATACGTTGGTTGAGCATGCGGGTTACATAACCCAAACAATGCAGCCTTGCCTGCCTGTGGAACTCACTGATGGGAAACTGTCCAGATCTTTCAAGGATTTGTGAGCTCCTCACACAATCCAGCCCTGGTTAAACGTAGGATGGGTCGTAGGCAGGCCAGCCTGAATGTTTCCTTCAGAGGGGTCCATGTTTCGCAAGCATAGAGAAGGGAGGGAATAACTGTGGCTGAGAAGATCTCTTTGTGTGCAGCGAAAGACCAGCTATCTTCCAAACAGCGTTGAGCAGCTGATGAAAAGATGCTACTCGACTGATTCGGAGTGAAACCTCCGCTGCCAAACCAGAGCTGGTCATAAGCACACTACCCAGGTATGGAAGCTTTTCCACTCTCTCCACAACTGCCCAATCACTCATGGGAAGTTGCGAGGGTGGAGTGTCTGATGACACAAAATACCCAGGTAGGTGCTTAGTTTTGGTATGGCTAATGGTAAGGCCCCACCTTTTAGTGGCATGCTCCAAGTTTAGCAGCAGAACCCCCAACTCCTTCTCAGAGTGAGCAGCAATTACATAACTTACTATGGGCCATATTTCTCACAAGTACTACTACAAAATAAATATTTGTAATCTGAGAGTAAAATTTATATTTTTACAACTCAGAGCTGGGATCTAGCCAAATCAAATGAAAACCCAAATGTAACAATTTTTGGTTCAGCTAAGTGACCAGATTGAGACAATTCTGATATTCTCGAGGTGCTGGCATGATTAAATATTCCTTCATGTGGGTGTCACATCGTACTGTGCGGTGCCTCTCTCTGTCACGCGATTTCTCCCGGAGCCAGTCAATGGTGTGGAAGTCATCGTAGGTTCCCACGCCTGGGATGGGCTCCTCCAAGATCTCCAGCAGCTGAGACAACCCCGATACACCAGCACCTCCCCCAGCATCGCTCACCACCACTGTGCTGCCTGCAAACCCACCACAAAAACGTATACCATACATACACGCACCACACACATAACACACATACACCATACACATATACCATACATGCGCACTACATACTTTACACCATAAACATAACACTCTAAATTCAAAACTCATTCTTTTGGAACTGTTTTTGTGACTGTGGCCGAAAAAAAAACAAAGCTTCTTGTGGAGAAAAAGGCCAGGTAGCTTCCACATGTTACGCAACAGATTAAAAAATAATGCCGCCTGACTGATATGCAGCTAGAGCTCTGCTTCCAAAACAGAGCTGGTTATTAGCACAATGCCCAGGTATGGAAACCTCTACTCTCCTTCTACAAATGCCCCATCACTCATGAGGAGTTGGTGGAAAGAGTGGAGAGGTTTCCATACCTGGGCATTGTGCCTATGACCAGCTCCGGTTTGTAGCAGACTGACAGAGAATATGGTGTGTGAAGGACTGCCCTGGCCTGAAACCACATTAGGGCTCCTCAAGCCTCTCCTCAGCATGCCTGGCAAGGCAATGTTGAATAATCCGTTCCAGGACCTTACCCGGCACACTGAGGAGGGAAATGCCCATTAGTTGTTACAATCTGGCGGTCCCGCTTCTTATGGAGGAGGACCATGAGGAAATCCTTCCAATCCCGCAGAAACCGTCCAGTAGTCCAGACTGTTGTAATGATGTCATATAGGGCAATCTGCACACAAATATCACCCTCCCTCAGCAGCTTGCTAGGGAGATTAGTTCTGCCCAGAACGTTTCATCATCTTAGACTCTGGTTCACCTTCCGTAAATGATACCTCAGCCAGCCACTCACAGGGGGTGACCACTTCTTCCAATATTTGAGAAACCGCAACTCCAGCAGGATCCTCCTCACCTTGTCTCATGATGTTATCTGGGCTGAGGGATTTCCCCTTCCCGAAGACCTCACAGAAATGCTCAGCAAACCTACAAACCTGTTCTTGGGGTCCGAGATCAGATCACTCTTCTTTCTCCTAAGGATGGTGATAGGTGTGGCACTGCAAGCTACTTTTAATGGAATTAATGAGTGATTTGTGATGATGGGCTACTAAGTCAGATTCAATTTTCTCAGCAACTCGCGACCACAACTCATCCTTGCAGGGCTGCACAGCTCTCCGAACCTCTGAGCGAAGCTGTAGTAAGGCTCCCTATTGGATCCCTTCCCCTGTAGCATTTTACGAGATGACCTTCTGCATTGGGGCCCTGTGTCCTTGGCCTCTTCAACGAGTCTCTTGAGACTGCAACGTTCCTACAATTTGTAAGATGGCTGCAGTCAACTCACTCTTAAAACAGCTGGGTCTTGATCCAAAACTTCCCAACAACTCACATCCTGTCTCCAACCTTCCTGACTTATGCAATATCCTGGAACGTGCCATGGCCTCTCGTTTCCACCAGCATCTGGCCTATAATAACATATCTGACCCCTTTCAATCAGGTTTCAGGGCTGTGCACAGTACTGAGACAACTCTAGTGAGGGTGATCAGGGATTTATTGCTGTTTGCGGATAAGGGTCAAGCTAGTATCCTCATCCTGCTTAATCTCAGTACCATTGAGCATGGGGTGCTTCTTTCACGATCAGAACACTGAATGGGGATTTCTCAAACTACTTTACAATGGTTTCGCTCTTATTTAGAGAAACACATGCACTAAGTCACAATGGGTGACCTTAAATCTCCGATCAGACCAGTTCATTGCGGTGTCCTGCAAGGATTTGTACCTGGTCCCTAACTATTCTATGCCTACATGGCACCCTTGGGCATTGTTACTACATTTGTGTTTAAGTTATCACTGTTATGCTGATGACATGCACGCACATTCACATCCAGTTAGACTCTGACTCTGCGATGGCTGTTTCTGCAATGCCTGCATCATTAACATGAGGCAAATCTTAGTTGCAGCAACATTTTTTTTTTACTAAATGCCGACAAAACGGAGGCCATCTTCATTGGCTCCCCTCTACAGTTATCTAAAGTTGGTTCGCCATGTTTGCCAATAGATGGTCTTGATGTCTGCCCACCCACAGGTCGTTAGAAATCTTGGTGTTCAGTGTGACCAGTCCCTGTCCTTTGAGGCACATGTATCTAGGTTAGCCCCATAATATTTGCAGGAACTGATAAATGAATACACTCCAAAGAGGTCCCTGATATCTTCGGATCGCCTTCTTCTAAGTACTCCGAGGTCAAGGCTCAATTCTTGGGGTGATTAGGCTTTTGCCAGTGCAGCTCCCAGGCTTTGGAATGCTTTGCTAACAAGACAATCAGACTCATTAAATATATTTAAGTCTGTCTTGCAAACTCACCTCTTTAAATTGGCCTTTACGCCCTAGTTCTGGCTGGTCACCCTGGTTGTTTATTTCCTACATTCCATACATGTGTGATATGGGATCTATGGATAAAATGCACCTTACAAATGTTAAATATTATTGATGTCAACCACAGCGCTTGTGCAAGGTCAGGCGCACATTGAGACCAGGTAAAGTGTCAAAGGTTCGCTGGGAGGTCACAGACCATATTAGGTTAAAATCCTGCCTCATGACATTGGCCCATCGCCTCTCTTGCTCACTTAATGTCTATTCTGTCCCATCTATCCCGCATTCAGATGAATTCCCACGATTCAGAGTCACAATTAAATTCAAGCATCATTTGCTTTGCCACTGTGATGAATACGCAGACCCACAGTACCATACAACAAAAGTTTAATGCATGGCGATCACCCATCCAGACTCAAGCCTGCTTAAGTTTTCAGATCTGACAAAATAGGGTACATTCTGGGGATATATTGTCAGCAGAGGACAGTGCAGCAACATATTGGTGTACTCTACTACACTACAAAATAGATCCCACTACCTGCATGTAATTACAAAAGGGGCATACGTGTACATGTGATGAATACATGTATTGTGACTGTATTAACTCATTATTATGAATGTATTAACTCATTGTAATTGAAGAATCAATTCATTATCACATTACTTTCAGGACCTCGTGGAACAAATGCAAAGTTTTTATTTATTTTGGTTTAGGCAGGTAAGAAACATTCAGCCCTAAGCTGATTTACAAGATTGGCCCACGGAGAACAACCTTAGTCATGGGAAAGTCATTGGTACTGGACAGTCCCAGACACTGTGGGGGTAGAACACCAGCAATGGACAGACCCAGGCTTTTTCGGTGAAACAGAGGAAGCTCTCTAACAGGTTATAGATGCAAGTATCCACTGGTGATGGCAATGTTCATCAATGCTAGGAATTCAAACCCTGGTCATAGCACAGTGCAAAACTACCATCACTCCCCAAAACAAACACAAGCTCATCATCTCATCATCATCTCACCAATGACCCCCTCAGTCGCTGTAGGCTGCTCTGCTGTCCTCCAAGTCGCCGCCGCTGTGTTGATGCAAGATGGACGCTCGCGTATCAGTTGCCTGAGGCCGGCTGTGGGGTCTTGGGGAAGGTCAGGACCAGAGGAGTGGTCGGAGCTCAAGGGAACAAAGTCGGAAGCCACCTCGTCCGGGTCCTCGTCGCTCGGGCTCCCGAAGCTGTTGTAAGAACCCGAGTTGTGGCCTTGTGCTCGCAGCAGATCTGACTCCATGCTGGCCCTGGGTGGACGTATGGTAGGAGTTAGGGATGGGACAAATTCGAATCTGGATTCTGATTCAGTGCAGTTTTGGCCATTTCTTTTAGGACTTGACAAATCCAAATGTGTATTCCAGACACTGAATCCGTGTGACCATAGTCTGCTGATGACGTATATGACTGCGCTTCCAGCCAAATATAGTATTGGTGAACTCACAGACTCACTTGCCCACAGACTCACACTTTTATAGTCACTCGCCCACTCGCTCATAGGCTTACTCGCTCTCTCTACATCGCTCTCTGAGGAAACACTGATTAGATCAGGTAAGAAACCAATACTGCCGGTATTAAATCCCACCGGAATTATACACTAGTTTGACATGAATGGTTAATATGTATATGAAATTATGTATTCATATAAATGCTCATATCTACTTCTCTGAAAGTAAATCATACTTGCAGGGTCTCGCAAGAGTATATTGGACAAAATGTCACCACAGGGCGTTGGTGTGAAGTGCAGGACTTGTTGGCAGCCCGGGGAAATGGCTGTGTATAATTAACAAAGCTAAACTATGAACCAACTAAAATCGCTCTTGATCAATCCACACAGTCATTTGCAATTCGGAATAAGATAAATATAAACACAGAACATTCAGAGTTCACTTTACAGTACAATAATAATGTACAGCTCTTTGCTAATACGCCACTGGATAACGGCATATCCACACTGTATTGGTCATGGGCGTTGTTTGACCATGCTTCGACCATGCTTCACCACGCTGGTTTATGAAAAGGGGCAACCAACAGTTCAGATATCACTCGCTACTGAAATTAACCATGACCGGGAATTGAAGTGTATTGCACTCACAACTGGGCCACTGATCCCCCATATCCTACATATCTTGGGAATTTCAAGACAAAGCAGTATTCTCTGGCATGGATAATAATAATATAGTGAAATCTTACAAACATTACTGGGTGTAATATAAATCGAACAGTGGACTGTTGTGAGCGTGGCTCTGGGTGCAGCTGATTGAGTGGATAAGTGAAAAAATAGGTCAGACAGGGCGCACTATACTGTCGTTTGTAAAAGCAGATTATCACATGACATGCACTGCCAAGTACTGTATGTTTCATGAGTAGCCTTCCAAAGTATGTGTGGTAAAGGCCCAAGATAAAGTGGGGGGGGGGGGGGGGGAACGGTAGTGTAGCGATTCGCGTGCTGCCAACATCAGCGATGATTATCTGAACCAGTCCTGGGCCTCCTCTAGATCGACTCAGCCTCAAATAAGTACCGAGTGTGATGTTTAAACATCCCCACTCGCTACGAGGTTAAATAAAGAATACTTGCCCGAATACTATTAAGGCGATACGGTGGGGGTCTCTGTAAAGGCTACAATAAAAATCGACGGGAATTGAATCCAGTGTGTAACACGAAGGATACGACAAGCACCTTGTCCGCCTGAGTGCTCACGAACAGCGATTTCCTCTATGGTATATTAGAAGATTGGACACGGGATTTAATGTGTGTAGAACACACTTGTGGGGAGCAGTGCAGCTAAATCTATCGATGTACTTACTGTGTTGTCACCTCTACGCTTCCCCACCTCCACCAAGCACCAATGACCAACGTATTATCGGGAGGCTTGCATCCAGCCTTGAAATTACAAAATGGGTATACAAGATGGTCCAGATGTGAGGGGCCGTCCATAAATGACGTCACGCGATTTGGGCCGATTTTTGACCCCCCCCCCCCTCTTCGTCACACGACGTCACAAAAAGTCAGACCCCCCCCCCTCAAATATGACGTCACAAAGCTCTGCCCCCCCCCTCTCCCCAAAACCATATTTCCATTTTGAAAATAAAACATGCTTCAAATCGCTTTAAACTATTGTCATTGTAGTGCGTATTTAATGTGGCACTGCACTCTGATGTTGTAGGAGTGTTGTTATAACAATTAGTGTTGTTATAACAATTCCATATTTATTTAAAGTTGCGCATTTTTATGTGACGTCACATTTCTCAAACCCCCCCCCCCCCCTCGTCACACATCGTCACAAATGTCTGACCCCCCCCCCCCCACTAGGTGCGTGACGTCATTTATGGACGGCCCCTGACCCTCAATTAAATGGACCCTTTTCCTTTGCATATTCATTTGTTTTAAAATAAACCTTACTTAAAGAATATTAAGCTTTAGGTAATTAAATGGGGGTCACCAAGACATGTGGAGCTCCCTGTAGATAACATGGTTAAATAACAGGTAACCAAGGCCACAAGTTGTAACCTCTCATTCGTACCCATCAACTGCCTTGATCTATCCACTGCTGGATGAGGGCCTCCCCACATCTCGCCCCTGAACGTGAACTAAACCCATTTCTCCATCTTCAAAATGTTCAACCTCTTGGGCGTGTTTCATTATTTGTCTGGAATTCCATTGCCAGGCACGTCTATCGGTCATGATCCCTTCTAGCGACTGTTCTAAACAGTCAAAGTCCCGCTAGTGGCGTGGTTAAGTAAAAGACATTTTATTCAGATCACGAATCTCAATGGGTTGCCACCTTGTGGTATACTGTACCACGTTTCATTGAACAAAAATCTCAACCGATGCCATCTTATGAGGGTCAAAGGACGTATTTTAGCCGACGAATATCAATGGACAACTCGTTCCGAGGTTAAACGAAGGTCGTTTACAATTAAGCTAACGAATTTTTTAATTGGCCATCACCCATTTAACTGCGCGTCAACGAGGTTGACACCTGCCTGGTCACAGATAAAGGACATTTAACCGACGCAACGAAATCTCCATATGGGCGGTCACCTACCGGGTTTAAATATCAGTATTGGTGAAACGTCGGTCAATTTTGCGCACGTGTTCCTCACCTACCTGTCCGTGCGTGAGCGATGGGGTGAGATGAACGCACGGATCGGCCGACGTCGTACTGCGCTAAATAAAATCGCCTAGATCATCCCCTCCGTCTCCATCAGCAACCTGCCCGGCATCTGCAGAGCCGACGGCGGCGGCAGTGGTGGTGGCACCACGCCACCGAGCGGAGGGATGAGGGCGGTGATGTCACCGCGTGGCACGGCCGACCCGCGCAACGTCACCGCGTAGCACGGCGTCTATTGATGCTACGTCACCACGCACATTTATCACGTAAGATTGTATTCGGGGAGGGGACCTTATTTTAATTAGGTTTTTTTTTGTTGCGAGCCTATTTGCTGTGGTGGTGCAACGAGCATGAATGACGACACGCACAAAAAAACGGAACGGTCATGATAATTAATACGTGGCGTGTCGGGTAAAAAAATTGTCTTTGTTCACAAGGCGCGCGCACACACATAGATGCAACGATTTCTAAGTGAAAATTACGTAATCACTCACGATTCAATTGACTAGTCTTTGTTGTTGCTGCTGTGCATGCAGAATATACAGTGGCGTAATTATGTCGTGAGCAGAATCGAATAATTATTTTTGCAGCCCTTCGTCATTTATGTAGTTTATTGTAAAAATTCGGTCACAGTCCTTGTGATCACTGTTACTTTGCAATTATGGCTTTATTTTTTGGTGCTTTGGAAAAGTTTTTTGTTTTGGGCATGTTTGTTTTGTTGTAGTAAGGAGTTAGCCTTAATCTAAGTTTTCTTGTGGTTGTTGTTGTTTGACTTGCTTCCCACTGGGATTTTTTACACAGCGTTGGTGTACGGTGCTTTTTTTCAGGAATATTTTTTGCTGTTTTTTTTTTCCCATGGATTTTCTTTTTGCACAGTCACGGTCACTTTAAGATGTTTTTCTTGTTCGTGTTTTTGTTTTTTTGTTTGTTGTGGTTGCACCCGATTCAAGAGCCGGATGGCTCACAGGGCTATACCAAAATAAACTGAACTGATGAAAGCCAACTTCAAACCGTGCCGATTAGAGGGGTTGACCAAGCAGCAATAAACAGCGTAAAGCAAGGACGTAATTATAATATATATTGGGGGACACACCCCCCCAAATGTTCAAATATGCTCAAAATGCCCCCCCCCCCCCAATATATTGCTATAAAATACATTTCTGTTTATATGGCTGTACTTTATTAATCCCTAATCTCTGCCATTACATACAATGAAACAAGAAAAGGTAAAAAAACCAGAGCAATGTAATACAATACACTATTAGACATTGTAAAACAAAAAAGTCCATCCTATGTGTTAGTGAATTTTTTTAATATTTTAGGCAGGAAATTCGTTTGGTCCCCCCCAATGTTGACTGCATGGCTACGGCCTCGGCGTAAAGTATGGTGAAACAACCCTCCATGAAAATTTATAGGGATATTCATCTGTAAAATATATCGTGGTTTAAATGCCATGTGCAGTATGTATCGTACAGCTAATGTTTTAATCGAGTAATGAATGCCACGTTGGCAGCGTCGTAATTGTCACATGCCAGTGAACCACATGCCAACGTTGCCGCAACGTTGGTAAAGGAGGTCCCATGATGTAGATGCTCATCCCCGAGCTCTCATTACTCTGATAGTTCATTGTGTTGCCCCCCTACGCTGTGTATCCAGAGGTCACTGGAAGGGATCTCAGAAGTAGCCAGGGGCGGAGCCACAGGGGGGGGGGGGGGGCTCGGGGGGGCTCAGCCCCCCCTGAAATTTTGGGAAAGTCGGTAATCGGGATAACTGGATATCCGGCTGCTGCAAAATGCTGCAGGCTGTCACCTCATGTGCTGCTCTGCAGGCTGCTTAAGCGGCAGCCTTTCAAACTTATCGAACTTATTAGCCACATCAGCGGCTCCGACCTATTTATAAACTCCGCGTTCAAATCCAATAAAAAATGTTATATATTTGTGGCGCCCATTGGAAAACATAAACACTGGATATCTCAGAATATTGAAGTCAGCTCCCCCCCCCCAAAGTAAAAATCCTGGCTCCGCCCCTGGAAGTAGCTCTTTGGTATCCACGTTTGTGGGCCATTCTCTTACACGAAAGAGTGTAGTAGTTTGTGAGACACGTGGATGCGCATTTTGTCATGATTACTACCATAGCACAATCAAGAAAGTTCGGTGACGTGATGGCGCGACTATTTGTTTATGTACACCCTGGCAACAGGAATGGAACTCGTTCGAGCGAACCCCCCCCCCCCCCCCGGGGAGACGAAATCAGTTCACGTGCAAATGGATTGCCCGATTGATTGTTGCATCGCAATATCGTGAGAGGTGGCGGCGGCGGCGGCTTGTGGAGGCATTGATCCAGCAGTGGATTGATCATGGCTGTTGCTGATGATGATGATGACTCCCCGGGCATAAGTAACACCATACTCTTTGGTTCTATTCGGTAAAGTCACGTAGGTAAAAAATAAAATAACAAAAATCACGACGTTTCGGCCACAACACAAGTGGCCTTCATCAGGTGAAGGGACCGTGCTGTCATGAGGACAGCGTTGGAGTGACAGCACGGTCCCTTCACCTGATGAAGGCCACTTGTGTTGTGGCCGAAACGTCGTGATTTTTTGTTATTTTATTTTTTACCTACGTGACTTTACCGAATAGAACCAAAGAGTATGGATCCTTGCAGTCACGAAAGCTTCAAATCTAGAACATAAGCAACACCGCCTACGCGGAGATGGCCACGTTTGAGTGGGATTTGACCCCGTTATGGTCACGTAACTCACGCGCAGTTTGCGCTTGCGTGCAGTGGAGAAATAAAAACGAAAAAGCCGTGTCACGCCCGTGGGATGGGAACTACAACAAATAATAATGTAAAAAAAAAATGTATCGTTGAATCTCCCGCGCTGAGAACGCTGGAGCTTTTAAGTAACGACCATTTTTCGATTTAAAGCTTTCGTGACTGCAAGGATTCATCTTCTTTGGTTCATTTCGGTAAAGTCACGTAGAATGAGAATAAAATAATAAATTAATAAAATGACACAATAAAATTCTCACGACGTTTCGGCCACAACACAAGTGGCCTTCTTCAGGTGAAAGGAACAGACCTGTCGGCCGAAATGTCGTGAGAATTTAATTGTGTTATTTTATTAATTTATTATTTTATTCTCATTCTACGTAACTTTACCGAAATAACCAAAGAAGATAACGACCATTTCCCGAAACTTCGCTTTGTTTTTTATACGTTTCATTTTACAGGTCACTGAGTTATTGAGGAATGTGTTGATTTTTTGTTATTTGTGGTTGTGCACCACTCTCAGCATTTGTGTCACAACACAACGTTCTACGTTTGGCAAACAACGTGGACATATTGAACTGAAATAAGTTGTTATGCTGTGCAACACGTTCCACTGAGGGTTAGTTCAATTGAGAGTTAGTTCCACTGAGGGTTAGTTCCACTGAGGGTTAGTTCCACTGAGGGTTAGTTCCACTGAGAGTTAGTTCCACTGAGAGTTAGTTCCATTGAGAGGTAGTTCCATTGAGAGTTAGTTCCACTGAGGGTTAGTTCCATTGAGGGTTAGTTCCATTGAGGGTTAGTTCTATTGAGGGTTAGTTCCACTGAGGATTAGTTCCACTGAGAGTTAGTTCCATTGAAGGTTAGTTCCATTGAGAGTTAGTTCCACTGAGGGTTATTCCATTGAGGGTTAGTTCCACTGAGGGTTAGTTCCACTGAGGGTTAGTTCCATTGAGAGTTAGTTCCATTGAAGGTTAGTTCCATTGAGAGTTAGTTCCACTGAGGGTAAGTTCCATTGAGGGTTAGTTCCACTGAGGGTTAGTTCCACTGAGGGTTAGTTCCATTGAGAGTTAGTTCCACTGAGGGTTAGTTCCACTGAGCGTTAGTTCCATTGAGCGTTAGTTCCATTGAGAGTTAGTTCCACTGAGGGTTAGTTCCACTGAGGATCAGTTCCATTGAGAGTTAGTTCCATTGAGAGTTAGTTCCACTGAGGGTTAGTTCCATTGAGGGTTAGTTCCATTGAGAGTTAGTTCCATTGAGGGCTAGTTCCACTGAGGATTAGTTCCATTGAGCGTTAGTTCCACTGAGCGTTAGTTCCACTGAGGATTAGTTCCATTGAGAGTTAGTTCCATTGAGAGTTAGTTCCACTGAGGGTTAGTTCCACTGAGAGTTAGTTCCACTGAGAGTTAGTTCCACTGAGAGTTAATTCCACTGAGGGTTAGTTCCATTGAGAGTTAATTCCATTGAGCGTTAGTTCCATTGAGAGTAAGTTCCATTGAGAGTTAGTTCCATTGAGAGTTAGTTCCACTGAGGGTTAGTTCCATTGAGAGTTAGTTCCATTGAGAGTTAGTTCTATTGAGGGTTAGTTCCACTGAGGATTAGTTCCACTGAGGATTAGTTCCACTGAGGGTTAGTTCCACTGAGGGTTAGTGCCACCGAGGGTTAGTTCCACTGAGGATTAGTTCCACTGAGGATTAGTTCCACTGAGGGTTAGTTCCATTGAGGGTTAGTTCCATTGAGGGTTAGTTCCACTGAGGGTTAGTTCCATTGAGAGTTAGTTCCTTGAGAGTTAGTTCCACTGAGGGTTAGTTCCACTGAGGGTTAGTTCCATTGAGAGTTAGTTCCACTGCGGGTTAGTTCCATTGAGAGTTAGTTCCATTGATAGTTAGTTCCATTGAGAGTTAGTTCCACTGAGGGTTAGTCCCACTGAGGGTTAGTTCCATTGAGAGTTAGTTCCATTGAGGGTTAGTTCCATTGAGGGTTAGTTCCATTGAGCGTTAGTTCCATTGAGGGTTAGTTCCACTGAGGGTTAGTTCCATTGAGAGTTAGTTCCTTGAGAGTTAGTTCCACTGAGGGTTAGTTCCACTGAGGGTTAGTTCCATTGAGAGTTAGTTCCACTGCGGGTTAGTTCCATTGAGAGTTAGTTCCATTGATAGTTAGTTCCATTGAGAGTTAGTTCCACTGAGGGTTAGTCCCACTGAGGGTTAGTTCCATTGAGAGTTAGTTCCATTGAGGGTTAGTTCCATTGAGGGTTAGTTCCATTGAGCGTTAGTTCCATTGAGGGTTAGTTCCACTGAGGGTTAGTTCCACTGAGCGTTAGTTCCATTGAGAGTTAGTTCCATTGAGAGTTAGTTCCACTGAGGATTAGTTCCATTGAGGGTTAGTTCCACCGAGGATTAGTTCCATTGAGGGTTAGTTCCACTGAGGATTAGTTCCATTGAGGGTTAGTTCCACTGAGGATTAGTTCCATTGAGGGTTAGTTCCACTGAGGGTTGTTTCCTTTGTTTTGCATCGGAGGCAATCGATTCCGAATGTCGCGCGCAATGGAATCGATTCCCGCGGCCTTGGTAACGACGCGAGCGGAGTGGGAGACGCCGATTCAGCTGCAGGCGAAGCAGCGACTATTAACAACAGCGACAATTAAACAACAACAGCGACAATTAAACAACAACATAGACAGCCAGCATCCACTCGCAACGTTTTAAAGCTGCACGCCGCCTCTCAGCGCTGTTGAAACTCGCTTACATCCTGTGCCTCAATGGAGCGTGTTGCATTCGGTTGAATTAGACATCGCACGGCTGCCGAAAGTCCGAATTAGATCGTTCAAGGCAATTATATTAATACCGGGATACGTAAGGTATGTTCATGGTCAGAGTTATGAACGTCAAACGTGGCTGAATATGTTCAATTCAATTGCCTGTCGTGGATAAACACTGGGGAGTACACTGTACATTACTTTATTGTACTGTACATAGCGGTACTTTTCAAGGCTTGTACGGTAATGTAAAACAGATCACCACCTCAATATCTCAACGCGTTTCTCGCGAGTTAAAACTTTCCATTGCATTGTTGCTCAAAGTTGTAGATCCCGCATGTATTGTACAGGATGTACAATAGATTGTTTAGTGTTAATGCAGTACCACTGGGCCGTGTTTAACTTTGTGCGTGCTCTAAACAGGTGAAGACACGATATTATCTCATCGCTTTAACCGGGTGAGATGTTCAACTTTCCCCATCGTGTTCTGTAATAACACTTTTCAGCTGTCTTTATTTCACCGAGTGAGAATATGCTGACGTCTCGGTTTTCCATCATGCCCTTTAACCAGGTAATGTTGAAAAGTTTGTTCACCAAAGCCTTTATTTAGACAAGTAATAGTCCATGGAGAATTATATTTAGAGTTTTATTTTCATCTAATCAGGTAACATTGATGAGATATATAACTTTGTCGCTTCATCTCTCATCTCTGCATCCATGTATTTTCGTCTGCCCTTGCCTTCCCATGTTATATCCCTTATGTCTTTGTCTCCACAATGTCCTCACCTTCCAGTATATTCATTACCTAATCACCTTACTTCCTCACGTCTCTATAATAAACCTCTCTTCAGGAAAACCTCATTGAGGCTCGACACTTTCAGGAGGGTCCTCCATTGATATGTTTGACCATGTCCATTAGTGTTTGGCACATAGCAAGAACCCATAATTACTGAAGAATACCCATGCAGTCTCCTATACTAACCAAGCTTAAGCTTGTTTAGTTTCTAGGCACGTTCAGGACGATTTGGTTGTATTGCAATCCCCACAATATTCTCGTTTCTCCGTGTTATTCTGTCCCCTCTGACCACAAGTGTGTAGAGCCATGGAGCGCTACACGATGGTGTCTCAGATCGGCGAGGGTTCGTTTGGTAAGGCCATGCTCGTAAAATCCAAGGCTGATGGACATCTTTACGTCATCAAAGAGATCAACATCTCCAGGGTACAGTGCTCCAGTTCACAAAAAAATCACGCTTAATGGGGGCTTCAAAAATCCCCACCCTTATGCTCCACAGTTCAGCTGAATTATCTTTAACCAACTTTACCCACCAATTAGCACGGTTGGCTACATATGGTGTGAAAGATGTTCAAAATTCATAATCGAGGTTTTCTTGGGTTAGATCGAGTAAATATAAATGTGTCGTTAAACCCGCCACGACCCGACAGCCAAATTAGTAAGGTTTGTCACGTAAACAAAACATGCCAATTCGTTACTAGTACAGCACGCCAGTGTGTTGGAGAGTAAACCCACAACATCTACAATTCGAGTGCGACAGCCAGATTTGTGGAGAAATCCTGTTTCGTTCTTAAATAGAGGGATAAATTTGATGTCGTTACTTGTGAGGCAATCATTATGGATAATATTGATCGCGATAGCCTACGTGTTAAACTGATGTTCAAAATATATGCTAACCCATTGAGACTCCGGGTCCCATTTGTAAGGGTTACCTGGACAAAAGAACAAACTTTACATCACAGGCGGGATACTATCACATGTGTGCCAGGTTATAATCTTAAATGCAGTTAAGTTGCTCTCACAAACCAATGCCTACATTTTAAACAATATTAAAAATAAAAACTATTTACAAAAGCACAGAAAGAGAGGTAAGTATTTAAAGCACTTAAAACACGTCTCTAATTCGATTGCACACACTGCTATAGATTTGTTTGGTGCTTTGAAAAGAGAATTTCCTTTGCGGTATCTCACGAAGTTTAGGTGGAGGTTGGGATCTTGCACACCCGCGAATTGAGGGTTATCGTAAACTGTGGGGAAGCCGCATATTTTAAGATTAGCGGATGGTGCATTTTTGGAGTTTCACTGTATACAGTACTTTTCTTTTGTATAGAATTTGGTGAATCTCTGCACTTATACGCTTCAGTCTCCTATTAGTGCTCTCTCGTTTTACATTTATTCTTCAAGCTTATCAACGAATCTCTTCAGCCTTCCACATCCAGTGAACATCAGCCTTCCACCTCTGTTTAATGGTAAAGTGACACATTCAACTGTACAGTAGTGATATTCTAATGTGTTATTAAAGTGTAAATATTAAATTGTAAATATTTCGTCAATTATTATTAAGTGTTCATTAAATATATTAGATGTTTAATTTCATGTAAATGTTTTTAAAATATAATTTTGCTAAATGATTTAATTATTTGCAGTATGCCAGGCATCCTCCATTATCAGAATGGCTCGTCCCTCATTTGTTTTGGTTTCGAGATGTTTTACGGATTAAGCACATTCACTCACTTGTGTTTGTCAACAGATGTCGCCAAAGGAGCGGGATGAAGCCAGGAAGGAAGTTTGTGTTTTGGCCAACATGAGACATCCCAATATTGTGTCCTACAAGGAGTCTTTTGAGGGTACAGCCCAATCTACTCACTAACCTGTCTAATCTCCATCCGGTTATATGACCTGTCAATGTGTATGCTCGTGCGTGTCTGTTTATTATATTATGAAAATCATAAACAAATGCTCCTCTCCCTCAACTCCCCATGAGTGATGGGGCAGTTGTGGAGAGAGTGAATAAGTTTTTGTACTTGTACAGTGTGCTTATGACGAGCTCTGGTTTGGCAGCCGAGGTCTCAAGCCAAATCAGTTGAGTGGCGTTATCTTTTCATTGGCTGCGTAACGCTGTGTGGAAGCTACCTGGCCTGTCGCTCCATACAAAGCTCTGGGTCTTCTCGGCCACAGTTATTTCCTCCCTTCTCTATGCTTGCGAAACGTGGAGCCCTCTAAAGGAACATCTGAGCCAGTTTGAAACATTCAGCCAAGCCTACCTATGATCCATCCTGGGTTTAACCAAACTGGATTGTGTTAGGAGTTCACAGATCCTTTAAAGATCTGGACACAGTCCCATGAATGAGCTTCAACAAGCAAGGCTGCACTGGCTGGAACATGTAGCCCACATGCCCAGTCACTGCTTGCCCACGCAGTTTCTGTTCGGCCGGATAGATGGGGCTAAACTGGCCCGGCACGGGCTAGACAAGAGATGGACTGATGTGGTACAGAAGGATATGGAGTTGCTTGGACTTGCCGATGCTACCAGCAATGTCAAGATCGGCCTCTGTGGAGGAGGTTCGTAAAGGACGTTTCTGGAGAGTTGGAAGCAGTCACCCTCCAGCAACAATGGAGGGCAGAGGAGCAACGCGCATAACAACGAGTGGAGTTCCAGTTGGCACAGTGAAGAGCGCAGTTGGTGCATCTGGATCTGTTCTGTGACCTGCCAGCAGGCCTTCGACACTTAACGTGGCCTCAAAGTGCACCTGGCATGGCACAAGCACCGTGGTGATGTCACAGCGGTTGTTGATGTTTGTTATATATGTAGGTGCTATTGATTTTCCCTAAACATATGCAGTCACAGTCATACAGAGAGTGTGGCTTAAAACATGGGTTTGAATAACCAAGACAATGATCTATATTTGTTTTTGGGTTCGGACATAAACTAGGTTTATGTCACAATTTCTAATCAATAACCCTCCACCACCCAACAATATTGCCGTGGTACAATATATTGTTTATACATTCCGATGTATTGAGCAAATTCTCACCAATAGAACTCACCAGTGGCATAAGACTTTTCAAGACTGAATTCAATATAAACATACAAAGTTTGATTCAAACTGCTTTGAGTTTCATCAGATAGTGAGCTCAGAAATCAAGTGCACTCAATTTGAAGAGACAAATATACAAATTAGACATTGTGAACTCATTTATCTGTTACTTTTATTATCCACAATGGTGCAAACCATTATTTTGTGTACAAAAATGGAGAAAAAAGATTAGGCAATGTTTGCTCTGCACAGCAGTGCAAAGAACATGTTCGGTGTGTTGAGCCACAAACTTTTTGTGAACTGATTGGAATATACCTAATATTTATGGCTGTCAGTGCTGTCAAGCCATACTAAAATGGTTTATGTGTCTTTGTGTATATAGTGTATGCAGATTCGTTTTTGTGTATGTGTTTCCAGAACGGGGCAATCTATACATTGTAATGGACTATTGTGAAGGGGGAGATCTCTTCAAGAGGATCAATGCTCAAAAGGGTGTCCTGTTTTCTGAGGATCAGGTCTGCATGCTGATAACACTCATGACCAAGCTTTAACATTATTTTTGATCAGTGTCTGAGCCGTCCTCATCACCTGACAAATCATTCTCTACAGTTTATAATTGTCTGTTGCATCTAAACTCTAATTGTGTCCTGTGTTTATACTGTGATGTACATGTGTCATGTTTCACAGATCCTGGACTGGTTAGTGCAGCTGTGTCTGGCTCTTAAACATGTTCACGACCGCAAGATTCTGCATCGCGATATTAAGTCACAGGTATCATGCCCTGTAAAAGTTTTGCCATGTGAACAATTCTGCCTCAATGCCTCTATTAGTGAGATTATGCGATTGATACCCGTGGTTGTATATCTGCCTCTATTTGTGGCACAATTATCAGAACTGAGCCAGAACCAATGAAATCCTGTATTCATGAGTAAAAGCTAGACGTACTTTTTGCGTGGAATTTCTTCGAGCCAAGTTAGAAAATTTGAGCCAACACTACCTCGATTATTTCTATACTCGCATACAAATGAATTATATCAGGTTGTTAACTTAAAGTGCATTGTTTTATCTCAGTACCGTTGACTACACAATAAACCATCATGCAATACATTTGGCTTGGCACTTAATTTAGTCAAGTCCTGTTCATTACGCAAGAACAAGCAAAGTGATCTGTGTCCACATCGCAAAAGAGAGTGGCCTAATAGTCTTAGTAAGACTTACCCTGTAAAGATGCTCTGTTTATGCTTTCTATCTAATATACAAAAATGTTAAGGCATTGGCTATCTCACTGTAATAGAGGCCACGGTAACTCTCGTAAATATTTCCCAAGATAATTATATTTTGAGAATAATGTGTCTATGGGTCTTACCCACAAAACTAGAGATTGAGAGAAGCAGCATAGGAGAACAAGTCATTTAAATTGGTGGAAGTATAGTATGTAGTTGTGAAGTTAATGAGAATGGTGACTGGTAGCAATAAAAGACTGATAAGGAAGAGACTGATTTCATGGTAAGTGATTGAAGTGATTTTGTCACAATAGGATAATCTACCAAACTACTTAGCATTGAATGGAATTGTCAGATAAAGTTGGATCGGAACTAGGAGCTCCACTTGAGGTGTGACGACGTGATTCCAACTTCAGCCAAACTATTGCTTTGTAGAGTAGTAGTGACTGTTCAGAGGTGAAGAAGGCTTTGAGTTGGAATAGAAAAAAAGCTCCTTAGCCAAATTATGAATGTAACCATATACTGGCAGGTCAGATAAAACGGTTGTGCCATTTTATATGGGAGTCTGTTATGTTTTCAACCAGAACATTTTCCTGACCAAGGCTGGCGTTGTTCAACTCGGAGATTTTGGGATTGCCCGCGTCCTCAACAGGTGCCTTGCACATGATGGTGGTTGCTAATATTGCTTCACTATATCGGTGGTTGTTGACGTCTTTGAGGTTTTATTACTGTTATATTTTTATATTTTGTTAACTTGGTTTAAGATGATGGGTGTTGCATTTATATTTTGGTTGATAAAGAGATATAACATCATCATAAAACACATGAAGAGGAGAAGAGTGTTGCAGTTTAATGTTCGTAAATTCTCTGCTGCCTTGACTTTGGTGATAGAGGGAGTATTATTGCTAAGTGGTTTCTGTAGCTGATTTGGTTATATTTTGATTGGTTAAAATGTTGTGAAATCAAATTTGTTGATGTGTAGGTTGTATTGTGGTTATTTAAGTGGCTGTATACATTGTTGTGGCATGTGTTTTTTTTGTAGTTATGGTGGTTTGTTATTGTTCCTACAGTACAACAGAGCTGGCTCGGACCTGTATTGGCACCCCGTACTACCTATCCCCCGAGATATGTGAGAACAAACCCTATAACCACAAGAGGTGATAACAACAAGTACAGCAACACAACCTTCACCATCAACCCTGCTATACATTTCCATCAATAATATTACCTATGACACTACCAATGCCTTCATGCACTACCACCATAAACATGATTGTCTACAGCACCACTATTGACACCACCATCAATATCACTGATAACTCGCATCAATAACACTATGACCACGAACAAACCATTATCAACAACAGACGCCAACAACAACGGCAATGTCACCACAGCGCTTGTCAGGCCAGATGCACTTGGAGTCCACGTGAAGTGTTGAAAGTTGACTGCAGAAGGTCACAGCGACAGACCCAGGTGTTATGGATTAACCGACTGACAGATGCACCATCAACATCAACACAATATTAATACCTATAACAACGAAAAAACAGTGCTAATATAAAAAATATTACCATCACCATACTCAATACAGGCGACCTTGCTTAGCCAAACTCTGTAGAATGTTGATGTTTTATGGCGCTCTTTGTAGTGGAGAAAAATGTTACTAATACAATTAAGAGATCCAAAAATATAAACAGTGCTTACGAGTGAAGAAACCCACCAACGTTATCTTTGTTTTCTTTTGCTCAGCTAATGAGAATGACATACACTTTGAGCCAACCACTACCCCACCTTCCGCAATTCGATTATCACGATTTGTGGTCACTATTACATAAAAAAAAAAATTTCTTTAGCCAGGTAACAAGAGGGGCACGGTGTGCACTGAATAATAGTGCTGGATGTCACCACACTTTAAGTGCAGTGACGACCCTACAGGACAGGGTGTGTAGGTGTCGACCGAAGGATAGGGTTGTGTGAGGCCATGGCACTCTGGTTGACCCGGGAGGACACGTGACCGGTTAAGTTGACAGAGGGGCTCCAAGAAGGGGCTAGGGGGTTCATGCGATTGGGACCCAGATCCTTCCCAAAGATTCTGGAAGGTGGACGTGGCCAAGGGTGGAGCCGGCCATGCCATAGAGAATATAAGCCGGGTCTCGGGAGGGACCAGGGTTGTTGTTCACCCTGGAAGAAACCCTTCGTCTACGATCTCCGTTCAACGAGTCCCCAACACGTGGACCCGAGCCGAAGTCGTTGGTCCCAGTCCATAGTAACAGTTACATAGTAACTAGTGTAGTAACTAGTGTAGTAACTAGTGTAGTAACTAGTGTGGTAACTGGTGTAGTTAGCCGGGAGGACCACGTTAGGTTGTTATTTTGTTGAGGGGAAGTTACCCCGTGTGCTGGAACTGAATAAATGTGTTGCCTCCAAAGTCTACATCTGCGACTCAGTTGAACCCATTACATCTGTATTATTAGCGTGATTACTGGTTCCCCAATGAAGCCCTCATATATTACTAGTACATAAGAAATAACGCGGTCAGGAACGCATCCACATATAGACAATGGTATAATTTTAGCGCGGATTGGATTTGCGCTCGCTTCTCCAGGAACGCATCTCGAGCATTAAGCGAGGCTTGCCTGTTTTAGTATAAACCTTTACAATAAACAGCACCATCATCACCACCAATATCAATAAGACCATCAGCACTACTCTAACCTTACAGATTATTTTTTACACATAATGACGAAGAGTGTTTTTTTACAGACATGTTTAAAAAATTTGGTACACCTAAGTATGTTACGCTTGTTGAAAAGAAGGGATGGGTTACATAAGTGTTTTTACGTGTGTGTGTGTGTGCTTTTCAGTGATATGTGGGCACTGGGCTGTGTCCTCTATGAGATGTGCACCCTGAGACACGCAGTAAGTATCATAAACTACTAAGACTGCCTCTGATTAGCATAGTTGACTACATACGGTGCGAAAGAAGTTCAACATACATGTGCATGGAATTTGGCTATTGGGGGTGAATTAAGTGGATCAGATAAGCAGCTTAACCATGAACGTGGACAGGGCAACGTTTAGTTGCACGAATAATACCACATATACCTAAGTGGCTGGTTGCAAAAAACACCTTAACAGATCATGTATCTTAACACATACTGTCTTATATAAAAACCCAAATTAGAAATGTTAACTTCAGGTGTTTCATACAACCTGCCACTGACCTTTGGCTCATGACCCGTTTAGTTTGAGGCAGGGAACATGAAAAACCTGGTGCTGAAGATCATCCGCGGCTCATTCCCGCCTGTATCGGCGCACTACTCGTCCGAGCTGCGCTCAACACTGTCGGGGCTGCTCCGGCGTGACCCCCGCGCCCGACCACCCGTTGCTGTATTGCTCTCACGGCCCCTGCTTATGGCGAGGGCACAAAGACTGATGGTCAGTGAGCAGGTGCGCATTGAGGGAAACTCACAGTATGCAGGTGTTCTTGAGATGTTTGGCTACGTTATGTGGGTGCTTCTTTGCGTACTTTTTCATATTTTTTTGTCGATTCCCCCACCACCCCCCCCCCCCACCTCAAAAGCAAGGCCACCCGTCTTATGTGGCCAAGTTTATTTTGCAATAACATCTCAAAATAAGGGGACCACTATACTTTAGTTAATCTACCAAGAACATTTTCTATGACAATTTCTTGAACATTTCGCATGAAAAGCACTTAACATGATCAACTAGTTTATTATCTATTTGAAATTAGGTGTGAGTGTATGTCAATACAAATATATAAATGCACACAAACTCTTGCGCTGGTGTGTTTGGTACAGATTCGCCATTAATTTTTCTATTTCTTTAGGAGCAAGAGGCATTGATTACGGGCCACCCCAACACGACTCCCGCTAGCCCAGTTGGTACACCAGCTCCTGCTGGTGCTGCTGCTGGCCCCTCTCACCCCCAAGGTTCTACTCCCCCCTCCCCTCAACGAGTGACTGTGAAGTGTGTAATCATGAAATAAGCCATCGAGAGAGAGAGTAAATGAAAGCTCAGAAATTAATCCGGGAATGAGTTATTGACTGCATCCAAGATGTAGTGTTGGTGTAATAAAGTTGTCCTTCGCAAGTGAATGAGTTAATGAATGAGTGTGTGTACATGAGACATGAGACTAGTGAGTGAGAGTGCATTGGTGGGTGAACAGGTGAATAATCGGTGAAGTAAATATGTGACTTTGTGTTGGTAGGTGTGTGGATGGGTTTGTAAATAAATTAGATCGTGAGTGAGTAATTTCGTAATTGATTATGAGAGTGCAACTGTGAGTGAGTGTGAGTTGGTGTTTGAGCGAATTAGTGGGTGATTTGATGGGGGAACAAGTAGTTAAGTGAGTTCATGGGCATGTGGTTTGGTGAGTGAGTGATTGTTGTCTTGTGCAGGTGTGAAGCGAGCTGCCCCTGCCATGGGCTGTGGGAATCAAAAGGTGACTCGTCCTGCAGCCAAATATGGGATTCCCCTTAGCAACTACTACCCTCGGCCAGCAAGCACACCTGTGAGCCTATGACTTCATGATCTTCACAATTATTATGAAAATATTACCAGCAGCATAAACTGCAATTGCATCAGATAACTTCACCATCCTTTGTGTTCACTGTGCTGGTGTTTCCACATATGTTCTCCTAGGAAAATATCAAACGGAAACAGCGGGATCAGGAGAAAGGGAGCAACAGGAAGGAACATCAGGTGTGATTGCACACAGTACAACTTCCACACCTTTTCTTGGTGAGTTCCATGGGCAACAACTCATTACTATATCACAATGGACAGTAATTATCAGGCCAATGACATAAAAACTACACGATTGATCAACAAGGAGCTATTCCTAAAATAGGAGGCAGTGGACATCCCTGTCACACCCTTAGATGCGCATTGAATGGGTCTTGAACTGGCCATGTAATTTTACCAGGGCCTGCGCACCACAATGAACAAACGTCCTCAGTCATTGTGATCTGTCAGTCAGGGACCACAAAAGGGCAAAATACAACTTAAAAGCCCTGGCCACTTGATAGAGCTGTGGTCCGTTGGCCAGGGCAATAATGCAGACATAAGTTTGGTTAAAATTCCGTACACCCTTGCTGCAACAGATTGACAGCTAATATGACCACTGCTTGAACCCATATACACATTTTGTCGTAAGGGAACCCATATGTGATAAACATTTTGTACCTTTCACAGAATTTATTGAAGCAGGAGAATGCACGCAGACTACAGAAACAGCAGGTGAGCGGGGGAGGGGTTGGCGGAGTGGGGGGTGGTGTGCGCACTCGCGTGGTGTACATGGTGCATGTGGTGGGAGGAGTGTATGAGTGCGGATGATATGTATGTATGCATGCTGTTCAGTGCATGTGTGTGTACAGATAATTGTGTCAGGAATCAAATATATTACGTTGCATCCTGTACTGCAGTGTGAGTTAGGATGGTTGTTGCATAACGCATGATGCTTTAGCATTATTATGGTGTTGGATGCGTCAATGACAAGTTTTCTGTTCAGGGTGTTTATGCATGCTGTGTGTGATATTCACAGTGTTGTGCATGTGCATATTTAGCATGCGTGATGTTTCATGTGATGGGAGCGGTGTGCGAGGTATAAGAACACTGCCTTATGGTTAATGCACATGGCGTGCGTGCGCCTGCAGGAACTGTACATGCAGCATGCACGCCAGCAGGGCTGGAGGCGAGTGCTGGCACCCCCTCAAGCTACCCCTGTTGTGCCGGCGGCACAGGTACCAAAGGTGAGATTCCGCATCACACCTACCCATTATTCTCTAGTCATAACAGCAAATGATCATCCTCTATGCTTCACACCCATCTGTACAATGTTTTTGCATTACTTGACTGATCATGCATTTTTGCATGGTTGGCTATGTACAGAGCGAAAGAAGTTCCACAACCGTGCTAATCGGAGGTGCCCTAACAGCATTTTCCCCAACGGATTGGAATGGCAAAACGGGGGTCTAGTATTTGTATTCGTTAAAACACTTTGTTCTGCAGTCTAAGGCTAAGTGGGTGATCTTTGTGAGTGTTGTTATCTGTGGTGAGGTGGAAGAGTGTGAAGTGGTGATCCTTGTAACTACATTGGGTTTCTGGGTCTGTGGTGTGTGTGATCTACATCAGCATTGAGGAGACAGAAGCTGATATAAATGTCTTATCTCTGAATACAGATATACATTTTAAAAGGTATAACTTTAGTTAAATGGACTGATTTTGCAATATGTGCAAGTCAATTCGGCCAAAAATACGCTGTTCAAAGGCGTGGTGGCAGTAATGTATGCATTACCTATTAAGAGGACAAAGGTGGCTATGCATGCATAGTTCAATATATCAGGCCACATGACCCCCACACGCATATGCTGTGCCAGCCTTAATAGTCGCTCACTGACAGTGAGTCCTAATCATCTAAGGCTAAATGTGTGAACTTTGTACATATGCATGTGCAGGTGTGTGTTGAACCGAGTGCTCAACAGCAAAAGGAACCAACACAAGTGGCTCAGAACAAAGAAGCCAAGTGCCCCCCTGACAGGTGCCTACAGTTCCAGTGAGCCTAATGTTGGAGCATTATAATTATTCATGTTAATCCTCATGAGATTATCCACAGCTGGATTAGTCCCCTTGCCCTCATTATATCCTTGGTCGTCATTGGTGGTTGTTTGTGAGGTGCTTTTTTTATCAGCCCTTTGTGTTCAACTCTGTGCGCGCTACAGAAGACTGCGTGTATACCACTGAGTTGGAGATATCGCTTAGCAGGGCTCCGACCCTCACTAACCGCCAACCTGCCCCAGACCCTCCTTCTCCTGTCACATCACTGCAGCATCTATAATGTGACTTAAGACAGCTTAATAATTATTTTCAATGCCACAGCGGTCATTTTTTATGATAATTTTAAGTAATACTACGGGCCAGGTTAAAAACAATGGGGAGACAATGGTGGCTAGGCATGTTGCTGCTCACTATACATCCTCGTACACAACTCAAGCCTAAATAGCTGTTCATAGCACTTACCCCAGCAATCTGGGGGTTTTGCCTTTGTGTGTGAGTGTAGGGAGCGGCAGGTAAAAGAATTCCATCAGAGGAAAAGAGAAGCGGCTTTAAACAAGGCACGAGCACAAGGACGCCCCGTGAGATCTCCACTAACATCACGATCAGCAATGCCCACATGATTAACGTGTCATCATTTCAGTTTCAATACTGTGAACATCACTAGTAACACCACCAGAAACAATGTAATTACTTTTCGATTTAAAGCTTTCGTGACTGCAAGGATTCATCTTCTTTGGTTCTTTCGGTAAAGTCACAGTGACTTTACCGAAAGAACCAAAGAAAATGTAATTACTGTGTGATATCTACACTCTCAGTGTCAACAGAGCAGCATTGTCATCATCTCCATAAAATTCAGTAATGGACTGTGTATTATTGTTTGGATTGGCAGTACCTACAGCCATAAATTATAGGCATCTTACCGATTCACTTCTTAAAGTGGGAGGGGGCTCAACACCTCCCTTTCTCTGCACTATTGTGCATAACTTCGTCAATTCCCGTTTGTTTTTCCATCATTTTCTTCATGAGTAATTATTTGAATATAAAAATCATAATCTATGGACATTCGGCATGCATGGTGCCACAAATGGGCCCGCCATGGTGTGAATTTGCAGAAGTAATGCCGTGCCAGACATTGGTACAGCACTGGTACTGGAGGTTACCAGTGTTTTTAGTGCACAGACCCAGTTTAGTGGCCATAGTTCTAGAGGCCACGACTAAGGCAAATACGTTTAAAGGGGCGACAGCAAGTTGCAAACAGGAATGTGTGGTCACTGGGGCTCATTGGTTAGGTGCTCAGTGGATTACTACATCACAGGATCATGAGAGATAATGGCTTTGGCCTTCATCCAGCAGTAAATTGATTATGACTGATGATGTCAGCATTTTTATACGGGTCTTCAATATGTATATTTGTGTGTGTGTATACATATACTGTTAGCATTAATTAGTATCGTGTATGCCTCTGTGTGTTTAGGTGTCATGTGTCCCAAAGAGCAACTTTCCAGTCGTGTGCCACAGCAGAGAAGAAGAGGTGCATGCGAACATGACCACACATGACCACACATGACCACAGACACGCAAAATATGATATGTGTACACCAGTGGAGTAGAATGTTCAGCATGGGCCCTGGTACAAGGAATTAAATATGGGCCCCTATCCAATTTCCTCCTACCCGTGGACCCAGTGCAGTTGCACTGCCTGGACACTTGATAGCTACACTACTGGTGTACACACGGCACACTTGTACAAACAGTGGTATATGTAAACTGAAATAAGTATACATCCACTCTACAGACATATACAGGGAGACCTCTCTTACTGTTCAAGATGCGTTCCTGGGGAAGTGAGCGCTAATGGCATCGGTGCTAAAAGGGAATATTATACCATTGTGTATATGGGGATGCGTTCCCAACAGCGTTATTTCGTATGAGCAATATATGAGGGCCTCATTAGGGTATCGGCAATGGCGCTCATAATACATAAATGAAAAATGATTTGTGATAATATGTACCATACTCACGAGTGCATTGTACTGTACCTCTACAAAGCCAGTGATGGGAGATAAGGTTGGAGGACCTGCTGTGCTCCCAGTCCGGGTCATTCTCAGAGAAGAGCTCCAGGACCTCTGTGATCTTCGTGGTGCCTTCGGTCTAAAGTCTTCTCATGAGCTTTCTTTTTTGGTAGAGCCTGAGGCTCTATCCTGGTCTCGTGAGTTCTCACCTGGCTAAATACTGTACTGTAATAACATTGAAGAAGAAAAAAAATCGTCACTACGAATCGTGATAATCTAATCGTGGGGGGTGGGGTCTGGTTGGCTCAGAGCCTATGTCTATGCTCTTGTTAGCTTTAGCGAATGATGGGGGCAGGTACGATTCCTCAGCCTGCGCTGCATGTTCTCACTCAAATGCTTTTATATTTTCCTAATTTAATTTCAATACATTTTTCTCCAGGACACAAAGGCCTAAAACGAATCCGTGTTCTACGGGGTTGCACGGAGCGAGATCTGCCTATACAATAATACGTATGCACACACAATGTATGTGTAACTTGACAACACGCGTGTATACTCACGATACACAAACACTCACATGTAGTTGCTTGTGTCTGTGTGTTGTATTGCCTTTGCACAGGAGTATTTATTGCGTCTCAAAAATATCAGACTTCAAAACTTCAATGAGAGGCTCGCACTACAGAATCAGCAGGTGAGAGACCGGCATCTGACTCAGGTGTTTAGTATGTGCCTTCTGGTGAGGTGTGTATATATATAGTTATACTATATATACTGCATACATGTGTGTATGTATGGGTGCGTGTGTATGGGCATGGTAGTGTAGTGATTATATATGGGTGTGTATGGGGAGCGGTAGTGTAGTGGTTAATGTATGTTTAACCTATTTCGCACCTTACGTAGCTAACCGTGCAAATTAGAGGTGGAGGGAAATACAACAAACTACACACAAAAAGCAGTTTGAAAGAAATGAGTTTTCAATCTAGATTTAAAAGTGCATAGCTCCAGTGGCTTCCTATTATCACAAGGAAGAACGTTTCATATGGCCGAAGAAGCGCATCTGAAAGCACGCGATCCGGTAACCGTCTTTGTTCGATGGTTAGCCAAAAGCTGCTGCATGGATGACCGGAGTTAATGTGATAGTTTATGCTCCTTGATGAGATCAGCAAGGTATTGTAGTTCATTTGTAACCAGCACTTTGTGTGTAATGAGTGAGACCTTATAATATATTTGTTCGGCAACCGGAAGCCAATGCAGCTCGGTGAGCACTGGACGGACATGGTCGGATCTTGCAGTACCCGTCACGACACGTGCCAGAGAATTTTTTACACGCTGCAGCTTGGTAATGTTTTTGGCAGATGTCCCGTAGAGTAGTGAGTTGCAATAATCGAGCATTGTCGATACTATGCTACACGCCACCGTGTTGGCTATGCATCACTAAATAGTGGTTGAATGTGTCGTAGAGTTCTGATATGAACATTGCAGGATTTTACTACATTCTGCACGTGATGATTAAATGAGACTGCTATGAACTCGGTAACCTGATCAATAACAGTGGTAAATATTTGAGTTGGTCCTGAGCACCCCCCCCGCTAAGGCCAACTCGACTTAAAACGAGTACCTCAGGAGACAAAGGCAACTGTGTGTGGTGTTGGCACATGTCGTGATGAGTTCTGCAAGTTCCGACCATGTCCATCCGGTGCTCACTGAGCTGCATTGGCTTCCAGTTGCTGAACGAATACATTATAAGGTCGCGCTCGTGACACACAAAGTGCTTACCACAAATTAACCGCAATACCTTGCTGATCTCATCATGGAGCATAAGCCATCACACAAACTCAAGTCATCCTTACAGCGGCTTTTGGCTAACCATCAAACAAAGACGGTCACCGCATCGCGTGCTTTCAGATGTGCTTCTACGGCCGTCTGGAATGCTCTTTCTTCTGATATTAGGAAGCCACTGGAGCTAGACACTTTTAAATGTAAATTGAAAATTCATTTATTTAGAACTGCTTTTTGTGTTTATATTGTTGTCCTCCCCTCGCACCTCCGATCCTGCACGATTGACTACATACGGTGCGAAAGAAGTTCAACAAACATACATACGTGTGTGCTTATGTCTATCCATAGAGTAGTGGTACTAGTTGACATACTGCTTGATGTTAGTCATATCTGAATTTTGTCGTCAACCTTCCCATGGACAAAAGCAAGAGGTAGCTAAAGGTGACTTGGCCACGCGACCCGCTTGTGCTCTGTCAAGCCCAATACGTGTTTATTTATCGTACTTCCTACAGTTTACAATGATAAATGAAAGAACATTGTCATCTACGTCCGTGTGTGTGTGCATGTACGTATTGGTGTGCATGTATCTGTTATCTGTTTACGGATGTGCCTTAGGTGGTCGCAAATAACATGGGGGTAGATCCAGCAGCTGTTCTGAACGAAGGAGAGTTAAGACAACGGAAGATCCAAGCACTCAAGGTATCAGTTTCTCCTATCCGAAGGCAACTTTTTAAAAAATGTGTTTTGTAGATTTATTAAACTATCTTTTCTACAATTGTTTGTGAAGTACTTATCACACTGTATTTCAGTGTATGTGTGTGTGCGTAGCAAGCTTTGGTGTAGTTGTTAGGGTACTGCATTATCAACCTGGTCTGAATATCTGAACCGGGTCTGGGTCTGCCCTAGTTAGACTCAGCCTCAATGAGTGCCAGGTGCAGTGTCCAAATATCAGCACTGAGGAGACGAAGGTTGTGTGGTGCTGGCCACATCTCTACGAGCGCCATGCCAGCCTTATGAGATACTTGCTCACAGGAGTTTCCCCAACAATCTATGTTTTCATGGCTTTAATGGAATCTTAATTGTTGTGTATGTCTGTGTGGTGAAAAGTGTTGTAATTAGGACCCTGCGATACAAACCGAGCCAATTTGGTTTGATTCCTGACCATGGATAACAATGGCTGGAAATAAGTTTCTGATCCATTGTTGGGCCTCTTTTACGTACAGTCATTCGTGGATGAATGGTGCAGTGGGTTTAACGAAAAGAGTCTGGTGTGCTGCTGACCATACAAATCTTGTGTGCCATGCCATCCTTCACACAGACTTTCATAAACGGGAGATGTGTGTGTTTGCATGCAGGAGCAGGCTGATGCCCGAGCCACACAGCTCAAAGAGCTCCTGGAGAGGAAGAGGCGGGAGGCATACGAGAGGGAGAAGCGCATGTGGGAGGAGCACGTACGCATGGGGGTGACACGCAGGGACACTTGCAGGGACGTGGGAAATGTGGTGACACGAGGATATGGGAACACAAAGATCCCCCGTATAGCCTCAACTGACTTTTGGGGCAAGTTCTGTTAGCGAGCATCTATGAAGGCTGGCACAGCACACGAAGGGGTGGGTGACTAGTACTACGCCCGGCCACCTTTTGTCTACCCAGTAGTGATATTAACCCACCTTGCGAGGTACTCATTTGAGGCTGAGTTGAACTAGCGGAGGCTCGGGACAAATTCCAATAATTGTTAATGGCGTTGGCCATGAGCGGGAATCGAACTCGGGTAGCTGGGTTCGTAGCGCACCACTACTTTACTGCTCCCCATGTGGGAACACATGCATACATTCACACACATGTGGTGATGCACAAACACTTGTTAGACACAGGTACAGCCAAATAAACATGTTGGGCGTTTGGTATGTGTATGGGAATGTAAATATCCACACCAGCAGTTTGATGAATTGTCACAATCTAGGGTTACATCTCTTTTGTCTCATTGTTTAGTTTCTTGTTTTTTTTCCATAACTTCTTAATAATACATGTTCATACAGAGAGAACGATGCACATATCAATGATTGTATGCATTGTTACATTTCTCGCATGTGGTACATATGAACAGAATTTTGCTATTTATAGAATAGCATGGTTTGTGTGTGGTATGTGATGTTTTAGTGTCAGTGGTATGGTGCGTGTGGTGTGTGATGCAAGTACTATAGTGGCATGGTGTGTGTGTGATATGTGTGATACTTGTGATACATGTATGGTATGGGTGCTGTGCCATGCAGCTCGTTGTCAAGGGGGTGAAGGCTGCCCCACGCCCCGCGTCTGCTTCCTCTGCGCTGGGCCTCCCCCATGATGCAGGGGGCCCCATGCCTCCAGATGAGACCCCCACAGTCCCTTCTCATCCCTCCACATCCCTGACTGCAGCATTCGGAGCAATTGGAGTGGTGAGACTTCATTGTCTTTACAAATGTGTGAGACTGTGGGGAATGGTAGTGAAGCAGTTAGTGTGCTGCTTACAAACCCAGTGACCCGAATTCTATTCCCGCCCATGGCCAACACCAATTATGAATATCTGAACTAGTCTTGGGCCTTCCCTCGGACTACTCGGCCTCAAATTAGTGCCTGGTGCATTGTGAAAACATCGTCATATGATATGTGTGCTATATATTGGTTAAAGGTATTGTGACAACTTATAAAAGTTTATAGAGGTACGTGTATGTGAGTGCAATATGTATGTGAGTGGACATCAGTCCATACATGTGTAGCGTCTTCAAAAATTACTCACACTGACACATTGTAACAAGTCACCTGCTTACACTTTATTCACCTATTCTTGCACCAGTTGTAGGCACTCCTATAACTATCTAAACGGTCACTTATGTTTAAGTTCTCCCCACTCTTATCTACCTTTCACCTCACTTATCCTGCACTCAGCAGCTCTGCTCTCAGCGACTCTGCACACAGCGTCTCCGCACACAGCGACTCCGCACACAGCATCTCCTCACACGGCGTCTCCTCACACAGCGTCTCCGCACACAGCGTCTCCTCACACAGCGTCTCCGCACACAGCATCTCCGCACACAGCGTCTCCTCACACGGCGTCTCCTCACACGGCGTCTCCGCACACAGCGTCTCCTCACACAGCATCTCCTCACACAGCGTCTCCTCACACAGCGTCTCCTCACACAGCATCTCCGCACACAGCATCTCCGCACACAGCATTTTCGCACACGGCGTCTCCGCACACAGCGTCTCCTCACACAGCATCTCCTCACACAGCGTCTCCTCACACAGCATCTCCGCACACAGCGTCTCCGCACACAGCGTCTCCTCACACAGCGTCTCCTCACACAGCGTCTCCTCACACAGCATCTCCGCACACAGCGTCTCCGCACACAGCGTCTCCTCACACAGCGTCTCCTCACACAGCGTCTCCTCACACAGCGTCTCCTCACACAGCGTCTCCGCACACAGCATCTCCGCACACAGCGTCTCCTCACACAGCGTCTCCTCACACGGCATCTCCTCACACGGCGTCTCCTCACACAGCGTCTCGCACACAGCGTCTCCGCACACAGCGTCTCCGCACACAGCGTCTCCTCACACAGCGTCTCCTCACACAGCGTCTCCTCACACAGCGTCTCCTCACACGGCATTTCCTCACACGGCATCTCCTCACACAGCATCTCCGCACACGGCGTCTCCGCACACAGCGTCTCCGCACACAGCAACTCTACATCTCCACCACTGCCCTCACCTACGCTCCCTCAGACCCGCTCACACGTCTGTCCCGGGCGGGGGAATCAGCCAACACCCGCCCGGCGATGGCGTGAGGGTTGAGGTCCCGTTGACGGCTGGAGCGGCAGCGGCGAGATGTCTTCGCTCTTCGACCCCGGCAACAACTCCCTCTCCGCTCACGCACACATCCTGATATCCCTCTGCTAATTATCCGAGACCTCTCATGAATCTCTTTAAGCTCTCGCCAGGCCGGCACCTGTTGGCCCATCAATCAACCCTTATCTCCCGTCTCCCTGGCAACACCTCCGGTCTCAACGTGCACAACCGGTCGACCCCGTTTGCACCTGCTTCGCCCCTTAACAACTGGCGGTTTGTCCGTGCAAACCTCGTGTTGCACATGCGCACCTGTTTGCCCTCAGTTGCCCTCGGTTAACTGTGCGCACCGCGTATTTCACTCCTCTACACATGCATGCTTGAATGTTCAAGTGTGATTGTATGAGTGTTTGTACATGTATCTACGTGGTGTTCCTGTACTGTTAATGAACCTCCTTCTGTCCTCCTTTAGTAATTGCAATTACTGTTTTAAAACCAGGAGCAGCCCCTTCCAGCTGAAGAGCCAACAACAACCGAGTCCCACTTGTCTCCAACAAAGGTACACACGAGAAACATGACTTACATACATAACCAAGTGGTTTCCTACTCAAAGGAGCATTGAGCCATTGGTGCTCATGTCCTGTTCAGAACCCTAGGCCATTGGTGTAGATTACCACTGCTGGTTGGCACTCAGACTCAGGCGAAAATATGTGTAGGAGGCTCAGGAGTGGTGGTGGCAGACTCTAGGATAGGATTCAGTTTTATACTCCGCTAAAGAGCCTCGGCACCATACTCGACCAGAATATGTCGTTTGATCACCACGTGCAAAATATAGTCAGGTCCTGCAGTTTTCATATCAGGGTTCTACGACACATTCCACCACTATTGAGTCGTGACAGAGCCATCATGGTGGCGTGCAGCATAGTAGAGGCAACCCCCGCACCGACGACCTAATTGGCTCCTGGACGACGGTCGCAAGTCGAGCCGTCGTAAGTCGAACCCTCGTCTCCCATAGGCGCAATGTTATACATTGGGGTTCCGTTCCTGGAAATCCATTACATACCATAAAAATACCTAAATTGACAACGGAAATAAATGAAAATAACCCTCACAAAAATGTGTTGTAACTGAACCTAGCTCTTACAAACATTTATTAAGTAAAAATTAACACTATTTTGAAATGCTTAAGTACTTTTCTGCATGTGCATCACATTTCCTCTTCTCAGACATAGCGAGAGGTGAACATTTTTCTAAATTTGAAGAAAATGTTTTAAAAAAAGTGAAGAGCATTGCGAAAGAGATGCGTTCGCTCTAGGAGCAGCTGCAGACTGCCGGGCTGTACTGTACACACGCTTACGGCGGAAGAGCAAAGCAGCGCCAATCGACTAGGCGTCAGTAGTTTTGGTCACGAATGTGGGGGTCTTACTATAATAAGGGTCGTAAAAAGTGGGGGGTCACAAGTCTAGCCGTAAGTCGGGGGTCACCTGTATCGACAAGGCTCGATTATTGCAACTCACTACTCTACAGGACGTCTGGCAAAAACATTACCAAGCTGCAGCGTGTACAAAATTGTTTGGCACGTGTCGTGACAGGTACTGCAAGATCCGACCATGTCTGTCCAGTGCTCGCCAAGCTGCATTGGCTTCCGATTGCCGAACGAATACATTATATAGTATAGTATATAGTATATATAGTCGCACTCATTACAAAGTGCTTGCCGAAAAATGAACCACAATATCTTGCTGGTCTCATGAAGGAGCATAAACCATCACGCGAACTCCAGTCATCCTCGCAGTGGCTTTTAGCTCGCCATCAAACAGAGACGGTCACTGCATCGCGCACTTTCAGATGTGCTTCTGCGGCCGTCTGGAACACTCTTCTGGTAATAGGAAGCCACTGGAGCTATGCACTTTTAAATCTAAATTGAAAACTCATTTCTTAAGAACTGCTTTTTGTGTTTAGTTTGTTGTGCTTCCCCCGCACTTCCGATTAGCACGGTTAACTACGTACGGCGTAAAAGCAGTTCAACATGCATACTGAGCCACCTGGCCAGTTGTGGAAAGCTCCATTGAGCTGTATGTAGCTTATTCACAAGGAACTCCTCTTGCAACGAATGAAAACTCCATCTTAAAAAAAAAGATTTTACCTTAAAACATATATAGATTCACTAAAGCAAGAAACTTTTAACTTTTTGATATTTTATGTATGCTTTTCAACAACAGTATGGGATCCAAGTACACAGTGGGAGGTCGGCAAGCATGCGAATAAAAAATACATTGCTATGTTCCCCAGTCACAATTTTTATACTTTTAAAACTACTATTATCTAGGATAGCTGGTGTGGTCAATGTCGGCACTGCAGAGACAAAGGTAATTAGGCTTGTGTAATCCTGGCCATAGTATCTGCTGGCCTTAATAATAGCTCATTAACAACATGTTCCTTGTGACTATGGTCATTATATGAATAAGCTGATCCCTGCCATGGGAACATTTAATTTTCACTACAGACTCAGGTCTTAAATGGAGATGAACACTACCTTATTGCTCATTTGAGCAAGGAGATGTTTTGATTTAACTCCTGCCTGTTCATGATGAAATTCGTCTTTTGCGTGGTTCTGTGCCTGTGTGTACGTATAACGCCTCTGCCCCTGTGTCTTTGCATGGCTTTGTACATAAGTGTGTGCCTGTGAGCGTGTATCTTGTTTGCAGAAGGAGAAGCGTGAAATATTACGGCGTCTGAACATGAACATGCAAGCAGAGGTTTTGGATGTGAAGGAGGGGGTAGTGGTCACAAAAGGGGCAAAGGTCGAAGAGGAAGTCATGAAGAAGTCTGAGGGTGCGGTGGATTCAGAGGTCGTCAAGGGATCAGAGGTTGGGGAGGATGCCATGGCTCACCATGTGGGTGACCCTGGCCCCCACAGCCATGCTGGAGCCGATTTGTCAGCTCACGACCTTCCGGCAAGACACTCGGCATCATAAAATGTCCTCCATCGTCACCATCACGACTATGATCAATGCCACTGGCATTGTCGATATTCACCACATTTAGCAATCATCATCAGAGTACCTTCACCTCCATTTAATACCACTATCATCACCATGATCAGTCATAACCACTTGGTATAAATAGCTTATTTTAACTGCTCTTTTTCTGTCATGCGAAGTCTTCGTATGGTTGCTCACATCCATACAATGTTCTATCTGTATATTGATGGATTCCTTATTTACAATGCCTACCATTTGTAACAAAGTACAGCAGGAAATTACATCTAGTTTTACTCTGGTTTTATCTGTGTCGATATGTGTTTGCATGTAGGCAAAGCACAGGCAGCGCTGGGGATTTGGGAGAGATCAAGGATTGGGTCTCTCCCATCTCTCCCTGGAGGAGACGGCTGGCGCTGTAGGGGGTAAGCGTCACATGGACATGCTCGCACATGTGCACATTAATGCATATCAAACAATAACAACTGCCAAAATTAGCCACTAATGTCACATCACCATGGCACCTCTGTCAGGCTAGGTAGAATTTGAGGCCAAATTCAGTGGTAATAGCTCTTGCTGGACATATTCAGTTCTTATGGTTTAATAGACCCAGGGTAACTGACAGATTCAGTTCTTATGGTTTAATAGACCCAGGGTAACTGACAGATTCACCACCTGCACTCCCCATTGCTCAGCTGATTGTCATAAGCATTGCCCTCTGCCTCCTGTTGGAGGTAAGCCATTTCAAATTTCCTAGAAAGTAACGTTATTCACGAATCTTCTCAAGAGAGCCTAATAATGACATTGGTACCAGCTGGTAACAATTCCATTCAGTTCCAGGTCCTCATGTACCACACATTCCAAGCAGACCACAAGTGTAATTTGTAAACCTCCCCTAGATCAACTAAACCTAAAGTGTTTACTTTGTGCTGCGTGTGAACATCACCATTGTGGAAAATAAGGTGGCTACGATGCAGTGCTAGCCACACCATTCTGTCTGTCACAGGTATTCACTAACTGTACTTACCCTAGCAGTCCACTTCATATGGCTAATGGGGATCTTTTGTGTGTATGTGTGAGATTCAGATGCAGAGATAGAGGAGAGGAGACAGTGGGAGAGGGCCCAGCCGAGCACCGTATTGAGGGCACTCAGAGATGCTCCCATCTCTACCACGCACACCCTACTCGGCAACACTGGTGGGTATGACAACTTCACAACATCACCACTTCATCAAGTCTCATAAGCAGGGTGTGACCAGTTAAATTAATAATATCAGGTAATCTAGTGGTGTAGACCAGAGCCAAGAACACTATGGTGGGTTTCGAAATTGAGTAGCAGGAAAGTACAGCAAACAGTCAACTTTGGGCTCCTGCTCACACAAACACTGTGCTTGTGGTACAGTCTCCTGTATAGTGTGTGTCCACTGTGAACTTATCACAATGTGGAATGTATCTTGTTAACCCTCAGAGGGATGAAGGGCTAAGTCAGCTCCTGTCGTGAGATTTGAACTTAGAGTCCTCATTGCAAGTTGCACACTCTTGATCACTGTGCCAACATTTTAGATAGAAAGTACAATAACATTAATAGTGAATGAACATCTTTGCGTGTGTGAAGACATCGAAGATCTTGAGGCTGAGAGTTTGGATGAGGGAGCCGTCATCACTGCAGATGCGATCACAGTCCCTGCTCGTGATGCATGGGGTGGAGATCCACAGAAGAGGCAAGTGTGTGTATGCACACTACGTGTGCACATGGATGTATGTGTGTGCTTGTGTAGTTTGAGGTATAGTAGCGGTTAACTTGCTGTGTTACGAACCCAGTGATCCCGGTTCAATTCCTGCTCAGGATCACAACCAGTGACGATTATCTGAACTGATCCTGGGCCTCCTCTAGGTCGACTCAGTCTCAAATGAGTATCTGGTGTGGTGTGTAAACATCGCCATTCGGGAGACAAAGGCGGCCGGACACGATTCTGATCACCCACCCCCTCATGTGCTGTGCCAGCCTTCATCAGTGCTCGCTAACAGCAGTTGCTCGTAAGTCTATTAAGGCTATACGAGGTATCTTTGTCTATGTGTGCAGATCAGCTCAACCACAGCGATATGAATATTCTAGGCTTCTATGCAGCCCATCAGCTTGTAATCATCGTCACGCAAGTCCATCATCCAGTGCATCCGCACAACTGCTTTGGTGCACGCCATAACCAAGGATGAACATCTGCTGGACTATGTCGTGACAGGACAGTAAAAATATTGTCTTTGTTACCAGGACCGACCGTGGAGCTGAGCTATACACTGACCATCACCTGTAGAAGTGAGCATCCACCTAGCACCCAATTCAAAACCAAAATAGCCTGGTTTCGGTTAGTTACAAGTGAGAATTTTATTATTGCTTGCAGTTGGGGTTGGCATCGTTCCCTCGTTTTCCGTAAAGTTGACATCAGTGACAGACGGCACTGACTTTTGCAGGAGTAGGCTGTTATGTACGAGTTTCAGTATCTCCTCAAGTTGTGGCCTTGTAAACCATTGCCAATAGGTGCATTGTTGTTACATGCGGGAGCAACCATTCATCAACACTCAAGATTCAGGGATATTAAATTTGTTTTTAGGTTAGTGTTTATAATAAATCAATAGATACCTCGGATAATCATTAGTCTATAAGAAATCCCATAAATTAAAAAAATATTTATTTTCACGAACTGAAACCGCAATACGTATTTGATTATTGTAATTAGTATAGGCAGTTAAACATGTTTGGTGTGCTGTTGTGTTATATATTTTGGTCATTCAGGGAAGAGAAGCAGGATCCCAGCATTCTCTCTGCATCCTCGGCTAATGAAAACGTTCAACTGGATGCCGAGAGCTCTGTACTCAGTACCCACCCAGGTAGGGTTTCATGTGTGTGTCCGTGTACCTTTGCATATAAGTGTGTGTGCAAGTTTGTGGAGCGGTGGCATAGTTATGAGCATACTGTGTTAATATTCCAGCAATCTGTGTTTTATTCCTACCCAAAATCCATTCACCAATTGTAATTGGTATTGTAAGTCAGACTGGACTCTTCCTAAGTCAACTCGCCATAAAATTAGTACTTGGTGACGTGTCGGCACTATCAACACAAGCCAGGTAAAAGTAGTCTGGTGTGCATGGTATTTGATACATTACACCCCTTGTATGCTTTGCTGACCGTAATAGGTGTTTGTAACCTGTGTATCCTTGTGAGTGAATTTAAATTGTGTTATTGGGTCCATAGCAGTGTGAAAATCACTGCGCCACTGTTACACTCCCTATATATTGGGGATATATATATATAACTCTAGTATGGATTGAGTGTATCTACTTGCCTGTCTAATTAATTTATTTTATTGATGTTTGAATTCAGTCTTATTAACGTAACAAAATGTCTTGCCACTCCATATCCAGCAGCGCAGCCGCCAGACCACAAGTCTGACCCTCAAAGACTGTTCACCAGAGTTGCCCGTCCAGAATTCCAAAAAGAGTCCAGTGTTTCAAGTGGAACTAATTTTAATTCATGTGGATCCTGTGAACCTGAGTTGCCAATTCCCAAAGAGTCAACACAGCTAGGATTGTCCCAAGAAATGGAGAAGCAACAGGATACAGATCCTAAAATTCCACTCTTCAAGGCAGATGAAAGATTTTCATTGGGAACTCCAACAAGCTCTAGTGACTCCCAAGGGATGCGTAGCATGGACAATGGATTTTCACCAATGCCAGATCACCCTAGGCCTGGGAATTCCAGAAAATCGGGTATATGGCTGTTGAGGCCACAAGGCAACCTGTTCCCTGCAAAGCGAGGAGGGTGTTTTACCTCAGAAGAAGTGGTTCCAGCAAATACTGTGGCAAAATACCCAGTTGAAGGTCCCAAAGAGTCTATAATTCCTGAGGTGGGAGAGGAAGCAGAAGAAAATGCCCCATTGATACCTCAGCATGAGGGAGGCTTAGGAAAAACAGAAATGCTGGCTGCAGAAGAGTCTTTTTCAGAACAAGCAGCAGATGGAACCTGTATAGGCATTGATGGTGAGACAGAGACACAGACGCAGAGAGAGACAGGCTTAGATAGAGAGATCGCTAGAGAGAGCAGGGTAAAAGGAGAGACAAAGAAAGAGACATCCAAAGAAGGTAAGAATGGAAGTGAAACATTGATGGAAAGAGAATCATGGGGAGAAACACTCACACAAGGAGACACAAAGAGTGAGACAGTCAAAGGGAGTGGGACAGATATGGAAAAATGGACAGAGAGAGGGACTAAGGGGGAAATAGAGAAACAACCAGAGAGAGTGGAACAAGCAGAGACAAAGCAAGAGAAGGTGATTGAGACAGCGGCCATGGCGGTGAAGAAGGAGACACAAATGGAGGAGGAGATGGAGACTGCCCCAGGGAACAGGGGGATGCCTGGGTCCCCACGCAGACACAGAGAGGGACACATGGACCCGGTAGAGGCATCCAGAGTTGACGGCTCATCGCTGCTGTTGAGCCTCTCCCGTGGCCTCTTCGATGTCTACAGCCCCATGGTGAGTTTGAGTCACTAGGCTCATGATGACTACATCAGGACTTTAAAGACGATTATACATTGGGGCAATTTCAGGGCAATCGTCATCGGCAATAGTTGCCGCACGAGTTACTATTGCAAAAAATGTGTATGGATGTGATCATCTAGTGGGCACATCACTCAATGCCATGTTATAATACTGTATCAGGTTGCCATAGTTGCTTATAATGTATTGCTGGTGATAATTATCGATGATTCCCATTAAATTGCCCATTAGCCAGCACCATGGAATGCATCGATTCAAGTCTTAAGGCTACGTGTTTGTCTCTTTCTCAGTCGGGTCATAATGGCTGTCAATGCAGTACCTCTGTTTGCTTGTATTTAACTCCTGGGGCAATGTGTATCTCCATGTCTCTCAAAGCCATGATACACTCGAGCAATTTTATGGAAATAATTTCCTGCCACACATTTGCTTTGAGCAGCAATGGAAATTTGGTATGGCAATGGCACAAAGTAAAGGAGTTCTGTAAAGCTAATACAAATTTGAGTTTTAAAATTCCGTTTGTTCTATAGATCACCACACAACCTCAGGTGGTCGTGTGACTTTTAGTCTAATTTTCAGTTGCCATTCCAGTTAACCACTAGGGGAACAATGATCAAGTTTGTCCAGGTATGAGCAGCACTTGTTTTACAATGGAAAATGGTCTAGTTAGAGCAAGGATTGATGATTACCATGGCCTTCAGAAGTCTCTCAATGACCAAGTCTCTCAATGGCCAAGTCTGGGCAATGAGATAGTGCCTGGCCAGACATGGGGATCGTGTTTCCTTTGATTGCACTTTTTTTGTTTCCTCCCATTTCACAGCAGATGCTAAGGACATGCTCCATGCCTGACCTCCGCCAGGTCCAGCCAGGTCATGGCGACCTGGGTTGTGTCGAGGCCGGGGACTACAAGGGTTCTGATGGTTTTGTGCCCAGGGCAGCAATCAAAGGGCATCGCAGTAATGTGGAAGATCAGGGCATGTCTAAAAGGGAGTCACTGGAAGAGGGAGACATTGCCAATGCATCTGGAGAGGGCAGTGGTGATAATAATGGTGGCACCGATGGAGACATTGCCAATGCATCTGGAGAGGGCAGTGGTGATGATAATGGTGGCACCGATGGAGACATTGCCAATGCATCTGGAGAGGGCAGTGGTGATGATAATGGTGGCACCGATGGAGATGACAGTGGTGATGAGGAAATTATAGAGGAGTTAGAGAAGAACAGCAAGAATTGCGGGGAGATTCCAGAGGAAGAATGCATCATTTCAGATGGAGATGATGAGTATGTGGATCATATGTGTACACACGCATTCACCGCCCATGTGGATCATATGTGTACACACGCATTCACCGCCCATATTCTTACACACGCTCAGGTACAAATGCACACACAGGCATGCATGTACGCATTCATAAGTGCATGTATGCACACACCGCAGCTTTATGGCACACTCAGACACCTGAGTACCCTTAAGTATATGCATTCACATAATGTACTTACACCTTGTGTGTTTGTGTGCACATGTTATATGCATGCACAAGCACCCGACCTGCGTACAAGTGGCTTGTTGGTGCACACATGTTGCGTCTATATGAACTGTTTATTGTGTGTGTACACTTGCTTTGCATATGTGAACTTGACCGCATGTGTCATGTGTACACGTGTTTTAAAAATTCCGTGTTTACCCGTGTACTTGCCATGTTGGGTGTGGGCACTCATCTTGTCCACACAGCGAGCTGGCTGAGTTACAGGCGTCTATGGCTCAGCTTCTAGAGGAAGAGAGCGATGATGCTGATCACACGGACGAACAAGAGGACAGGCTTATTCATGAGGACTGGCAGTCAGGTCTGTGTGTGAATGTCTCAAGAGATGAATGTGTGAATGGATGAGTGATTTCAAGTGAGTGGATGGGTGTGTGTGATCAATTGTGTGTGAGAATGCTTATATATAAATTAGAAGTAAATCTGAGTGTAAGAAAATATATGAGTGCTTTTGTGAATGTCTGTGTTTTCTGCATGCATTGCTAAATATGCATGCATGACAGGTGTGTACAGTATGTAAACAATTGCATGTGTGTGTGTGCACCTGTGTGTTCTTACGGGGAGCGATAGTGTAGCGGTTAGCACGCTATGAACCCAGCAACCTGAGTCGCTCACGGCCAACACCAGTTACGATTATTTGAACCGGTCCTGGGCCTCCCCTAGGTCGACTCAGCCTCAAATTAGTACCTGGTGTGTGTAAACATCGCCACTAGGGAGACAAAGGCGGTTGGGCGTGGTGCTGGCCACCCACCCCATCGTGTAACGTTCCGGCCTTCATAGATGCTCGCTAACAGCACTTGTCCCAACAGTCTGTTAAGGCTATACAGGAGATCTTTGTTCTTGTGTCATCTGTGTGTTCTTTGTAGGGAGCGGAAGTGCAACAGTTAGCATGCAGTGCTATGAACCCGGCGACCTAAGTTTGATTCCCACTCACAGCCAACATCAGTGATGATTATCTGAATTGGTTCGGGGCCTCCCCTAGACCGACTCAGCCTCAAATGAGTACCTGGTACGATGCATAAACATCGCCACTGTGGAGACAAAGGTGGCCGGGCATGGTTCTGGCCACCCACCTCCTTGTGTGCTGTGACGGCCTTTACAGGTGCTCACTAACAGCACTTGCCCCAACAGTCTGTTAAGGATATACGAGAGATCTTTGTCTTCGTTCTTGTGTCATGGTAACTAGTGGCACACTGCACGACAATACAATTTAGATTTACAGTGTCTTAATGCAACCACACCTCTAGATGATATACAAAACTTATGCCCATCCGAACAAGCACAAAGAGAATGGGGAAAGTGCGTAGTCACTGGCTGTCACCGGAAATGATGGCTGTGAAGCAGACGCGGAGGAGGCTGCAGCATCTTAGATAGAAAACTGGTTTCGACATTGTCCAACTTGCTTACGGAGCTGCCTGCAGATCTGCCAACCGACTCATTATTGAGTCTCGCAGATTGTCGTTCTATGCTCTGCACATCAATAAGTCAGCTGTCGACCTGCATGCTCTGGCATGTCGTGAAGGGTCTGCTGCACTCCATCTACCCATAAACGAGTCAACCCCGTCTGTGCACAGCACCTGCGATGTTCTTCACCAATTAAACAGTGACGACGAAGAAAGGCAATGCGTTCTCCCGGTCTGCCATCTGAGTTTGATCAACCTGAACATACGTCTCTCCGATTGCCGGTGTCATTAATCGCATGACGTCAAGTTCCATCAATATTCTGATGATACACAATTGTACACTGCAATGAAGTCAAAGTTGATATGGAGAGCCTCGGTAACCTCGAAGATTGCACACGAGTGGTCCATGTGTGGTTTGCACGAAATGAAATTCTGCTTAATCCAGAAAATTCGAAGGTTCTGCTGGTTGGCACTCATGCTCAGGCAAGAAAAAAACGTGAGAGGATCAGGTGTGGCGGTCGCAGACTCCAGGATTCAGTTTTCTACTCATCGATAGAGCCTTGGCACCATACTCGACCAGAATGTGTAATTTGATCACCACGTGCAAAATAGATTCAGAAATTTACATAACAGGGCTCGACGACACATTCGACCAGTGTTGAGTTGTGACATAGGCAACACGGTGGCATGTAGCATAGTATCGACAATCCTCGATTATTGCAACTCACTACTGTGAGTACAAAACTCTTTGACACCTGTCGTGATGGGTACTGCAAGACCTCCATTGGTTTCCGGTTGCCAAACGAATAAGTTACAAGGTCGAACTCATTCAACAAAAACACTTGCGATAATTGAACCACAATGTCTTCCTGATCTCATGAAGGAGCATAAAACATCACGCAAATTTCGGTCATCCTTAAAGCGGCTTTTGGCTAACCATCAAACAAAGACGGTCACTGCATTGCGCGCTTTCAGATGCGCTTTTGTGGCTGTCTAGAATTATCTTCCGATATTAAGAAGCCACTGGAGCTATGCATTTTTAAATTCAGATTGAAAATTCATATCTTGTGAACTGCTTTTTGAGTTTAGTCTGTTGTACTTCCTCCGCACCTCTTGATTCGCGCGGTTGGCTAGGTATGTTGCGATATAAATTCAACATTCATACATCAACATACATACAGAGGAGGCAATTGCCCAACTTGCTGATGACTGGTATCAACGGTGTCAAGATCGGCCTCTGTGCAGAAGGCTCGTGAAGAACACTGCTGGGCAGTTGGAGGCAATCACCCTCAAGCAACAATGTAGGGTGGAGGAACAATGCTCACAACAATGAGCAGAGTGCCAGGTGGCTACATCACAGAAAGTTGGCACAGAATACAGGCGTTGCATCTGCTAGTCATCTTAGTTAATCCATAACATCAGGAACTCTGCCATGGCCTCCTGCAAGCAAGCCTTTCACACTTCACGTAGCCTCAAAGTGCACCTCGCTCTGCACAAACACTATGACATCACTGTCGGTGGTGAATAACAGCTCTTGTATGTGCGTGCATACAGATGAGAGTGAGGCAGAGGGAGGTGACAGCGTGTTTAGTCGCCTGGAGGCCATGCGCGTGACACTCGAGACAGAGATGGGCGTGGAGCGGTTTCTGGAAGCTTATCGCACAATTCAGGTAATGTCTCACGCATAAGTGTATAAATATGCAAATTCAAACATTGTCACTCTCTTCACTCAAATACAGGTACATATATATTTCAATCTGTTGACTTTCCAGCTTTCCAGGCTTATGTTAACTTGTGTAAACCAGAAGGAATTATTCAAGCATGCAAATACTGGTGGGTAACATGAGTCGGGATTGCTAGTATTCCACCTAACAGCACTTGTTCCCACCATTTAGGAGGAAAAACGTTGGATCTTAGTGTATTATTATCAGTAGACTTTCTACACACTAGTCTTGCAGGTTATCACAAACCCATCACTCACATCTTTACCCCCTGTCCAGGTCATGTCCCATTCTCTCCAAAAATAATTTAATTAAAAAGGGGGGTATATTTACAGATTGTTGGTGTAATTCGTTTGTGTATATATTACCGGAATGACTAACACCTGTCGATACATAATAGTACTGTATTTTATACGTGTGCATAATTTCTCAGGCATCTCACGAAGACGAGGATGAGTCTGTAGAGGACGTGAGTGTACGTGCACGTGAAATGTTGGAGCCTGGCTTTGCTCATTTCTACCAGAAGATCTTGCACCTCGTCATGGCTGATGGAGCCTACCAGGGTGTGCAACCCCCTGCCTCGCAATCCCCTGCCTCGCAATCCCCTGCCTCGCAACTCCCTGCTTCACATCACCTTTCCTCACAATACACTGCCTCACAATTCTGGAATAGTTACATTTTCCGGGCCATTCTCCAACACGTTGCTATGCATTTGCTTCTGCAAGAGTTTACGGTACAATGATGTGGTGCTGTTACAATCGATCATTTCTCTCTTCCCCTCTGCCCTCCCCCCCCTGGATTCGTATCGGTTTCCAGATAACGACGAGTAACTGTACGACGTCAAAACCGGAACCCAAACGGAAAACAAATGGGGAGGAGCAAGCGAGTCATGGGGTATATTGAATACCCAATCCAAACACACACTTGGCTGTCTGGGTTGTTTGACATAAGTTTAAAGTTTCAAAAACAAGAAGTAAGCATAAATATAATTGTTTTCTAGAGCTCAATAAACATCAATGTAGAATACTTCACAAGACTGATAATAGAGGCACTCAAAATTGCGAGTCTGAAGTTGCATTACTATTCTGGACTCTTTTTATGTTTGTTGATCAATTTTATAATTTCTTCACCTTGTCATGTGGTGGCTTTCACTTCTTTATACTGTATAAATACTATATTTGTCACAATGGTAAATAAAGCAATGTGGATGCAATGAGTTGTGCAGTTAAAATCAATATAAACATTTAAGTGTACAAATTGCGAAATAAATCCAAGACTTATTCTTGTATAGAATGGAAGGCTTTTGGAAATTGATCATGAAAAGCAACACTTAGAAATTCATGCCAAATATATACTTGACATCGACAAAGAAAAGAAAACAAGGAATTTGCCAACAAGCATGTAGAAATGCATGCTAGAAATTTCACCGAGACAGAAAAAGATCAGGACACATCGCTTAGAAGGATTATTGGCTGGTTGAAGCTGATCTTAACCCTTAATGCTGGACAATATTAAGCCGAATAACAAACTTGGTATTTGTATTCTTGAGATCTCAAAATACAACTGGCTGTCATAACATGAACACCATGTGTACACCGACTGCTTGTTAGTTTTTGTTTAAATGCAGCTAATTGTAACAAAGATGACATTCGATTTCATTGGAAATGTATTGCCACCCTCGTTATTGCCCAAACTTGGCCTTTCACTTTGCTGTTAACGTGGGTTACATTTTTATATAATGGCAAATGAAATTAGCATTTTCTAAAGCATTTATCAACAAACCAATTTGTTGCATTAGACATTTCTCAAAAATTGTAGAGTCAAAAAAGTGTGAGGACTAAAGCACCAGACAGCCAGCAAAAAACAGCTAAGCGTTTTGACCTCCAGCATGTTGGTTGGTTGTGTCAATGAGGAAACAAGTAAGTCTGGTAAACAGAGTCCTCAACATGGGTGGATAATTCATGAGGGAAGATCATTCGAACAGTAACTGGTAGCAATGAGTAATTAGAAGGCATCAGATTACTGGTGACCAAGAAACAAGTGAATTGATGAGTTGCTGTATCAATGTGACTGCATTGCATTGTTCTGTATATTGAACTTATTTCGCACCGTACATAGCAAACAGCTGATCGGAGGTGCGGAGGAAGAACAATAAACACAAAGGAGTTATAAAATAATGCATTTTATATCTAGATTTAAAAGTGCATAGCTCCAGTGGCTCCTAATATCAGAAGTGTGTTCCATACGGCCCAAAAAGAGCATCTAAAAGGACAATTCAGTGACCGTTTTTGTTTGGTTAGCCAAAATTTGCTGCGAGGATGACTGGAGCTTGCTTGCTGGTTTTATGCTCTTTGGTGAGATCAGGGTATTGTGGGTAATTTTTGGCAAGCACTTTGTGTGGAATAAGTGAGACCTTATAATATATTCGTTTGGCAACCGGAGGCGAATGAAGCTCAGCGAGCACTGGATGGACACGATCGCATCTTGCAGTATCGGTCACGGCACGTGGCAAAAAAGTGTACACCCTGCAGCTTGGTAATGTTTTGCAGCGAGGTAATAATTTGGGTGTTTATCGCAGATATGAAAACAGCATCAACTTTGACGTAATTTGTGCATGGATAGGAACAATTGTTCAGTTAACCAAAGGCTTTGGCATGGAAACTAAATCCAAACTTGGTATTCTCAGCAGGATTAGTAATGCCACAGCAATCCATGAAAGATCAGAGATCAATGCAACAAGCAGATTAATGTATTTTAATATAATTTTATATTTCTACATACGTGACTTTACCAAAAAAACCAGAGTAATTTATGCAGTCACGAAAGCTTTAATTCTTTATTAGGCAGATTAATGGTTTAACTATGCCTAGGAATAACATTGTTAAATAATAAGGCTATGAATAACATTGTTAAATGAGAACACCTGATATTTGCCAGCCATAAGCGATGCCGGGTTTTTTTGTTATTGAACTTGGCCAGGGTAGCAAACGAGTTAAATTGCATTAGCTCATGTTACAATTCCAATTCCCTAATAGATTACATTAGGTGGTCAGCTAGACCACTCGTAAATCCACCATTTCCTCCATGGCTGCAGGAAGGTGCTACAGTACTCATGAGCAGTTGGTTTGAGCTGTGTGCCAAGAACAAGTAACTCTTCCTGAGAACAGCAGAAGCACCATAAGCCTCAATCTTGTTCAGATGCAAAGATTGGCTTCAGTTTTTCGCTCATGATGCATATTGAATTGCGTACATTTTTGATTTGCAACGTTTTCTTCATGAAAATTATCCCATGTATAAAATGTGATGCACGTGACAAAGCCAAAATAGGAGGGCCATAAACTTGATGCAAAATATTCAGTATTTAATAGCATTTTTTTTCAATCATGGGAGATGCAAATCGCTGCATGCTGGACAAGGGTTGTGGGGAGGGAGTTTCCTGCCTTCTCCATGCAGGATGGTCAGGTCAGCCACCCTTTTTTTAAAAGACCGTTGCAATCTGTATTGAAACCTAATTACTGCATTTTAAACAATTGACAGCTCCAAATGAAAACGCAATGATGCTACTAAACATTTTAAATTTTATTTTTTCTTGCGTGGTAGAGTTATACAGTTAACAGAAAGCATATTTTTATAATCACTCTGGATATTCGTTGGGTTTACAGAGCTTCCATCAACACCAGCTTACGTGTATAACGATAGTTTTAATCAGAAGAAACCTTTAACAATCACCACTTTAACCAGCATTACTTTCAACATAACAATCACCTTCAAAAATGTATGCATGTTATTTAGCTGCGATACACAGAAAACATGCAGCACATTACATACATCAATGATTCACCACATTAAATCAGGAACTATTTTAACACCCAACACCGTGCATCTTAAAACTATAGACGGTGTTGTTTTAAGCTGAATGAGACCTGTAGCGAATAAAGGTCAGCATTGACAAAGCTAAGTGTCATCCAGCCAGGGCTATGATTACTGCCAGGAAACGTGCTCAAAATGGGGAATGGAACGAGAATGAGACCATGAAAATACAAACTGGGGTTTGGAGAACGTGAAATACAAAGTGAGACAGCAAGGAAGAGTATGGAGAAAAATCATTTTAAACTTTGGTAAGAGAGCAGTGTTCATGGGAGGAGGAAACAGGAATGAGGTCCTGCATATGCAAGACAGCAGAACAACAACAGACAATGCAAGCGCAAGGAAGATAATGCAGAGGGGTTTTAGATCAGCATATATACATTTCTATGACCAGTTTTAAACTGACAAAATTCACACCAGTTTAGGCTTCCATGAACTGTGCAGCCTGTCACCAAAATTGTGAGGTTGGGTGGGGGTAATGTATAGCGGGTTGTCATTTTGCAAATAACTCCTTAAATTGGGTTTAAACCCTACACTGGCAACTAAAACTAGCAGTTTTTAAAACTGTCATATTAAGGTTGAGTTTACCAATTTAAAAAAATGAATGCTATTGCCATTTGTTGCTGTTTTAAAAACAATGTGGTTATTGAACAATGTGGTAAACTCATGCTTCTCACCTAGTAAATAAAAATAACAGTATGCCTACAGCATAAGGTTCCCAGTTATCAACCATTGTAATAACCCACTCCCCACACTGTTCAGGTAAACAGTCAAGGTGGACCAACTTAAAATCGGTTGCCTAAAACTGGTCATGGGAATGAGTCGCAAGGGAACGGCACCAGACCTTAGTTCCCACTAGTTGCGGTCACTGGGGCTTGCCCTGACCCGGCTGCAGGGCATCGAGTGTGCGTGTAATATCGCAATCCTTGGTCTGAAGCAGACGGACGAGCCATCCGCCCTCATCAGAGAAGCCCATGGAAAGCATCTGCGCCAGAGCTTCAACCAGACGTGGCTCAGCATCTACACAGGGAAGGGAGTAGGGCAGATAGACACAAGTTGGCGTGTATAGCCCCATGTGTATGTATGTATGCATGCTGTACCTTCATTTATACATGCTTGTGATTTGTTCAATTTTTAATAGCCATCCACCCAGTTTTGATCACTTGCCCACCTTTGTCACTTTTCTTTAATGCCATTCCCTAACCCTGCCTGGGTTTATCCTTCTCCCAATATCCTGCTATCAGATAGGGGTCCCTCTTCCCACAGAAAAACCCCCCTCTACCCTGTTAACCAGGGAAGAGCACAGGCCTTGGGATCACCATATTCTTATGGCTCCCCACACTGAGCCACGGTGTCAAACAACCCCGCTTGCTATCCTACTTTGTCGGCCCCTACACACACACACAGTATGTTTTGAATGCATGTATCACTGTGTGCAATGTTAGCTTGCACGAGTCACAGCATGTCTATGCACCTCGAGTGAGCGTGCATGAGATCATCCGTTCCTGATAAGTATACATGTGCAAGCAGGTATGTGAATATCTATAGGTGAAACGCTACAAGAGTTTCCTTGGATAAGTCTGTGGTTGAGCGTGTGCTAATTGTGCTTCGACGTGCAAGTTAAGTGTCACCGAGTGCATGCATCTGCGTGTAAGCAAATTTTCAGTGCGCACACACGTGTCCCTGTACCATTGGGAAGGTTGGGGTAAGCGGCGGCCTCCCTCAGGCCTCCTCCATCCTCCTTGAGGGGCTCAGCGCTCTCCGACCCTCCTGCCCCTTGCTGCGATCCTCCTGTGCTCCCCCGTGAGCCCCCCACTGCATCATCCCCAGGTGTCACATAGGTCCACTCATCATCGCCTCCTGCCTCCCCCACCTGCGAGCCCTGCAAAAGGGGAAAAAGAAAAAACATCACCACAAGCCATTAAGCAGAAAATCAAGAACCAATCCATTTATTGTCACCAATCCTATTTAAGTAGGTCATGAAACTGCTTTCATTTCAACTCGAGTTAAACCAAGTATAGTAAAAATCCTCTTCATTTGGGAGATTTTTCTTTCGCTAAACTGTGATTATTAGCAATTTTATATTTGAATACCAGTGAAAATTTTGCACCTTTTTCCCTCCATCAACTATTTCCAATTTGGCAACATGGCATCATAGTGGAGGGGTAGTACTTGCGCAGTGGAGGCTTCTGGCCCCCGTGTGCGCACAAAAACCCATTGTGCAAGACATACTTCTATGCGATCATGCACTGCGCATATTGCTATATGCATCTAGCCGTCCGTTTGTTCAGGACGTGTCATATGGCCACCTAGATGGTGTCATCATTCAGGATCAAGTGACCATGACGGTGTAGAGGTAAATAAAAACTTACACATTTACAGTATAAATTCACCGATGTGTTTTACTTTATTTATTACATTTTGTCGTACGTGTTATCTTTTTGAAGGATTTTACAATTTAATTACTGTACAGGATTAAATGTTTTTAAACATTTTAATTTTCCCCTGTATGTTCAGTCATTAACCCCCCTTTTCCGTATATGGAAAAAACACAGTAACTACATTCGCTAATTTTTGTTGCGCATATTTTCAAAAACCTAACCCTCGTGAATGTCGAGGCCCTACCCTTTTATATGTAATTGATCAATTACTCAAACCTTATCAGGTTAAGAAACGAATCAAAATAAAGTAAAGGCTTTAGAAAAAGTCAAAGGGATTCAAATACACCATTTTCACACGATGAATCCAGGAGTGTGAATAGAAATGTATCCGAACAATATTAAATACGATGGTTCATCACGGACACAAAAGAAGTTTGTGAAAACTGTTAAACTGTATAATTGAATGGATATAAATTGCCACATTCTGCTATGGCTATATTCAATGCAGCCTGAAAACCAGTCAAGTTCTATTTTTATGTAATGTTCCAAAGCAGTTACAGGACACAATTTAAAATGTTAAATTCAAGTGTAACTAACCACTTCAAATCCTGTTACAATTTATCTCCCTTTCCACCTACCTGCACACTGTCTCTGGTGTTGTTAACTGTAGCCATGGCAGCGCCTCCACTGCTGCTGGTGCTGCTGGGCACCGTTTCCATGGCGGTGGTGCCTCCGCCCATTGGCCCCTCCCCAGTCTCCCAGTCCCGAGCTGGAGATGTGGCCTGCACGGGGAGAGCAATAGATTTAAAATTGTACCAAAACCAAGTCTCATACCACACTAACAAACGAATGAACAATCGAGGAAACTAAAATGAGAACCCAGAGTGTAGGCGAGAGGCCATAATTCCAACGAATAGGATTTCTAAAAGCATTGACGTCTTTTATGCAGCCCTTGAGTAACGCAACCCTGTGGTGTTAACCTATGACCTGGCATGGTATCACATTATCAAGCTCCTCAAGTACATGTCGATTAAAAAAAGTTCTAGGTCAAGCAACTCTATATTCAAATATGTACACACTTGTACATATATTCATCCTTACACAGAACAGAATACAGAAAACCAAAACATGAGCGAGCAGTACTCAAAATGTTGCAAATTGCATGAACTGCCTTCTACAGACCACCACACCCAGCAAACTGTACACAAGCACAATATGCAACATTAAACTACATCCTAGCGCTCAACTTACTTTGTCATTGTCGGCGACTTCTTCGGTTTCCATCCCAAGTTCATCATCCTTGGATGGACTCTGCCCCTTGGTCTCTTCTCCCTTTCCCTGCCCCTTGGGATCCTCCTTATTCTCTCCCTTGGTCTTCTCTTTTCCCGAGCATGGACCCCTGGCCTCCCAAGTACCACAGCCGGCACGAGCTCCACAGCGACGTCGTTGCCCACCATGTTCTACATCGACGCTCACGTCAATACCTAAACAGAGCCACAAACTCCACTCATATAGCTAAACATCACAACTTAATATTATACCAGCATAAACTCCAAATCGCATCAATACCCAACCAAAACGAAACAACCAATCATGCGCTACATCAAGTCTACACCTATACAGCACAATATTAAAATACAACAAAACTACTAACAAATAGTACTGTTACACTTTTCATGAGGATTAATTCATCACAAAACATGTACTCGGGCAGGCACTCACCAACACAGACAAGAAAATCGCCACACTTACCTCTAAAACTACTAAACTATTCTTATTTTACCAGGGAAAGCCCAGAGCTATACAACTCGTCTTGAGAGGCAACCTGGCCACAAGGTCAACGAAGTGGCACTTTATAGCAGCCAAATAATTTAAGAGCATGTTTCTAAAATGGAGAAAAAACCGGAGAACCCAGAGAAAAATCCACATGACCATGTGGAGAACACGCAAACATACAAATATACAGGCATCAGGGTCGGGATCAAACCCACGACTCCTGTATATCAGGCAAGGCAGATAACAGCTTTCCAGGCATCAGGGTCGGGATCAAACCCACGACTCCTGTATATCAGGCAAGGCAGATAACAGCTTTCCACCGCGGTGGCCACTCACAACCACTCGTTACACACAACCCTCGCCATCCACCTGCCTCCCATCCGCCTTCCCCCTCTCAAGCCGCTTACCAAGAGGGCCCAGCATGGCCGCCACATTCTCTCCGATGTTCTGCAGGAAGTCCGCTGCAGGGTTTGCCTGCTCTCCTTGGGGTGCTTCAGCTGCTGGTTCTTCAGCCTGGGTGGCTCCAGGAAAATTTGAGCCTGGGGGATAAGGGACCATTTTACTCGCTAAAGCATACAACCACCTGCTATATGCCCACATACCTGCTGGAAAACCAGTGTTCTCATTTTAGTATAGTCATGCCTTGCTCTTTGGCTGTGCCGCCTTGCCCCGAAAGTCTAGTCTCGCCTCACGTTAATGTGCCACCTCTAGAGGGCGCCAGTGCATTGACTGCTTGGTAAAGACTATTGGACTTCTGGAACATTCAGCAGCCTGCCCTCCCCCCACCACCCATGGGTTGAGAACGATTGATGCAGGTGTAAGTAATGCAAGTTGTGTGCATGTGTGCGAGTGGTGTGTGAATAGTGTGTACACGTGCAAGTGCTGTGTATGCGCGCGAGTGGTGCGCGTGTTAAAGTGGAATATGCAAGTGGTGTGTACGAGTGATGTGTTTAGATCATGTACAATCCACTGCTAGATGATGGCCCCCTCATACCTGTTGTGGGAATTATTTGACCGTACATCAATGGTCAGTGGGTTGAAAGCAACAATAAAAAAATGTTTTTTTTATACCTAAAACAAAATTGTTTTCCTATTGAATTGTGCCTGAAAAGTGTTGAAGCAATCGTTCAACCACATTCTTTGGGTCTTTCGGTAAAGCCACGGAGATAGAAAAAAATTATAAAAAATATCACGTTTCGATCGTAACACAAGCAATCGTCATAAAGGTGAAAAAAGCGGTATTTTTTCACCTGATGACAATTGCTTGTGTTGCGATCGAAATGTCATATTTTTCTAATTTTTTCTATCTACGTGGCTTTACCGAGAGACCCAAAGAATATTAATTCCTGCAGTCACGAATCTTTAAGTCAAGATTTATTGTTCTACCAATTTTGATGACTGTGACACTGCTTACAGATCAGTTACTAATGAAAGTCTAAAAAGACTAAACCCCCCATTGTGAACGCTACTTAAAATTAAATCTCACATCACTTGATGCAAGAAGAAAAATCCATGAACCCCCAAATGTCAAACTAAAAAAAACCTAACACATCCATCCACCATTTGCCTTTCAACTAACCCAAGAACAAGAATTGGAAATAGGATGCAAAACCTTTGCAGCACCAATCTCGTTTCCTTCCTTAATATTATAAAATCTTCCTCCAAAAATATCCTAGATACAACCACGTTTGCAAAAGTGATTTGTAACTTTTATCCTTACAAGTGTATCAATAGTTCAATGTGCCATTTTATTCAGGGACTGTGCATTGGCTTGGTGTGGTCTGGGACTGTTTTTGCTGCCTTGCCCAAGCTTTGGAATTTATGTATTTATACAATTTGAACATATATATAAAATTGTGATTTAATAAACTTCCTAAATTTTACTATCCCAGCATTTTTTGGTATTTTGTAACTTTTGGACCTGCCCCTACTGGACATCTGTGGAAAAAGCTTCATCCAAGATAAAAATAAGATTCTGAATTGATTTTGCTGCAATACCCAACTGCTGACTGTTGCCTAAAATGTGTAAAAGCACACTCCAAGTGCCATGAAACGCATTTAGATCACAGAAAAATTAGATCACCAAAAAATGTCCCCTTGTATATCTATTACTTGCCAATCACATTCTTTACACACCTTCCTATCATGTTACATATACATGTAACACATTAAACAACTCCTCCACAACTCGCCACTAAACTACAGACATCATAATGGTAATTCCACCAAGTTAGATGCACTCGAAGAATAACGGTGGTAAAAGAACACCAAGTCAAACGACTAAATCAGATGTTGTGGCTAACGCACCTGGTGTGATCCATCAAATTGCACTTCCTTTATCCTTCCCCCACACCACCAATGAGCAGTTGGCTACATACAATGTGAAATCAATTCAACACACAAACTATTTTATTTTACCAGGTAAAGTGCACCGAGCTATTAGCTCTTTTTCAAAGGCAACCTGGCCACACAAGATAGCTCAAAGTGTCTTGTGGAAATGTATAGCAGCCAAATAATCTAATAGCATGTTTCTAAATAGAGAGAAAAACTGGAGGAACCGGAGAAAAAGCCACACAACCATAGGAAGAACATGTAAACTCCAAATATCATGCCTAAGGGTCGGGATCAAACTTATGCCTCCTGTTTACCAGGCAAGGCAGATATTACCGTCACCGCGACACCACATGATACTGCCCACTGTATTGTTTATTGCTTACACACACCAGGTGTACTTACTTGTATGCGTAGAGGTCCCAAAGCTTGTAGAGGCCCCAGCACTTGTGGTAAATCCTCCCATGGGACAGCCCATCCCCCAAAATGCATGGCGGCCAAAATCAAAGGAATGCCCTTGGGGGCCATGGGACCCATGTCGTCCATGCGGGCCATGTGACCCAGGGGTACCATGTGGCCCAGGGGTGCCAAACCACTAGAGACATGCATACATGTGGGGGGAAAAAACATGTTAAATCCCCATTGTGCAATAAAGACAATGGTTTGTGTCATGGTGTAGACAAGCTGTGTTCTGTTACCATTCCCATGTAATTGTTGGAATTTCCACGCATCCAAATTCTGCCATCAAGTTCATGAATGTAGCCCTGTAACCAATCCCACCCACACATGACTGATTGTCTACATCCGTCTGTGATAGGATCACCCTTCTGTGCACTCACAAGCTGTCGTGTGATGGTACGTACCGCCCAGGCGTGAGGCCCTTGCTGCTGACAGTTAGGGAAGGGGATGGTGGTCATCTCGTGCTCGCCGTGTGTGCCCTTGTCACGACAGCTCTGGCAGAGGTCGTAGTTGGGGCACACAGAGCACTTGTATCGCACTCCAATCACAGGGCCGTCACAGCCATCGCAGACCACGTGGGGGTGTACGTTGCCGCCATGCCACCCGTGCCACCCGTGTCCCCCATGTCCTCCATGTCCACCGTGTCCCCCGTACCATCCATGCCAACCATGCCCTCCGTGCCCTCCGTGCCCTCCGTGCCCGCCACGTCCACCCTGTCCACTCCGTCCACTCTGCCCACTCTGTCCACTCTGTCCACCCTGTCCACTCGATCCACCCTGTCCACCCTGTCCACCCTGTCCACCGTGTCCACCAAGATCTCCAGTGTCTTTCTTGCGCTGCCCACGATCAACTGGAGAGGTCACGGGGCAGAGAAAGAAAGGTGATAAAATGCAACTGAAGAACTAATCACCTAGTTGAAGATTTAACCAGAAAAGCCCAGTTTCAAGACACAGAAAAATCACGTTGTGGATGATTTGACATATAGGTGACGATTTTTTTTAAATAAGATGATATTGGAATATTCAGAATGAACAATATATTGTCTGTGTACGCAGTAAACGTGTGCGAGTGCATACGTTTGATGTACACGCGGAACACATCCTCGGAAAGGTTGCCCAGAGCTTCCATAAGCTCCTGGTCACTGGAGAATGCGATGAGGTCATCCTCCGAATCTGCACGCAGCAAACCACATAGTATGCACAATTGTTACAAAATAAAAATCTCTCATTGCCTTTAACAGACTGTAGGGGCAAGTGCCATTAGCCATCACCTTTGAAGACCGGAACGGTACACGAGGGGGTGGGTGGTAAGCACCATGCCCGACCACCTTTGTTTCTCCACTAGCAATGCCTACACACTGCACCGGGTACTCATTTGAGGCCAAGTGGAACTAGGAGATGCCCAAGACCGGTTCATATAGTTTTCACTGGCGTCGGCCGTGAGTAGGAATCGCACTCAGGTCGCCGGGTTTGGAGTGCAGCGTACTAACCGCGACACTATTGCTCCCCACAACTGGTACACTAACCACACATGATACAACATAAGGATCCGTATACAATAAGTGTATAACACCACTGATAAAGCAACACAAAATCCACAAAAGTAACAGACTCACAAAGATACATGGCCAACAGTACACACAAATGGTAGACATTATCTACGTGGTACACGTGGGTGTGTGCCATACCCTTGTAATGCATGATGAAGCCTGCATCGGCCAAGGATGGGAAGGCCTGGGCAATTTTCCCCTTGAGGTAGATGAAGCTGCTGCTTGCATCCACGTCCATGGCCACACGGCGAATCTCCGGACGAGACTCATCCTTGCGCAGCAAATAAGCCTTCACCTATACCAGGACCACCACCATAAGCACAGGATTATTACCAACACATGATCAGCAAACACACCATCTTGGGCTGCAATTCTTAGTTTCTAATGAAACAAGTATGCCTTCACCTGCACACTGAACATAAATGTAAACAATGCAATCAAGAGTATCACCACCAACACCGTCATCATTTACACCATTAACATCACCACCATCAGTAAATATGACCACAATCTAGGGCAATGACTCATTCTCACACCAGGATTACAGTGTAACGTACACTCACATGGTACAGTCTACTTAAAACGCAATGGTTCTAACATAAAAACACAGAAACCCCCCCCCTCCCTTACTTTACAATACTTATTACATGGTAAGTCACTGAAAAGCTGCCAGCAGCAGGGTTTATGCAAAATAATTACATAATTTAGATACATTGGGATTCATAAATTAACACGGATGCATACATTCACATGCGTCATAGATAACCTTTCATTTAAATTTAGTCAATGTATACGAGACGGAACAAGAAACAACAATTCACTCTTCCATCGATTGCTACCCCAAATCGTGTCCATCATCATATCCCCATGGTATTTAAATCGTTACATTCCTACATACGACATAACAATTAGATAGCATTGTTGTTATAAAAATGAAATGGATATGAATCATGATCCTCAGACTTTATTCTAATAAACGGATGCCTGCCTATTGGGATGACAAGTGTTGTTTTCGCGCCGACAGCCCGTGACATAGAGCACCCGCACAAACCCCATATGGTATTGGGAGCAGTGACTCGTTTGGCACAGCGGACCAAACTGGTTCAAGTTCTCATTTTTAAAATGCTGCTGGTTAACATAATAATGCAAGTGTGCGACTCAAACTAGTTACTACTAAAAAGGGATTTCATTTTATATACGGAGACCAGAGATCAAAGGCAATGCAATGATTACTCTAGGGTCAACTTGTAAAAAGAAAAAACACGTTTCTCTCGTTACCCCTCTTTACCTCCCTTATGATGTCAATACAGAGCTTACTTGCACATGCACCTAACTTTTTTTCTGGTGCCTCTTGCTCCCATATTCACACTGGGGTTTTTGTTTCCCATTCTCGTGTTTCGTTGACGAAAGTTAAAACACCTCGTTAGTTGTGCAATTTTCCTTAAGGACCCTTTTACTCGCTCTCTGCAATATTTTTTTTTAATCTCTTGTTATTGTTGCTGCTGTTGCTGCGCTCGCACACCACGAATATCCCTCAAAGGAGCCGAACCGGCTTAACGGGACGATCCGTGTAACACAGGGGTCCCGTACCCCCGGGCCGCGGACCGGCACGTGGCCCGTTAGGAACCGGGCCGCTCAGCAGCAGGAGGAGAGAGCGGTGAGTCCGCGCGTGGCCCAACCCCCATTGTTTTATTATTCACCACTTCCGTCCGCGCCTCTTTCCCGCACCGCGCACTCGTCTCAGTCACAGTGTTGGTATAAAGCCCACAAGCTCCAACCCCTAGTAGCCAAAATGAGTAAAAAAACAAACGTCGCTGGAGAGTTTTAAATTTCGATTTAAAGCTTTCGTGACTGCAAGGATTCATCTTCTTTGGTTATTTCGGTAAAGTCACGTAGAATGAGAATAAAATAATAAATTAATCAAATAACACAGTAAAATTCTCACGACGTTTCGGCCACAACACAAGTGGCCTTTTAATTTATGATTTTTCCCTTCATTCTACGTGACTTTACCGAAAAAACCAAAGAAGATGCGTCGCTGGCGAGCGTCTTTGAAAAGGGGGAAAGACCCAATGATGACCCCCCCCCTGTCCGTGAAAAAAATTGTCTTCCACGAAACCGGTCCCTGGTGCCAAAAAGGTTGGGGACAGCCGGTACAGTAACAAATAAAAATAAACGTAATGTAAACAGGAAGCAGAAATGTTCCATCCAGAGCTGGTTAAGGGCTCTCTCTGCTGGAGACTGCTGCGCGTGTCAGCAAGGTTAAACTTGGAGAGTGGTGGCAGTGTGAGCTCACTTTGTACCCCGTGGTTAACAAGTATTTAGGTTATGCACTGGAAGCGTGACGAGTTGTGGCTAGGCCTCGACAAGGTAAGGTAAAAGGTCAAAAGCAACGAGCCTACCTTTACCCTCAAGCCCATACAAATTACTCGTTTACAGGCTAATTACTGGGTTAACACTACGACACATTGAACAATGTTTGTAAAATGGAGGCCACGGACTGCGCCACGGAGCTTTTAGCGAGCGGTGAACAAAGTATTTACCGGGTAATATTCTTCAGGGATACCTTTACCCTACCCTTTACTTTACCCCTTGACATGGTCGACACCGTTATCCCTTTTACCCGGTATAATGGGTAAATTACTTTACCTTGCCGAGGCCTAGCTGTGGCCATTGGGTAGGTTCCTTTATTTGCAACACGGCATTATACTTAAGACTTTATTTAATGGATTACCTTTAAGAGCATTACCTCCTCCACGTATGAGGACGGACTGATCCCTTAAATAAACGCCTTCTCAGTTGGAAAAAAAAATTCTTTAAAAACAGCCTCAAAGCGTAACGGTATACATTATAAAGCGTTTGTTATACAATCTAAAAAAAACCGTACATATATCCATCCGGGTGGCTCTACGTTAAGTGCGAGGAGCTCACACGCAACAGGAAATATGCGATTTTAAATCCCGTCTGGGGGAATCGTCTCAGCCCATCATCCCTCCAGGGTCGATACAATTGGTACCACTTTGTGGAGACGTCCACAATGATCGTCTCATATTTAAAGACTCGCCGCCGCCACCCAACCCCCCAGCAACCTGGAATTGCCACCACAGGTTTCAATCGTAGATGCCAGCAGGCGACGGGCAGGAAGCTCACACACACACACTTCGAGCGGTAAACACTGCAGGTGGATGGAGTAACAAGACGACTCAACGCCATTAATCCCTCCTTGCTCACCAACTGCGCAGTCGGATTAACCCAAGTGCGTGCATTTAACCAGAAACTGGAGAAGATGTATTTAAATAACCGAAGTATGAGAATCAAATGCACCATTTGACAAAATCTACACAATTTTTTTTATTTAAAAGCTATTCGTGACTGCAGGGATTTATATTCTTGGTTCTTCACGTAGAATGGAAACAATAATAAAATAATAATTTCATTGTTTCCATTCTGCGTGACTTTACCGAAAGAACCAACAATTTTAAAAAATCTACACAGCCAACTTTAACCTTGAGCGGACAACGCAGTTACGTCAAAGATGATTAATTTAAAAAAACGATTGGAACACGCATGGCTTCACGACTCACGTATACCCAACAAACGTTGGCACAGTAACAGATAGCGGTGTGACGCTGCACACATTTAAACGTGCGAATTTCTTAGCAAACAGCGCGCGAAACGACCGCCACCGCACGTCCACAGCAGCGCCGTCAACCTCCGCCACTCACCACGAAGGCCATCGTTGACGTCTGTCGGCGACGAGCGACACCGGCGGGCGGCCTTGCTACACTCGACAAGCGACAACTTGAAGTTAAGGATCAGCCACGAGAGGAGCGATAGCGAGAGGATGCCGCTGTGAGGGTTGCCACGGGGCCCCCTCTGTTTATATGCGATGCGCCACGAATAATGGCGCCGTAACCAGCACCCCTCTTCCCACTTTGTGTTCGTGGGCGGGGCCCTCGGCGTGACGTCACCCGTAATCGGCGGGCGAAACCAACGAGAGCGCGGGGGGGGTGTTGAAGGCGGGCATCCCCAGGAGGGACACGAAAACGCCTCGAACAGGGAGAAGAATTAATTTGGGATAAGCTGAAAATGGCTTTAGAAATAAATAATCATGCGGGAAAAAAATACTCCCAGCCGGAAACACTTCTTGCGCGCTAATTTATCCCAGCGCGGCGGGATAAGGTGGGAATGGGAATATGTGTGTTAAGTTTTGTGCAGGAAATTCGAGGTGCGCTTATAAACAACTTCCAAAGTTGTGGCACGCTATCCCTGACCATTGTAAGGCTGCACGTGGAATTGACGTGCACATGTGCACTGGACATTCTGAAGCTGTTCACAGTATGCACTTTTCTGTTGTATGGGATTATGTTAACACGTGTTAGTGCTCCCTCTGATATCACATAATATTGTCAATTCCACAATCCCATCATATTTAAGAGTGTTATTCTTAGCCATAGTAAAACCATTCATTTGCGTGTCACACCGATCTCATCTGACTTGCCATGGAACAGCTGTGTTACTAATCTGGCTAAGGATGCATTAAACAAGCTTTACCTTTTTGCGTGCCAAGCCTTCATTAAAATGTGTGGAATCTGGAATACTGTCATGAATGGAGTGGAGCACCTCGTTCCTACTTCACTGTATTGATATAATTCAACGTAACGCAGTCAGAATTATTGATAACCAGCACTCACTGATCGCTCATTGGCAGTCAGTCGCATCCCCATGACTCTTCTACCTAGATAAATCACTCATTTATATTCTTGGTTCTTTACCAAAAGAACCAAGAATATGAATCCCTGCACTCATGTATCACTACTATTATGCGCATAGAGAAGATATTGGTACTAGAAATGTATTTCTTCAGGAGGATACTCCATCGAAGCTGGACCAAAGAGTCACCAATGTACAAGTAAGAAAAAGGTTGCACATAGAAGAAGACCTGATGCAGGCGGCGATGAGAAGGAAACTGGCACTATTTGGACACATTTTAGAATGAAAAACAGGAAAATTAAAAGTGTGTTGGTCGTAAAAATGAAAGGAACTGGAAAAAGAGGAAGACCTAACAGAGAATGGTTTGACATCAGGTGCCAGAAAGATGTGCAGTAATTGAGCATTTTGTCATAAGACAGGAAAGTAGAAACAATATGCAGTGAACACCTACGGGCTATCTGGCCATGGATCGTGAGCAGCATGTGTACTGTTGCCATGAACTTCAATCATTGACTTCTCCCATGTTGAGGATAAAGTTTAGCAGACTGTTTAATCTCATCCGCACTGTTCAACCACGATTCCGTAGCTGAAAACACTTCTCTTTCTGCTTCTTTCCTTGCACTGCTCAAATTTGGAATTCTATCCCATCATATATATAAATATTAGGTAACTATCCAACTGCCCGTTTAAAAACTATTCAGGAAAAAATGAAATGTGATTCTCATCAGGCCCGATGGTGTTAAGTGCAGTCTTCAAATCAAAATTCATTCTGTCTTTTTGCCCTCTGTTTATGTGCTAAGAACTAGGACCCAATGACCAAAACGTCGCCGATTATATACTTTCTCATAAGGCCGTGTTGTTGACGAGCGTACTGAGTTTTAAAAAAATCCAATTTCGTACAATGTTGCCTAAAAAAATAACCCTTAACTTCTCTCTTCTGCAGTTTCAACAGTGCCGCTTGTTGTTTGGCCTTTGGGCCTGTGTTCAGCTACCGATATTACAAAAAAATACATTTCGATTTAAAGCTTTCGTGACTGCAATGATTCATCTTCTTTGGTTCTTTCGGTAAAGTCACGTAGAATGAGAATAAAATAATAAATTGATAAAATAAGAGAATATTATTGTGTTATTTTATTTTATCAATTTATTATTTTATTCTCATTCTACGTGACTTTACCGAAAGAACCAAAGAAGAAAAAAATACATTTTGGTGATGTTGCAAAATCTGTGGGTAAATTACTCAGACTCGAGAACCTTCCTCGTTCGCGCAACAAAAAAAATAAGACATTTTGGTGACGTTGCAAAAACTGTGGGTAAATTACTCAGACTCGAGAACCTTCCTCGTTCGCATGCAACTCCCCCACCCCCGTTGGGTGCCCCAGTTTCACTTGGTACCTCCCAGCTCCCGCCCAGCGGTGATATCACAAGTGTTAGTAAACATGCAGCATGGCTGACTTGTGCAAGTCATGACATCCTGCAACGCAGTGCAATGGGGTTGGCAATGGACTTTTAAACTAACACAAGGTAGGACAGATGTTAGACTAAAGGTGCTTGTCACAAGTATATTTTATACAGATTATTCGGCGATCCTGCTGTGCTGGCAGTGGTGTGCACAAGCACAACAACAACAACAACAAAACTCGACACACTCAACCAAATACATTTACTGTATATAACTCGACACACTCAACCAATTACATTTACTGTATATCACCGGCGACGTTTCGATTGTAGCACATCGGTTAATGAGGATTTGAGACTGTACTTCTGTACTTTACACCATGGGGCCCAATGAGAATTACATTTAATAAATATTTTCCGATGAAGTTTTTTTAATGGCCATATAATTCGTTGTCTTTTATATAATACGATTACCAGGTTTGCAGTTGCATGAAAACACCAGAGACGTTTTAAAAAACAACAGCGAAGTCGATTTTTTGGGGGGGTATTTTAGAAAATGCCTGATAGGTTTTATGTACGGACCAAATGCATCAATGCCGTCATCATTGATTTGGCTTGCGATGCCACAATCCCATCTTTCACGAGCTAATCTACGAGGATGTTCACTCCTTTGGGCTGTCATTCCGTCACCAATCTCGTCCAGCTGCTATCATCCCTTCTGGCGATGAGCTCTGCTCATGCCAACTCATTGTAGTCGTTCTATGTTTTGTAAATACTTTATGGCACTGTATTTTTCACGAAGGGATTAGTTAATCAAAGCTTGGATTAATGCATACGTTTCTACAGAATCAAATAAAATATAGTTTGTATTTAAGTAGTGTCTTAATGCAACTTGAACACGTTCAGCATGGATGCTTTGGGAAATTAATTCTAGACTACAGTATATTGGTACTTGAGTCACAAATGCTATTTTATTACAGGTTGTTCATTGCAAGTTCGAGCATTTGGGTGTTATGATAAGTGCAGACAATTTTAAATTCGAGAATGATTGCATTTATCGTGTTTGTTGTCGTTAGGCTATGGTTGAGAAATAATGTTTAATTATTGTGTGCTTTTGTTGGCCAGCATTGCTGCTGTGCCACGTTGTTTTGAATCTGGATAACAGTATATTCTAGAAGCAGACCCTACTGTTTTATCATTTAATATTGCTCCTTAGGAGCCTACATAAATTACGACAATACTTATATTGTTGCCATGCGTGATAGCCTGTGCTGGAATCAAATTACTGTTGTCAGAAGTTAATTTTGTGGAATTAATATCATGTTTATATTTGTTTAATGTGTATTGCAATTAATGCACGGTTTCTAAAGGTTAAGAGCTGTGGTTTAGGTGGCTCGGTCATGGAGGGTTATTTGACCATACTTCACCAGACTGGGGAGCACAACATTTTACTCCCCTACCACTAATATGGATGCCCATATTTAATTTAGCCCCTCGGGTTTTTAAGACTCACAAGCTTTCTCGCAACATCAATACAGTGTCCCATTGTGTAAAGAACAATGTCTGTAATTGTCGATGCTTGTTGGTAAGTTTAAATTCTGAATACAAGTTAAAAGGGGCCCAAGGAGTGATCTGTATTGTATTTGGTACGCTGCTGATGAATAGCAACATGTAAATTTCAGTTAAACCTTAAAGAGTGTCGAAATCTACAAATGCTAGCGATATTTTTCACCAACAAATTGAAAACGTTGAATGTATATTTTTTACTATGACTCAGCATTTTCCACTCTGGCCTGACACTGGTCGTATTGTCGCAACACCACCTGTACACTCGCTCCGCATCTCACCTGCAGTTTGTTCACGTGAGGTTTCAAGTTTCATTTATTAGGTACTGGCTGTACTACCCGGCTTCGCCCGGGACTTGGATCCACCACACCCGGCCGCCTTTGTCTCCCCAGTGGCAATGTTCACACACCACAGCAGTTAAAATAATCGTCACCGGTGGTGGCGGGAATCGAACTCGGGTCGCCGGGTTCGTAGCGCGGCGCGCTAACCACTACACTACAATGCATTACGCTTCCACACACACACAAAGACAAAGACACATACATACAGACACACAGACAGACGCACACAGACACATACACAGCACGCTAACCACTACACTACAATGCGCTACGCTTCCACACACAGACAGAGACACACAGACAGACACACAGACACATACACAGCACGCTAACCACTACACTACAATGCGTTACGCTTCCACACAGACACAGACAGACAACAACAACAACAACAGCAACCGCCATTCGCCACTAAGTGGCGGTGACGTCACCACGACGCTTGTGCCAGGCTATGTGCACCGTGAGGCCACGTGAAGTGTCGAACGCCCGCTGGCAGGAGGTCACGGGGCAGACCCAGGTGCCACGGGTCGACTGACTGAGATGACTGGCTGATGCACCACCTGTGCCCCCTACTGTGCCAACCTGCTGTGCTTTAGCCACCCGGCGCTCCGCTCGTTGTTGTGAGCGTCGCTCCTCCGCCCTCCGTTGTTGTTGGAGGGCGACTGCCTCCAACTGCCCAGTAGCATCCTTCACGAGCCTCCTCCACAGAGGCCGATCTTGACACCGCTGGTACCAGTCATCGGCAAGTCCACTCAGCTCCACGTCCTCCTGTACCACATCACTCCATCTCTTCTCTAGCCCGTGCCGCGCCCGCTTTGCCCCCTCAATCCGGCCAAACAAAAGCTGTTTCGGCATGCGGTGGCTGGGCATGCGGGCTACATGACCCAGCCAACGCAGCCTTGCCTGCCGGAGGAGCTCACCGATGGGACCTTGCCC